AAGCATCCTCACAGTAATGAGCATGATTGAGTTTCATATTCGGACCAGAATCACATCCGAGCCTTCGCACGTCCGACACTCAATACCGCTTTCACGAAGCCTGTCGCTGGAAACGCAGCAGCAGATTTCGGCTCTGCCACCCGGATTGCAGGACCTCTTCCACGCAGGCATCCTTTCCTTGCCCGTCTTGCCAATTTTGAACAGCTTCCAGGCATGGCTCGCGCAGTTCAAAGGTATCAAGGACCAAGAACGGGACTCGTGGCGATCGCCTGTCCCACCAGACCTCAATAATATCGAAAACTGCCTCGTCGTGACTCTCGTATGCTTAGCCGACGACACAAGCTCCATGGGTCTGCATCCTGCCGCGGCCATCTTCCGCAAAGCCAAGCAGCGTACTGAAGCACTCACGGGCGTACCGGAGCTATGGTCTGACCCAGCGCTGGTCGACTGCGCAATCTGGATGTCAACCGTGACGTCCATACCACGGAATAGCGAGATCATCGAGCCGAATATTCAAAAGGAGATACTGAAGAGGTCGATTGGCGGTCGGGTCTTTGCGCTCGAGTGGGGAGAGATTCAGCGCAAGCTTAGACGGTTCTATTACGCTGACTCGCGCGCGGGCGATTGGGAGAGGGCGTGGAACATAGCGCTAGATGAATTATAGTTGTTGTCAGAGTATAATGAACATTGATGATCTCAAGACCTGGATGGCAATTAGTTTGTTCGGATATAACTCACAGCCTTTCCTAATCAACTGGTCGACTACTCTGATGTGCTCACATCGTAGTCGTGCATTTCTGCATCTTGCTGGTGGTGATCCGATGCCCCCTAGATCAAACACCTGCAGTCCTCCCTGGGGGAATCAATCGATGAGCAGACGAAAGGAATCATCGACAGAGAGCAAGAAAAACGAGCGGAGGACGGAGGAGCTTAAAAAGGCTGAGATCGCACCAAAGCCAACTTTGGGGAAGGAATGTCATGGGCGAGGAAAAAACTGACGACCCTTTGTTGATATGTCAGAGAAATAAGGACTGCTGGGGTCTGGGGCCCAGCCTCTCCGATGGGGTAATCCGTCCGAATCCGGAAAGAGGTCTCCCAGAAGCAGGATAGCGCCAAATGCTGCCTCCAGTCTGCATGGTCTGCAGGGATCCACTCATCGTGATCTAGATTGGCTGCGAGTTTCGAGGAGACGACTAAAAAGGAATGAACATTTCTCGATTCCAAGTCGGGGGTTCCTGATTTATATGGATTCAAGGGAAATTTAAGTCAGCTGAGTCGTATTGCATCCACAGCTCCTTCCTATTGAGACCTCCATTTCTTCAGGGATAGCATAAAGGCGTCCTTTATTACCAATTATCAGAGCCAAAGTACGGCTGACATATACAACAAAGATAAGAAGTGCGCTTGCATTAAGTGAGGTTTGGATACTCTTCCAGACCTACGCATGTTTGACTCTAGAACCGTGCCTTTCCCTCCTGCCGAGAGGACTCTGGTAGGGGCAACTGAACAAACCACATCGCAGACAATGCGAGCGTGGAACGGCGATCGTCCTGCAGGAGGTTGCAATGGCTGTGACTCAAGGCTCGCTGACTGCATCCGAGTCCTCAATTTGTTCGTAGTAATCCTTCAAGCCACGCCTGCTTCTTGCCATGGGCAGCAAGACCAATCCGCGCTGGGCGAGAAAGCAAGCAAGAGCGGACTCCTGGGCACCTTTGGCGTCCCAAGACCCCCTTTGCTACTGCTTGGTTCTACTATGGCGAGGTCTTGCATTTTCAAGTCTCCTTTCCCAGCACGGAAAGCCTAGAATTCTGGCCACTTTACTTTCCCCAAGGACATCTCCACCGAATATCCTCAGACATCAAACCAAAGGTGTTGGCCGCCAAGCTCGGAAGACTAAACAGTTACCTTACAACCATGGACTTGCTCCCGCATCGAACCGACCTTTGCGCACAAGGAGCCCTCTCCTCCACGGGCTAGCGGCATATAGCCCGTCTATCATGCTACACCTGGCACTTGGCTGAACCAAGCGCTGTTACCCCGGGTCTGCTGTTCCTGAAAGATATGGCATAATGACATGGAAGGTCTCGAACACTAACGCTATCGGTACATTGGACGCCGGACGCCGGACGCCGCTAGGGCCTCTGGGCCACGAAATCTCTAATATGCCCATGATGCGCCGAGGCCGGATATTCCATGCCAAGTGATTACTTTGTAACTGCAACCACCTCACGCTCTTAGCCATCAACAGTCCCACCACGAACGCCCGTAACTCTAATATTCCCAAGGATAAGCCTCCACATGGCCACTTGACATAGGACTCGAAAGATCAAGCGGAACCTGGTGTCCCCTTGTTTAGTATCGTTAGACTATCTGTGACTAGTATACGAAAGAGGCCAGTGGGACCATCAGTCCAGGCATCTGCAGGGCGCTCCTCCATCTTAGTCGTTTCATCCCGTACCTGGAATATATATAGATTGCGCAGAGGTTCACCAGGGTACTGGGCGCCTCTTTCTTTGGGCGGGGGTCTAGAACGATATCAGCCAGCTTATCATTATATGGCTACTAATGCTGTATCCTCGCAGCTCGATACCTTCGACTTCCGTGACCGGGTGGTTTAGAGTGCTCAGCCTGGGCAGCCATCGCATTTGTGGATGCCGAGCGTGCCTGTCTTGGTTTTGGTGATTGGGTATGCCGGGGATGTGACCGCAGGGCTCGTGGGCTTCTTGTCGTCGTTCAATGCTCGAGTTCTGTGACAGGTAATGGATGATTGGTCTTTTGAGTCCGGTACTGGCGTGGCACTTCAGCTATGAATTCAGCTATCATCTGTGTCTAGACTGCCAGGCCAGCTAAGCTGGCTTTGCAGGACAGGAGCTCCATGAAGAAATATCCTCGGTATGAGTGTTGGGCTCTACAGGCCATTTGACGTATACAGACCGACCATATTTTCTTGTTGAATCATGGCGCGTCAATTTCGTGGCAGACTGTGGGGGAGTCCCTAAAATTTATTGCGCTTGTAGATACTGGAGTTAGCAACCCCGACCTCCTCCCTTAATGTGATGAACCAATTTCTAAGGTAGAAATAGGACTAGACAATAACTGGCCTTATCGACCACGATCTAATCTGATTGTCCCGGCGTGAACTATTATTGATCCTTTATCGAAAGTGGCACAGACACAGAATTGGGCTTATATTGCGCCGGCTAGCATTGGGGCCTGTATTTTGTGATTACTCAACGAGCTCCTCCGGCGGCAAAAGCAACTTCTAGCATGCTGAGCCGCTGCTTATAAATTCTTTGCTTGGTAATTACAGTCGATTTGCGATTAATCAACATTATCGTGGACCATGTTGATGTCATTCGAATGTCTGCGGCGTGCGTTGGCGATTGAGGTTTACTCTTCGCGTTTACTAGCCATGTTTACTCAACAGCTGGATGGCGCAATGCTTGTCCTAAAGAGCTACCATATATATAGACCGGCAAAGTGCCATGGCCTTCTACTGACACAAAGTTCAAACAAGTATCCCCAGTTGAATGGGACTATCCGCCTTCAAGCCTCTCTCTAGACTTCCTTTCGCAATTGCCAGCCCACAAACCGGCAGAGTGGCATCCAACATGATCGAGTATACAATCGCGGGGAAGTCGGGCTCAATCAAGGCGACTCGGCGCGTGGTCCCCATTCCGTAAGTCATGCTGCCAAGGGCTCCTTCCATCCGGCCGGTCGTATAGACTAAACACTTATCCATTGCGGCGACAGCACGCCAGGCGAAAACGAAGTCCTGATCCGACTCGTCGCCACAGACTCGAATCCCAAGGATTGGAAGGTATGTGTGCCCCACACCCAGCACCACCGCGAGCCCTCACTAAACTATGCGTAGGCCTCCCGCAACCACCCAGAAGGCCAGGGCATAAACCAAGGCGACGACATCTCCGGGATCGTTGAAGCAGTCAGGTCCTCTGTCCACGAATACGTCCCCGGCGACCGCGTGGCCGCATTCCACCGCATGTTCCAGCCTCACGGCTCCTACGCGCAGTATGCCATCGCCCCGGCCTCAACGACATTCAGACTCCCACCAAACATCTCCTTCGAAGCCGGCGCGACGCTCCCGCTAGCGAGCATGACGGCTGCGCTTGCGCTGTATCAGAATCTGGGTCTCCCACTTCCCTGGAACCCCGCGAAAACCGAGACGCCCGTTCTGATCTACGGCGGCGCGTCCGCCGTTGGCGCGTACGCGCTGAAATTCGCCAAACTCAGCGGTCTCTCGCCGATCATCACTGTTGCCGGGAACGGGGCTGAGTTTGTCCAGTCGCTCAATGCAGCGGATCACATCATCGACTATCGGAATGGGAATGTCGTCGAGGGGATCCTGAAGGCGCTTGGCGGCCGCAAACTCCACCACGCCTTTGACGCCGTCTCGTATAACCGCAGCTACGAGGATATCGTCGCCGTCCTGCAAGCTTCGGGCGGCGGCCAGATTGACATGGTTGATCCGCCCAGCGACGATAGTGCGAATCCCCAGCGTGCGGCGTGGGTGTGATCAAGTTCACGCGGACGTTCGTGTCGAGTGCATACGGGGCTCCACACAAGTATCGGAATGAGAAGAAAGCCGCGGAGGACGGCGAGTTCGCGTATGTCTTTTATCGATATATAAGCCGTCTGCTTGCGGAGGGGAAACTGGAGCCGCATCCGTACGAGGTGAGGCTGAATGGGTTGGAGGGTGTCGCGGAGGGGATCCAGTTGCTCTTTGATCGTAAGGTTTCGGCGAAGAAGCTGGTTTATCAGTGAGTTTTATGCTGTCTGCTTCTTCTGTGCTGTTGCTGATGGTTTGACAGGATCACGGATACCCCGGATCTGCTCTGAGAGTTCTGTCGAGGGTCTCTTGTGAGATTATAGCGTGTGTAGTCCGCTCTCTGGTGACATAGGCCTAGCTAGACTCTTAGTACGTAGTAATAAGTACACGCCTTTGAGATCTAGCGATCTTTGATAATGACCACACTGTATACTTCGTGTTACGTCGCCTACGTACCTGACCTCTCGCGCATAACGGATTATCAGGTGTCAGCCTGGCGCCACCGTGCTGGCACTCCTGATTCAGTCAAGCCACAGGCCTTACTTCGTCGGAGAATAAAGAATTTCCAGCTCTGTCTAGCGTAGCCTACTTCATCAGCCCTGGATTGTAACACCATCCCACCCAAACTTTAAGGCGTTTACTCCGCATAAGCATCGCAACTCCCGATCGTCTTCACGCCGTTGGCCCGTTCGTTAACGTTCGGAGCACTGTGGAGATTAATGAAGGTCCAATCTCGTCTCTGCCCAGTCACAGTGACCCAGTCCCGACCGAAAGCACCTTGTCAGGCAATTGCTCAAGGCGATCGGCGAGGCATTTTAGGCAGCAGTCATTTCTCGCCGTGTGTGGGGCTCTGTCAGGCCGCCAAGGGCGCCGGTGTTTTAAGGTGGCGGAGCACAGGGCCAATAGTCGATCAATGTGTCCGAGAAGCGGATCCAGAGGTTCCCGCTAGGGTAACAGGGTGAGCAGCTCACCCCTCCAGATGAGCGACTCACCCATCTATTGCGCACCCAGCGATTTGGCGCCGGCCCGCGCGACTCGATCACCCCCGAGGGGTGAGCGGCTCACCCGGCGGCACCCACCCGACTTCTATCCGCGTTTAAGCCACACGCCGGTAGGTTAGTAGTATGGTGGGTGACCACATGCGAATCCCTACTGTTGTATGTTTTTGCTCTCCCGCAATCCAAGCTCATTAGCTTTAGCGCCCGTTCACATATGCCACCCCCATCCAAATGTCCTAATACACGCCAAGCCCGGGTTTGGTGTGACCAATATCAGAAGTTGCTAGCACCTTTTCACTTTGTCCAATTTGTGTGGTTTGCTCTGTTTGCCATGTGGATTGTTTCCGCCTATTAGAAGTTTTCTAGCATCATTTGCGTGGATAAAAACTTATTTATCTGAGCTGAGAGGTACTATAAACTTTCGAATATACGCATGCCTTCCGTTGATTTGTCAGACTAAGGAGGGAGAGATGTGGAAATGTCTCGATGAGTGCCCCTGCCCTAGCCTGTGCTAACAGCGGGGATAGTTGGGTGGCCTATCGGAACGGGTATCCTGGTACAGGTGGCAGCCCGCCCTCGGCTAACTTCTTTGACAGAGTATTATCCCACAGGGCTTCCCTTCTACTTTATTATTTTATAACCACCTTAACCACTCTAATAAACAAAAAAACAAGGGCCTAGTAAGAACCCTAACCCTCTCTTACCAGATCATAACCCTCCCCTAACCACCCTAACCCAACCCTAAATAGGGGGAAGGGAGGAGGTAGTCCTGTGGGATGAAAGAGGTTTAGCCTAGGGCGGGCTGCCACCTGTATCTGGAGCCAAGTCACCTGTACCAGGATATTTCTTCGGCCTATCGTCCGCATCCCAAGGCCAAGCGCTGGGAAGTCACGGTCATTTATGTACGGTAATATCTACAATCGCGCGATTGGGATTAATTCTAACGTGGTCTTGAGTAGGGCAGGAGCTGCACTCTGGCAGTTGAAGAGAGCAATCGAGTCAGCTCCTCCAAACGAAACTACACATTCTATGGGATGCTAAATAGTATGATAATCCAGGGCATAGCTCAAAGCCATAGTGAGCTTTTCTATCTCTGTAGCCAAGAAATATTACGCTGTAATCGTGCATTTGTCGAATCACTAGCGGAGATATCCCTTGTCGGGGTGGGTCAAGGCTAATCAGCTGAGCTGAGACCAATCACCATACAACACCTGAGCGGGGTAGACAATTTTCAGCCGCATATGGGTGACTCTCAATAACGCGGTGACCTCTCTGGGTCCAATTCATCGACAATGTTCCGAAGCCTTTGATTCAAGTGCTCAGCGCCAGGTGCCACCGTCGAGTAGAGAACACTAAAGTTCTACTTTGATTAACGATTTGTCTCTATTCGAAGAGGCCCATGGATTCTGACAGAGCCACGGAAGGAAGTATGAGCTGGCAACAGGAACTCCAAGGTCTTTCACGCGTTTCGTTCTTATCCTGTTCCTACTGCGTTGCACTGGGATTCGCTAACCGCAAACAGATCACTGCAGAAGAGCAGGTTTTGAACCCCCTAGCTTCAAGACGTTCCAAGGCTACCATGGTAAGCACTATATTTATTCCACCCGCGGGGCATTGTTGTTTATTTGTTAGCGAAACTAATACTATGATTCTTAGAAGAACACGCCGCGTGGTCCTGCTGTGTTAATGTTGGCAACAAGAGATTCTTGGCGAACTCCTGGTATGATGCCTCCTAGTTAGACGCTGTGATGGAAGATGCTGCAGAGGAGGCTCTTTAGCATTTGACTGGTGCGAGGCAAGGGTAGTCAAATGTTGGCAGAGAGTGAGCGCCTCATTTTGATCAACCCTCTAAACCTGGTCCCACTTCCGACCTCATTGCTCACATCGAAGCTGGGAACTATCGGGGAGTCGAACAATCACTTGGAGCGTTAGCAAGCATAAATGAGCCTCGGGTGAGTTCAAGGGAGGTAGTCCACTAATTCTCACCATATCTCATGGAGAGGAGAATATTATATAATTAAAAAAGGAGCCTATGTTTACATAGAGGTTAGATATAGGTTATATAGTAGTACTTTAATTTATACTATATACTAGGGAGATTAGAGTATTATAAGATTACTCCTAGAAGTAGGAGCTGATATAAATAAGAATATTAAATATAGGATATATAGTAGCGCTCTAAGTACTACTATAAATAATAGTGATATGATAAAGCTGCTACTAGAGGCAGGAGCTAATGTTAACTTGCACGTCACGCATGGGCCATATGGCAGTGCATTAATCACTGCCATAGCCAGGGAACGTAAGCAGTCCAAGACGCGTGTGACTCTCAAGACATTGCTAAAATACAGAGCAGATATTAACCTGCAACTATCAACTGGTTACTACAGGAATGCGCTTGATGTGGCTTTGACTATTAGGAACAAAGAGACTATTTAACTAATACTAGATGCGGGAGCACATGTGCTAGACACCCCAACCAAAAGCAGAATAAGAGGGTTTTTCCTAGTAAACTCGAACAGGAGGAGCCAAACGGGGGAAAGCCCAACACCTATACGAACCGTAGTCTATTAGTGGGAGCCCCCACAGATTCCACTTCGGGGCACTGAGGAGCTGGATATTTTCAACATACTAACATTCACCAAGACGCACGACTGTGTCCTGCTATTGACATGCGCTGAGTACCTTCAAGAGAGATTGTGCGGCGTGCCTACTGAGATGGCACCAGTTGCTGACAGAAGAGAATGATTAGGACCTCATTCCAGGTTATATTGAGATCTGCTTACCTGCTGTCATCAGGGCACAGCAAAATATCATCAAGGGAGTGGTGGGGCCCTTGACGACTAGGATGAGTATAAGGATTTAGAAAGCCACCAATGTAGCGAACCTCCCTTATAATATCCATCCTCTTACGGGTAGAAGTGCGTCCAGTAGGATCTTTGTAGCAGGAAATGACGAGCAAGAGACTAATGAAGTTCCACAGGCCCACGACAAGACTAACGTAGCGCTAATGTGAGAATTTGCGATCATTCGTGCCTAGGGCCCAGAGGGACAAAATAGTAGGATAGTTAAGATAATAGCGCTAATATAGGTACCGCGCTTCCTGTATGGCACTATCTCTACTGTTCCCACGAGTGCCATTAGTTCGTTTAAACTGGCACTGAGACCGGAAAACACCTCCCCGACTATAGTGACGCGAATTTCAATCAGGCTAGGGATGAAAGGTCTAAAAATAATATTCGTACATACCTATGGCAATGTTTATTTCCTTTGCCATGGCTGTAACAACTAGCCCGAGAATCAAGAGAATTTGTCCACCAATGGCCAGATAGCGCCAGCCGAACATGTCCAGCAACGCACCGACAAACGGACAAAGGGTTGCGTTGGGGATGAGATAGCCTATTACTAGCCAGATATAGCGATCATAGCCTCTAATGTCTGCGTAGAAGACAATCAACAATGTATACTATGCCTTAGAAAACAGGAATCAGCGTATCATCCAGCCATGGGCCCGGGCATCGTTATTTCGACGCTATTAAGAGCTCGGCGCCAGTATGCCGGGTCATTACTGGTGGTGGAAGCCAGAGTGGGGAAGCCCTAACTTGGACATAATGCCGATTCCACCTTGCACTGTATGAGAAAACTGGGCCGAGTTTATGAACAGACAAGCATTTTTTTCGCCTACAAAACTCGAATATACGACGAATCCTATTTTCGGCCAATGCGAATGTTAACAGATGGAACTTTTTGACCACAATCGCTGGTCTACTCACTGTATATCTTAGTGTCATCCAAGTACCTAATAGCCATTCGTCTCAAGAGGACGGTCTTCGTTCGTCCCACTGTTATACTAATCCTAATCCTCAACCTGAAACTCAACAGGATATCCCTGCATGGCAAGGAACTGCACCGCCAGCGACCCTGAGCAGCATCGAGTCGCACGCTTTGCGGACCTCGCGGAGCATCCGCCAGCAAATCCGGTGGAGGGCGAGGTAGTCGAATGCGAACTGTAGGGCTTCGCTTTGTACCGTGTTGCGCAAGGTTCCGAGGAGGGAAGTGATTGTTAATCGTTTGGTAGGCGTTTTGCGGTTCGATTTCGGGGTGGGCTTGGGCATGATATTGCGCTCGAAGGATATTGTCCCTTCCTCCCCCAGTTTCTCGTCTTCCCAGATGCTTGCTGCGAGGATCTTCTCGATATCGGATTCGGTGAAGCCCATTTGGCCGGAGCCTTTGACCCACCGGTCAAAAAACATTCGGGAGACGGGTGCGGCGTGTTAGATACCCTTGGGTCCGGTCTTGGATTCGGGCAACCTGGCGGTCTATCTTCGGTTCGGCGCGAAGGCAGCCGCAGAGTAACCCATGTTGAGGCAGAAGTTTCGGAGGTAGTCCTTGGGACTGCGGGGTGGCTTGCCGACGAAAATCTCATCGTGCCACGTCAGGACCAGGTCCATGTCGACCCATCGCTTTGACAGCAGTCTTTCCGAGCAAAGAGCATTGTACAGGTGGGCGGTGTACATCACAGACCCCCATGCGCCTTGTAATGTGATTCCGAGACCCTGGAAGTGTGCTTTGAGATTATATGTCCATAGTCCGCAGAGCAGAGGATGCCATCTTAGGAGCTTGTTTCTCTCAGATGGATACCAGACATTGAGCTTTTCCTTTGTCGATTGCGTGAAATCGACATCGATCCAGGAGGTCATGTAATCAAGCAGCACCTTGAACGCCCTGTCGTTCGACTTTGGGCATGTATTTATCCGGAGATTCGAGTGAAAGTCTTGATTGACCTTGATAGAGTTTTTGATCACATCAGCGTAGGTCGCGGGGTCGTCGAGCCCCTTCTCCACATGCGCGCGTAGGGTGATATGAATATCGAGGAGGATCTGCGAGCCAAAGACGAGCGACAACGGAATCTCGTGCGCGTCGAACATCTGGCGCATTCCCCGGGTGATTCCATCCTCGTGTGGTCCTCGTGAGGGCACGAGGCGTTGCAAGTAGAGGAACTCGGAAAGCATCTCCATCATGATCTGTTCGTCCTCGAGGAACTTGCCCCGAGGGCTTTTCTCCGACCGATCGCTGGTCGGGTCATATTTGCCGTAAGAGTCCGCCTTGTACGGGAGGATCTGGCGTCTATTGCCCTTTTCAACAATGGCGCGAAACGAGGCATGGCACATATTTGTAGGTATGAAGAGAGACTCGGCGAGCTTGTACGTTCGGAAATTGATTGGGTCATCGGGCCTCTCGCGGACTTTCGGGTCTGCCCCCTCAACCACACACATGGCTGGATATACCCTGCCGAGAAAGGTCTTTGTCCCACCATGCGCCTCCAAAAGCGGTCCAATCTGCCCTTCCATGTGTTGGACAAGATCGAGAGCGCAATTGGTTGTCAGCGTCGCAGAGACAAGATCGAACATGCCGCGTCGGTACCCCTCCCACGTCTCCTGCAGAACGCGACGGATCTTCCGTGTGTCCTGGAGCAGACGCTCAAAGGCGAGGTACGCTTCTTCAAAGTCCGGCGGGCGCTCAGCTTCGTACTCAACATCAGTCCGGGCGCCAGCGGGCATTGGAATGACCACATCCGGAGCCTGCAAGAACGCCTCGGACGGCTCCTCCACATCAAGCCCGGCGAAGCGGTTGGCCAGGTTGCTGACTTTGCTGTCTTTTTCTACCGTGCCAGGGGGCTGTGTCAAGCGGTCCTTGATGGTATCACTTGACATTCGCGGTCGCAGCACCTGCCGAACATGCTCCAGGACGCCAATGAAATAATTGTGTCTCTCCAGGGACTCTTGGGATTCAGGGCCCGGTGCCAGCTGCGCTTCGGCGTGGACCCCATGGTCTCGGCGCACCGCGATGGCCTGGTCAAGGACAGAGGCGAAAGTGGCGGGCACCTTGGCAACGGGCTTGGTCGACGCAGCGATGTGGTCTGCCAGACTGATGAAATCTTTGAGGGCAATGACATGCATAGGTTTGTTGCTTGGGGTTTTGTTAAGCAGGGTAGCCCCAGGGATAGTCGCCCCCTTACGAGCCAGCTTCTGAGCCTTTCCCATGTGTCTTTTGGATGGTTAACACCTCCGCCACTGCTGCTGACTGGTGGAGCTCCTCCCAGAGTATCAACAGAGAAGCCACAGGTTTTGGCGGTTGCGACAAGCCATTTGGCCACGGCGTCCGTGTCGGTCTTGTATTGCAGATAGCTGCTGGAGAGAAAATCAAACGACATGTTCACATTGCTTGTCATGGTAGGTGGAAGAAGGAGGCTGAGACGAGGAAGCACCGTACGGAGTAACACTGGCAGAGTAAACGGAGACTGCAGGATTATCCTTATGTATTCCGTCCATCAATCACAGCGAATCGCGTTCCATGGTTCCAAGCGATGAATCAGTGGCGTTACCTAAAGTATCCAAGATCTACCCCCGTAAGTAGTTATCCTATGCTCCTCCTTGATCTTCTCTCCCTCACTGATCTTCTCTCCCTCACTGATCTTCTCTCACTCCTCGATCTCCGCTCACTCCTCGAACTCTCCGAATTCTCGTAGTACGAAGAGAAATACGAATACGACGAGCTTCCGCCATCATTCCTGCCGGTGTCTAGTTGCGTCGGCAGTAACCCATAAGCGTGAAACGCCGGGATGACGAGCATAAACGCCTCCTCGACGGTACTGACGAGCTTAGAATTGTGCACTATCTCGGCCAGCTGGGACAAGGCCGGGTGGTGCCAGCGAGGCGTAGCCTCCGGATCCCCCCGCACGGGTTTCCGGGGCCTCGCGCCACCTCTCACGCGCTTGAGAGAAGATACAAGCTGTAGTAAGAAAGAACTGAATATCTCTTGTGCGCAAAGTCGGGAAGCTGATGCCTGTATCTTGACCGTTTTGTGTGCCTGCGCTGATCTTGCGGCGGCAGCGTGGTCAGCGGGGATGAAGTTATGGATCCTTCATTAGTTGTTTATGCTGAAGGACATCAATGATATTGAAGTTACCAATATCCTGATTTTACAAATGAAGAAAATGAATTTATTGAATTTGATTCGCTGTTCCATCTGGTGAGAACATGTATGACAAGAGCGTCGACACTCGAGTGGAAGGGCGATGTTGGTCGAGAGATTCCTGGGATGCACCGTGTACCGCTGACCCGTCCGGCGCGAAGCTGAGGCTGCTTGCCCTCAGGGCCTGAATTCTAACCTCTCCTTGGTTATCCTTTTGCTGCAATGCCTCGTATCTATACTTCGATGACAGTCCGTTATGTTAGCGTCTGCCAGCCGGCGAGGAAGAGAGTTAGAGCGCACCTTGAATACATGGCGAAGGGTGCTCCAAACATATACTTATACTCTTTGGTTAGGGGTCTACGATTACGACCAAAAGCCGGCGCCCTCCAGAGATCGTCCCGATCGTCCAGATTCTCAATATCGGGGATGGTTTTGGAGGGCGTCTCCCTCTCAATCCAAATCTTGTAGAAATCAACGACTCGGACGCTGCCAGGACCGTTCTGTAGCTCCATTCGGTGGCGGATATAACGTCCAAAACCTTCAGTTACAATATCCGAGCTTGGTGACACTCTATCTCGCTCATCAATGGTACTGATGTTCCTGCCATCAATTGACGACTCACTTATATCATTCGGAGTCGATACTCTCACTTGTCGCCCTTCTGGGGTGTCAGCATTGCTGCGGGCTTTTCTTTGCTCGCTCAACCACCTCCGCAGTTCCTCTGAGTCAACTTCTATACCAGGGTCGACGCAACGGGCTGGAACGGGAACATCCCAGCCACAGCCCAGAGTCCGGAAACGATAAGAGACGTGTGAACTGTTGGGTTCGCTCTCCATGGTGAGGGCGCACAATGACAGTAATGCAGCCAGTGGGCTGGGGTCAACGTTCCAGACTCCAGGCTCTACAGGCGGCTCATCCGGTCCCGGTGGAAGCCGACCACCAACCGCAGTGTGAGCGGAATGTCCAAGCTTCACCATCTGTGATCCCTCAAGCTGGGTGGCAGTGAGCCTTATATCGACCTCCCAAGCAAAGCTCAGCTCGAGATCAGCGGGACCGACCAAGTCAACGGTAAATCCTACATCATTGTTGAACTCTGCCATGAACACCTCTCCACGCGACGGTTTATCCATTGCAGGGGGGGGGGTCCTGCCCCGGAGGCTCACAGGGAGAGGCTGAAGCATCCTCGTCATTGTTTCTTTCCCTCTTCCGTGACGATAGTTCCCGAACGACGAACTCGGGCAATTGGGTAACCTCTTCCTTCGGTAGCTCCTCCTCGATGATACGCTCGGAATCAGTCGCGACATAATCCAAGATGGCATGGAAGGGATTCATTGTGCCAAGGGGGTCGGACACAATTTCTTCATCCCTTCGTGGCCACCGTTTGGTGTCTCTGCCGCCAACTTTGCTATGAGTCGTCGTAGGATCTACCTCGAATGCATTTTCACCCAGAACATACTCCAGTGTGCCCGCGATGGCTTCCGCGAGCTGATGCGCGAGAACTGTATGCTCATCCTGCCAGGAAGCTAGATTCGTCAACTCTTGGCGGACTTCGACTGCTTTCCGGGCTAGGATCGAGGCCGCGATCTGCGGCGACAGGGAGAGAGCTCGTGGTGGTGCTGTTACTGCGTCTCCATCCGGGTCATTTATCGACGTCGGCGTTGCTGTGTCTCCTGCCTCAGTGCGCTCCTCAGACGCGGGAATACCCAGTGCAAATAACTCAAGGCCTAGAGCCTCCATAGCGAGCCATGAGAGCTCTCCGCCTTCCTCGAGCCCTACCACCTGCGGATTCGCCGCAATGCTGCGACGAACATACGCTCTGATGCCGGCCATGATTAATGTTGCCCCAAGGACGGTGACTGCGACACTCCAGTGCATTGCCCTTACTAATATTCAGTTCAGCATAGCACCACTCCATGAATTTTCAAGCACAGGGACTATATACTTACAACCAACAAACTGCATGACATACCCTAAAAGAGACAGGAATGTCGCGGTCATGGAAAGCAGGCTAAAGTCAGGGTTGCCATTAATTCTGGAGGTACGAATTGTCATGTTTCCCTCTTCGTTCCTGATTGCATAGGAGCCGAAGCGCTGGTCCCCAACTGTACAGGCGCCTTGTATGCGGAGCACCCTGGTATTTCTGGTGGGGGAAACTGGCACAAAATCTATTTCCTCCGTTATAGACTCAATGATGTCTACACGCGTTATTCTTGGTCTTCATTCAGGAACCAGGGGCACAGACACCACTCACAGGAGCATAGAAAGATACCGCAACATAAGAGAATCGAGCCTGAGATAGACGAGCCTTTCAACACCTTGTCTTGAACACGCAGGGTGGAAACATACCAATCATGAACAAGGGAAACCCATACCCCACAACACCCGGGGACGATCCACCGCCGAGCTGCCAGTGATAGGTGACCGCCGAGGCAATTGCAAACACGCCGAGCTGAAGCCCCATGCTAACAAAGGTAAATGCCCAAGTGACAGCAGGTGGAGCCATTGCCGTGGAAACATTCAGAGTGAGGTTAGGTGCCTGCTGCAGCAGTCGAGTCGCATGTTCAATGTCAGATACCGGGCTTTCACCGACAGGCCCTGCGGCCAGAGCTGTTGGTACCACGCTCTCAGGTTCGCAGGTGCTGACATTTTGGTTGTCAATACTCCCTCCTCACAGGCAGTCCGCAAATCGTAAACGACTTTGGAGCTGAGCAGCTCAGTCAGATCGGTCTTCTCCGTGACAGGGCTGTAGATGAATTCCTTTGTCCTCGGCCTACCTCTTTCTCGAACTGCTCCCTGATTAGTGTGCGTGATGGCAAGCGGGAAATCCTGACCTATCTCAACCCCACTCCACAACTCACACACAGCATCACTCGTGCTTGACATGAGCTCCATCTCGGCAACTGCCCTGCTCTCACGTGCGCGGCCAATAAGCGCCTTTAGCCACCGCCTCCCTCCGACCCGGATCGCACTGACAATGCAGGTGATTATACCAAGCGGCACCATTGCCAGGAGGATATCGTCCCCATATCCCATCTGCGCCGCGAACGATCCTCAGCTTTTTGGGCATCAAATGATAAAAATAGATCAACATACCGACTGAGAAAGAAATTGCTTGGTCACCTGTTCTCCAAAGAGCGTAAGCAATGGCGCCAGGTCGGAAAACAGGTTGTTGCTAAAGTCAGAGCCGTCGAACTCATTGCCAGCGTCCCGGGAGATGAGTGGTTTCATTGTTGAGAGGCAGTGGATGGGGGGGTGTTTTGCAGTTTAAAATTCGGAATTGGAGCAGGAAGTCGCCGCTGCGGACGGGGGAGGCAGAAGCGATGCCAACCTGCGATAACTGATGCCCTCGTTCGATATTACTTTGCTTCCACTTTCACCTCGAGTACTGACGTTGCATCTGTATAGTCGAGGGTAGATCTGATGGTGAGCAAAAACACGTTGGATGTGCAGACAAAGATGTCAAATGGGTTCGGACCCGTTCAGCTCGCCTCTCCCGGATCCATGCAGCAACCCCTGTCCATCCGCTCGACGTGGCTCGAATCAGCCCGCCCAATACCCGAAATGCCCGCCTTGGCTTTTTATCGACCAGTGACCTTTCTGTGCCCTTCAAACACTTGGGAACAGAAAACCGATGCTGGAAATGACAATTCACGAGATTCTACCAAGGAGCAATAACCCTTTTCCATGAACTGTTTCATCTGGTAATTGGAAGTCTGGACACGTATAAAGCAACATATAGGTCTCTCAAGGCTTCATAATGATGATATTGAAAGACTGATGTCTTGGAGCGTTAGCAAGCATAAATGAGCAAATCTTGGGTGAGTTCAAGGGAAGTAGTCTGCTAATTCTCGCCATATCTCATAGAGAGGAGGATATTATATAATTATTACTTAAAAAAGGAGCCTATGTTACTATAGAGGTTAGATATAGGTTATATAGTAATACTTTAATTTATACTATATACTAGGGAGATTAGCGCATTATAAGATTACTACTAGAAGTAGGAGCTAACATAAATAAGAATATTAAATATAGGATATATAGTAGCGCTCTAAGTACTACCATAAATAATCATGATATAATGAAGCTGCTACTAGAAGTAGGAGCTAATATTAACTTGCATGTCACGTACGGGCCATATGGCAGTGCTTTAATTGCAGAATTTGCCCGGCCTGCATAGAGCAAAGGTGGCAATTTGCAGCAAATTTTGAGAATGAAAATGCCAAGTCGTGAGGATGTGAAGTAAGTTCAGAAATTTGTCCGCCTCTTACTGCATAGGATTATCATAGTGGTAAAGTTGTCGTGGGGTAAATGTCAACCACAGTTAACATTATCGCGAGCATAACAATTACCCCAGGGATAGTATTGTCGTCAAGGAATATTATCTCTCCGATAATATTCTTACCACTGAACGTTATACCGGAAGAATGTCTGACCGCCTGGCTGGGTTCGTCCGAGGATTGAGTATTAGCCCTTGAATAAATACCGAGGCTTGTGCATTGGAGACGTGCTTGCTAGACTCGAGTGAAAGGTGTTTGAAGTCACCACATTGCATTGTATCAGGGTGAAAGTCCCAATGCCACGACCGTGACCGTGCTCCCAACGCAACCGTCACAGTCGCTCCAACTGCTACTAAGAATCCCAGTCAGGACAAGTAAACACACGCCTACTACGAGCTATGGAATTTCAACCAATGGCCATCTGGAGTAATCCACTTGTGGGGACCCCAGACCATTTTTTACGAGGTACGGTAACGGCGGCGATCCCCGACAGCCACTGCGGGTGGAGATTTCCTCCACTGCCGGGGAACGATGGCAGCAGAACGGGGACGAAAATTTCCCCAGTACTGCCTCTACGTCCCTTTGTCAGTAATTGCGGCTTACTTTCAGATATTATACCATAAATTCATGTGCCACGCCTCCCGCGCCCTCGTCTCTCATAGGCAATAACAATGACTGATTCGGCTCTTGCGTGGAGAGTGTTTGCCGACAGACCCACAATGGTTGCAGATCAAGCTTTCCCATTACACAACTCCAAATATCTGCAGACAATGTACGGTCTCGGCAATTGCATACGGGTAGTAGAGAGTGCGGTATCATTCCGTGGAGCAGACTAAACGGGGTCTACCCCAGATGGATGGCTTTGCGATGAGCAACAATCAAGGCAAAAAGCTGCAGCCTCTAAGCGAGATCTCCGAGGGAATCGCCAGGAAGGGGACATGCCATTGGAGTAGTGGAGGGATAGTTTGGTTTAAAAGGTATAAAGAGGGCTTAATGTCCTTCTCAACGGAGGCACATGACATGTTCTCATCCATCGTTCATCAAAAGGGAATCTCTATCATGAAAATGAGGTTCCGCAAGTTCTTCCATTCAGTATTCCTCACCCTACCCCTTACCGGGGGCTTCAGAGCCTCTGCCCAGTCCACAGACTCTCCGGCTCAGCTATGGCCCCTCCAGTCCTTCAAAAGCACGTCCATACAAGCCCCCTATATGAACGTAACCAAGAACGCCCAAACCGAGATCGGGTATACGTTCATCTCGCCCCACGATATCATCCGCAACACGGGGTACCCCATGATCTACGCCGACGACGGCCAGCTCGTCTGGAGGGGGCCGTCCGTGAATATATCTGCATTACAGCCCCAGATCCTCGACGGTCAGCCTGTCCTCGCCTACTGGGACGGGTATCTCTTCCCTGGGTTTGGCTTTGGCGGGATTACTATCTTGAATAGCTCGTATGACGAGATATATAGGGTCACCCTGCCAGGGGATGAGAATAACTTTGTGACGATTGCCGAGCCGCAGGCGTTCGACTCATACATCGACATTCACGAGAGCCAGATCACGCCCGAGGGGACGATCCTAGTTACAGCGGTGAATGTGACACAGATGGATCTAAGCCCCATTGGTGGACCGGGAGATGGCTGGGTCCAGGACGGGCTCATCTACGAGATTGATATCAAAACGAACAAGGTTCTTTTCCGATGGAGCGCAGTAGAACACCTTGACAAGGTCCCGCTTTTGGATAGCATGCTGCCGCTCGGGGACTCGGGAAGGAATCTGACTGCGCCATACGAGTATCCGCATCTAAATTCTATCGCCAAATATGGGGACTCATACCTTATTTCCTCACGGTTCATGTGTAGCCTGTTCTTCATTGACAAGGACGGGCATGTCATTTGGCACCTACATGTACGTCAGCTTCCCTTCCCCTGATTAACACTGGTATATATACACCACCAGAGAAGCTAATATTGCATTTCAAAACCTCCAGGGCCAGAAAGGGGGCGACTTCACCATCAGCCCGGAAGCCCGCTTCTGCTATCAACACGACGCGCGCTTCATCACGCAAACTAACAAGCGAATCACTCTACAGCTACACAACAACGAAAACACCGACTACACCAGCCCGACGAGCCTCACCACAGGCCTCGTCCTAGATCTGGACATGGAAAACCGCAGAGTCTCAGCCGTGCGCAAATACTGGGACGCGGCTGAGCCCGTCTTCGCGCAGTCGCAGGGGAGCTACCAGAATTTAACAAATGGGCATGTCCTCCTGCAGCACGGCGCGACGCCCAAGCTTGAGGAATTTGATGAGCATGGGGCGCTGGTTATGCGGGCACGGTTTGGGTTCGACAATACGTTACAGTCGTACCGCGGATATAAGGCGTCCTGGGTGGGGAGACCGAGGACCCGGCCGGATGTTTTTGCTTGTACTGCAGGCGCGGGGGAAATGACGGTCGTGTATGTCAGCTGGAATGGGGCAACGGATGTGGAGGCTTGGAAGGTGATGGAGGCGGCGCCGGAGCAGGGTGTTCTTCATGATGTAAAGACTGTGCTCCGGAATGGCTTTGAGACTAGGATTCAGCTTGACGTTTCTGTGGAGAAGGTGGTTGTTGTGGCAGTCGGGGGCGTGGGACACGGCACCAAATCTGACATTAAAAAGGTTGTGGAGTGCTGTTGACTTGCGAAGAGCGACAGTAATTAGAGAAGAGAGATAATACACAGGGGGAAAGAAAACACAAACAGTGCCCGGTAAGATGTAAATAACCCCGGAATATTACAAAATAGGTATTTGAAAATGCGACTGACGGACGAAATGAAGGTCAACTATTACCAAACGCTCCCGATGGGCCCGGAGCGCACACGGCCATACTCATCCGTATAGAGAGTCCTTCCAGCTGCCGTGATGTAGACGGCATTTGGTCCAGTTGCCCGATCAAACCCGTCGCTCCCCCAGACATCCTCCATCTCCTCGCGAAACTCCGTCTTGGGCTTCCCATCGCGGACCCAGAGCTTCTCAAAGAAGACATACGCTGCGTAGAAGATCATACTCTGATTGCCCTCCTTCGGACCCTTCTTCGACAGAAAGGATGTCAGAGTCGCTGTCTGCAGTGGCGAGGTCGTCCTCAACCCGACATGCCCGTACTGGTCGCGAATGGGGGTCTTGGAAATCTCCCTGCAGAACGCTGTCTTGGTCATTCCGCTGTCCTGAAGACAAGCGCGGATCTTCTTGCGGATCTCATCGCACGTATCATAGACAGGCACATTGCCTTCCTCCTCCCCCTCAAGCGTGATAGCACGAACATTATACATCGCCTCAGCATCAAGCCTTGCCTTCTTACTCGGCGCGGAGACCTTTTTCCTATTCATCCCGAGGATCTCGCGCTTGAGGAAGAACCGATGTGCGCCCACGTAAACGCTCGATCTCTGGCCCGCGTGCTTTCCATTCTGCTTCATGAAGACGTAGTACGCTCGGCTAGTGAGGTTCGCGGCACGCAGAAAATCCGCGACTTTCATCTGTTTGGAATCGATCAGCGCCGTGACCTTGCGCCGGATCTGGTTGCAATCCCATTTTATCTCGTCCAGGCGCTCGTCGTCCGAGTCGATGTCGGAGAGGGAGGATGCTTTGTCGCTAGTCTCTTCGAGGGCGGCATTCCCGGTGGAATCGGTGGTAAGATCAACGGTCTCTACGGCTGCGGCCTTGCGCTTCTGCGACGCAGATGTAGCTTTGGGTTTTGGCTTTGGCTTTGGCTTGGTTGTCCCGGGCGCTTCTTCCTCCGTAAGCTTCTCGCCTGCGATCAGCTTGCGTGCGACTTCTGGGGTGAGGATAAGGCCATTGTGGTCTAATTCGCGGAGCGCTTTACGTAGCTTCTCGTCGTTGGTTAGACCCATGGCTGGAATGGGTGAGGGGGAAACGTAGCTCTGTGGAGAATGATGTCAGGGGCAGCTGCGCAGTAAACAATGCGACAAGGATTCACGTGATCCTCAGCGACCCCCTTTTTCAGTCGGGTCTGTGCCTTGTACTGGCGGCCAAGATCACATTGCCGGACCTTGGAATGTGGATTGTGTGTTTTAATGGCATTGATTTTGTCTTGATCGGGGACTTGATCTGTGTTAGACCTTGAAAGTGTTTGCTGATGATACCGTCCGATTATATATATGATGGCCCCATTCGCATAATTCCGGGCGCTCGTATACCCATTGGTATTCCAATAAGAGAGTACTATGGCCCTATAGTAGACTCTCTAAGGTCTGGGGATAATTTCCCTGCGGAGTACATTGACAAAAGTCACTACCAACAAGCGTCTAATTAGAAACTGATAATGAATTCGTGGATAATGAAAAATACCAGGAAGCAATTACTTAGTCCAGAGAGCCGAGATACTGTACTGTCTTGCCGGTCTTCATTCCCTCGCCTAAGCAAAGCGCTCAGCGTCGCCAGCATCATCAAGAATGATCACAGTCTTCCCCATATTCCCCCCTCCTCTGTCATCAGATGAGCTCATCGAATGCCTCGCCGGGTGGAAAGTCAGCCATGATAGAGATAATCGGACCGCTAAAGGGCATGACAACTCGAGACCGGCGGGCAGCTCTGGAATCTTAGACCTACTCTTAGTTCGTCATGAGTTAGCACAATGCAAGTGATGGTCTAGAGCAAAATTCTATCAGTTCAGTTGAAGTGGCCTCAACTGATATGACGCACCTCCAAGATACAGCCACTATGGCGAAGGTACCCGTTCCGAAAGTCCACGTTGGGATACCGCCGTCCACCCAAACTGAATTTAATCCAACTATCTTTCCCACCTATGTTCCGGCTGCACTCGACCACAGTAAACGATCCATCGACCGTCATTCCTATCTGAACGATCTCAGTACCGCAGAGAAGACAGCCGTTCTCGGGCGTACTAGTTCCGAATAAACTATCGAGAACGTTCAGATCCGGACAGATTGGCAGGGGCTCCATTTGATGGACGGCGGATTCTTCGTCGCTGTAGTGAAACTCATTCGTTCTCGGATATCGCGGCGGGAGATTGAAGTAGAGATGATAAGTGGATTTCAGGACAATGCTATGCCGCCCTTGGAGGATGATTCTTGTTTTGAGACTGACAAACATGCTCTCATAATCGTACATCGCACACTCATGCAACAGACATCGCTGGCGCTGGTAGGTGCAAAGTCGGAATGCATGTCGAATGCTGGGGGGGAGATCTGGGTTCATCGTTCCCTTGCGGAGGCATTCCTCCAGGCGGACCTTGTCGTAGAAAGTCAAGGCAACACAGGGACATAGATCCAGGACACGTGCCATATACTTGCACCATCTGTCGCCCCCCTCGGCTGCCCGTTTGGACGAAGTAAACCGCAATCGCGGATGCAATTTCAAGCACCTTGAGCAGTATACCCAATATCCATCTTCGAGCAACAGAACGAGCTGGTTGCGCGGAAAATCCGGGTCCCCGCAAATCATCAAGTCCCATATGGTCCTCGGCTGCCTCGGCCACGCGAGGCTTTCATCCGCCAGGACGTGCCCAAAGAGCGCGTACAGTGGTTTGCAGGTGAGGGCCAGGCATGCCTGAGATGCGAGAGGGAGTAGTCCGAAGACCAGATGTAGGATATCAAGTGGGACCTCGGCGAGCGAGAGCGAGGGATGATGCTTACGGCGCCGTGCACAGAGACGTCGTGCTATGTAGCGCTTTGCGAGGGTAATCGGGCCGTTTTTTCGGCGGTGCGCCACGTATCTCAGTCTCCGGCGGTAAAATAGCGAGGTGATGAACGCTCGGGTGTTGGTCGGCATTGTATATGTATCTGTTGGCGCAGTAGTAGGTGCTTATAATCAATGTAGTTTGTGTTCTGAGATGAAATGAGATTGGAGGATCCACGACTACCATCTGTCGACGTCATTTTATTGATCACACAACCCACTCGAGTCCAGGCCTCACTAACATGGTTTCAGTGGCGTCAAAAGCCCTAAGATTGTTCATGGTTCTCCTGGGTGGCAGTGCAGTGGTCGGAGCCCATCCACTATTACCGAATAATTAAGGTTACCTTGAGGCAAAAACTCACAACAGAGTAATTGTCCGTCGCTGATCAAAAAGACGCAGTTGTAGGCCGTGAGGCATTGCTGCTTGCGAAAGGAAAGAACACCCGCATAGTCTGGCTACAGGTATATCATGTTGAGTGTGCAAGGCATCTGATTTAGTTAAGGAAGGAGCAGAGAAATATAGTTGACATTATCCCTGAGACTTCTACACATTCTAACTTTGAAAAACGTCAGCCAACATCTCAAGGAAACAGTGGTTACCGGGCATGAAGAACACGTCAAGTAGCTCAGACCCTTAATGTAGTATTGTTCCGTCCAAAGGGTCAGATTACAGCAGACAAACTCAACCCGAAGCTGCCAGCCGGTCCACTGGCCATAATGCAGCTTCCACTATTAGATGCATAGAACAAAGAAAATTAAGATAGAGGAAAAGCGATGCATTTTGTGGTCTTGGATGACCATCCATTGCAAGGCAGGTAAGAGTGACCATCAGAATGTTGTTAGTTGGGAAGAGCTATCATAGCGTCTTCTTCAAGCGGATGGCATTAACCCTAAAGTGACCACACTTCCCTTCAAGAGAGAATACCTAAAGCCAGAAAATTGCTATTATATCCACAGTCCTTAGAGTAGACCATGGTAATGTTTTTTCGTTGCCCTCATGTAACTCAGATTAACATCAAAGACAGATATTCACCAGAGCCTCCGCCAGGGTCTTTGTTTTGACCTTACATCCACCCTTAGAGGTAGGCACACATCCTTCTTCAAGGGTTCGAGCCAAAGAATTAATCTTTTCCTCGCTGGTAGCATGTTGCATCAACAACTGATATGCAGCGGAGCAAGAAAGCCCATCCTGAGAAAGATCATGCTCTGTCTCCTCCACGGAGGGGTTAATCACCTGCGACGTATTCCCAGCAGAGTCGGTAGTAATGCGCGACAATAGTTTGCAGGGTGAAGCTGCATGCTGCGCGTGGTTGGTTTGCGTAGGTTGGTTGGAGGACACTCTGCCCTGAGTAGGAAGGGATGACTCTGCAGTGTCACTGAATGATGAAGCTGGTTTCATGACCATCGGCGCCCTGTCATAAGCACAGTCACTGTGACTAGGAGAATTCGAATGCGGAGAGAGCGTCTCGCAGGCAGTTAGGCTTGGGTCATTATTGCTCGACTCTTGCTCCCTGTTGCACTGTGCTTGCGGATTGACGGCAAGCCCCACGTTTGACGCGCATGTGCTAGCTGCAGCCTGGACCTTCGGGCGCTCCTGGTGGCCAGTAATAACAGTCATAGTTTTTGATGTCGCGTGGAACGCAAGCCATCCGGCAATCGCCGAGTCATCCACGCCAAGATGATATAAAAGGCTCCGTAAGTTCTGGTTCTCTTCGGCAACTAATTTCGCAGCCGCTTGCACTTCCACAGTCGCCTTGATCCCGTTTTGCTGGAACTGTCTCAACCGCCGCTCGAGGTCTAGCGTGTATTGCCTCTGACGTTCCCGAGAACGGCGCTTGTTCTCTCGCAAACGAATAGTTCGGGCAGTGTCCTAGGCCAGCTATTAGTCGAATGGGATCTTTCTTCTTCCACGGATACGGGGAAGCGGGGAATACGATAGGGGCTACCTTGGGAGTGGGCATTCTGGACAGGACGAAAATCGAGGCAACGGCGGTTGGAGGTCTTCACTCCTTGCACCTTGACGCAAAGAGGTTTCGGCTCACGTTTGGGCGGATGACCCTTACATAATCCAGCAGACCCTTGCTTCCCTGGCCAGAATTTCTTTTCGGCTGAACTTGAACCCCACGTGGGGTCAAGGACGGGGAAGACAAATCCGCAACTGCCAAGGAGGGTAGACAGACAGGCGGTCAATCATTGGCTACCTTGGTTCTTGGCGAAAACCTTAAGATGTGTCAGGAGGGAATTGGATCCACGGAGAGAATAGACTTCCTGTTTAACCAATCACATTTGGCGTGTCTGTCCCTGGAGCTTACGGCCCAAATCTATATCATGCTGGACGAAACACGGAAGAATATGCTCGATCAAGGAGCCAAAGAGGACGACAATTTGTATAGCAATACACATACCAATGGCCGTGCAACCAGAAGCACCTCAACTCCCTGCAGATGCCAAGGACCCTGTCTCCACGTCACGCTGTGAAACAGACCCTGAGGCGCAAAGTGCTACGCCAGATGCTCAAGAGGTCGAACAAAACATTGCAGCGGAGGACCAGGATGGGCTACGTGATAACAGCAATGTCCCCCACCTATCCTTGCTACAGTTATTCTGGTTTTTCTTCTACAACTTTGGCCTATTTGCCTGGGGTGGACCGGTCGCCCAGATTGCCTTGATCAAGGAGCGACTTGTAATCCAGGACAAATGGATTACCCTGCCTCGCTTCCAGCGAGTCTTCTCAGTCTATCAGATTCTACCGGGTCCAGAGGCTGCGGAGCTCTGCATGTTCTTCGGTTGCCTGTCTGCTGGTCGTATCGGCGGAATCGTGGCGGGACTTGGCTTTATCCTGCCTGGATTCCTCTTGATGCTCCTCGCCTCGTATCTGTATTCACTTGCCGGGTTCGAGAATGTTTACTTTAATGCCTCTTTCAGAGCCATTCAGCCAATCGTCTCCGCCATGGTACGCTCGCCGAGTTTCCCGGTGGTTCAATGCATCTTTTTGTTTCTAACAAGACCTATTTAGATCCTGCGAGCCACGCACAAAATCGCTGAACATTCTGTTATTGACAATGCCACCCGCAAAACAAACCCGTTCTTGGTCATAGCGGCACTTTGCACAGCGCTTAATAGTGCGCTTCATATCAACATGTACGGACACTCCTTCATTTTACATATATACTAATATGCTACTATTTTTCCAGTTTCATATCTCTTGGGCTTTATGGGGTGATCTACTCTTTCGTTGCACGCCGCAAATGGATTATCGCCGGTGCATTATTCATCCTCCAATATGTCGCCTACGCCATCTACGTTGTCTTCCGCGGTGTCCCGTCCGCCGTGTCTCTCGCCCTCGGCATCGCCCAAACGCCTAGTCTGCCCAACCTTTTTACACTGGGGCTGGTGGCCGGAAGTTTATCTTTCGGTGGTGCATACACTGCGATTCCGTTCATCCAAGTTGAAGCTGTGTTGAAGGGTGGCTGGCTACCAGCGAATATTTTCCTGGATTGCATCGCCATCGGCAATATTTTGCCCGCGCCGCTGGTCATCTTCGCCACGTTTGTCGGATTCCAAGGCGGGCTGGCTGATGGTGGCCTGGGCATTGCGTTTTCAGGTGCAGTGGTCATCACGATTGGAATGCTTGCTCCATGCTTTATTTTTACCATCGCTGGACATGACCTGTTGGAGAAACTTGTTCGCAACAAGGTAAGGAATCTGTTTTATCCTTGCCTTATGGTCCTTTCTTCAAGGACTGTCAGCCCCAACACTAACAATATTTACTACAGTTTCTCTCCGATTTCTTCGACGGGCTTTGCGGCGCAGTTATTGGAGTCATCGCCATCATCGCCGCACAAACCCTGAAATCCAGCGTCGAAGGGACCGAGAACCGCGAAGGCATCGACGCGACTAGAGCTGTGGAGATTCTCGCCAAAAGTGCCCCATCGGCTGTGCTTTACATTCTTGCGTTGGCGGTCTTGTACAAATTTACAATTAAATACACGCCAATTCTGCTGGTGGTGGTTGGGGCTCTCGCGGGGCAATTCCTGTTTGTTTGATAGCAGCAAACCTTTGCGCTGCTGTTCAGTGTCCGCAGAGCCGCGTGGTCCGAATTCTCATTTTGGAGTGGGTGCTTGTGGCGGGGGTACTGAGGTACTTAAATGCGCACCCTGGTAACCACCTACTCGCGATTTGGTGGCATGTGGGTAGGTTTGTAGTATACTGGGTGACCACATGCAAATCCTTAATCTTTTCTTTTTCTTTTCTTTTTTTTTTTTTTTTTTTTTTTGCGTCAGAATGGAACAGTGTACCATGGTACTCAAGTCTATGCTCTAACTAGAAAGATCACCATGCCTTCCTTGTTCTAAACTACTATAAGGCCTATTCCTTGCCATGTACTCCCATATGATTAGGAAAGCGCGGATGGTTGGCTAAGTAAATAAATGGTTGTGCCTTCCTTGGAGGCGGCGGATATTCTGAAATATAGAAGGAGCAATTAACATAGAGGGGCCTTAGGGGATAATAAAGTGCTATAGCTTTGGGACAGAGCTTAGCTATAGCCAAGGATGTTTAGAGAGGATCCACGACTACCTACAATCTATCAACGTCATTTTTTCAATCACATAACCCACTCAAGTCCAGGGCTAACTAACATGGTTTTAGTAGTATTAGAGACCCTAAGACTATCTATAGTTCTACTAGGTAATAGTATAGTAGTTAGAGCCTATCTATAATTACTAAATAATTAAGGTTACCTTAGGAAAAAACCTTATAATAGAGTAATTATCGATTACTAATTAAAAAGACGCAGTTACAGGTCATAAGGCATTGCTGCTTGGGAAAGGAAAGAACAACCGCATGTCCCTAGGACACTGCTGGGCTATATCCTTGCAAGCGCAGATCACACGCTGCACGCCAGTGAAATGCACACAGGCTACCAAGGCCCCCCTGGGGGCGCTCGCCATCACGTTAGACGATATATAAACCCCGAGGGCGCTATCACAAATACAGACTAACGCCTCTGTAGTGCGGCAAACGGCCACGAACAGATGATACGCCAATAGCAGAGGCGTGACATTGGAGCGGCGGCAATAACTCGTTGGTTCTTTAAACCAAATGAGGCTCTGCTCCGTCCCTGAAAAGCGACGACTCCACATTCAAGTCTCTGGCCTTCGTGCGGTAAGATAAAATAGGTAAGCGTTCTCAAAAGTCCCGGACCTGATAGCATGCATATCATTCATTCATTCAATGTATGTAATTCAAACGAGTAAATAATCGCCCCAGGAAATTTTACCAGTGGATCTGTGGTGCAGGCGGCCTCGACTATTAGGTAGGGTTCTGCCCCACTGTCCCCCGGTCAATCAGCACGGCTTTCCAAACGCTTGAAAGGAGCAGGGTGATTCTCTGGAGCTATAAGACTATCAAGGTGAGTGTTAAGTACGTTTGCCAGTGCCATCCGCAGCTAACCGTAGCAGTACGACATGTAAGCATCCAAAATCCCCCAAGATCGCAAGGTCAACCTCGAGTATTCGAATCAAAGAACACGACGAGCACGGTGCAGTAGCTATAACGACATCAGTACCTCGGTGGGCATTATGTCAAAAGCCTGGTACTGTGGTAGGCCAATAGAAGATTCACATACGTAGCAACTGAGATCAGAATCTCGTACTTTCTGACTCTCTCCATAGTCGCCGTTGCAAGAGCGAGCGCCACGAGAAAGACGATGAAAACAAGCAATCTATGTTGTACGTTGGATAGGAAGTTCAAGACAAGCACCGGTGTGGCGAGCCATAATGTTGCGAATAGTGCGTGGAGCATCCGTATGAATATCATCACTGAGTGGGAAGAAAGGAGAATCACTTGGGGATCGGAAGATTTTTGGTCGATGCCCTTTATGGAGTGGGGTTTAGCATTGAGACCAAAATAATCTGTCTTTGGCGCACAGTTGATGGCTTACTGGGCTAGAGAATAGCTGATAGGATGTTAGATGTCACATTCAAGAAAAGGAAGGGATAGGAAGGGTGAAAACCAACCATCTTAGACAACCGAGGAGCGTATGTGACACCAACCGCGAAGAGACGAAAAATGATCCCATGGTCAAAGTCATTATTGGGAGGCTTCAGTGCGACTATATCCGCCTCATGTTCGTTATCTAGAAATACCCGCGACTCGGACCGCACTAGTGGTTTCTTTGCGAGAACCCAGTTGCGCACGCTAGATTTCACGGCCGAACTCACTGGCGGAAGTTGTAGGAGCGTCTGGTAGCGGAGGACAGCATTATCTAATGGGCAATACATCAACGTACTTTCTAACATATTGAGGTGTGGTTCGTGAGCCCAAATGGGACAACGAACCGTAAGCCTCGAGTTGCGCATTGAGGTTGCGCAACAGCTCCTGTCTTTCTGAGTTGTCGTCGTACCGTCTAGAACTCAAGAATGTCTGACAAGTCTCTTCTTTATCTAGCTGCATGAGACGGTCCTCGATTTCCGCCATGGTATCCTGCAGGTAAAGAACGTTGCGCATGTGCAGCGTGTCGAACCGCTTGGCAATGGTGAATTGGTCGTCCGCAGTCATTAGGGCAGCCAGGCGGGCATAGCCTCGGGGATGATCTTCGACATTGCGTTCTAAAACTCATCAACAACTGAACAGGTGATCAGATAGACTTTGTCGCTTACGTCGGGAATACCAGGCAGCAGCAGAGGAGGCCGTCTGGAGTAGTAGACGGTTAGCTGGGACAAAATAATGAAAATGCGTGTCACTTGCCATTTTCGCTAGTCTGATAGATTACACCAGACCGTACAATATTTCTCAAAAAAATGGCGACACGACATTCCTTCTTTTAACAGTCTCGGGTGAGAAGGCTGGGAATCTCTTTGGAGACAGCTGTAGCTCACTAGCAGACAAGGATCTCTGCCACGTCAGTCTCAAACCCGGAAAGGCTGATGATTTAAGGACGACGTGTCCACCGCAGACTCCAGTTCAATCTTGATCCACATTTTCTAGCAGCGCCGCAATTCTCTCCGACCAAAACACCACAGCCACTTGAAATCGAACGGTTGCTTCGATCGCGAACATGGGTGAGAACAGTGAGCGGCCACAGGGCACAGATAGTGTGAGTATGAAGGATTACTGGGCTAGCACCCTCGATGACTGACATTTTTTTTCTCTCGCAGAGCCAGGATACGGATTGGAGATCACACATTGCCCCAGCGATAAACTTGGAAGAGGTAAGCCCAGCTGGATGCGAGGTGGTTTGCTGCACAGCGACCGTAGCCTTGTTCTGACATGGTGCGTGGGGCCTCAGTTCCCATTTGAACCGGGCGAGAGAGTCTGGGTCCTGAAGACAGGCTATCGAGCCCCCCTTGGCCCATTCACGATTCACCGCGTTCTGCCTGACAACATGTTCGAGCTCAAGGAGGAGGCTACTGGGACCGTGCAACCCGAGGCTGTTGATGGGGCGTTCCTTAAAAGGGAGCCGTTCTGATGTCTGGAGCGTTGAGTGATAGTTACAGAGTAGACGAGGCACACTGGAGAAAACAAGGCGTAAATCGTCCCCGAGTCACCATCTGCTGCACGTGCTCCTTCCTTGGGTAGCTGTACATTTGTTTGTGCCGTACTCGCACATTAAGCCTGCCAAGGCCCATCCCCTCACATCGAAGGTGCACTCTTTCTTGAGACTGCGACAACAAAATGGCCGACTTCATCGCCGACTTGTCTCGAGAGCTCGACCATTTCTCTCTTACCGCGAACCATTACTACCAGCAAGTAACAGTGCTTGCCCTTTCCTGGGAAGAGGATGACCTTGGCGTGATCCAGGAAATCCGTCAGCTCAAGACTCTCTTTCGCGACCTGCTCAACTTTGGCTTTTGCGAATATGCCATCCCAAGCGACCGCCCCCAAGCTGCCTTGTCCCTCGCGCTGTCGGAATTCATTCTGAAGTTTGGCGGAAAGGGTAACCTCATCATCGTGTATTATGGCGGCCACGGTGAGCCTGATTTCAATGGCGACAAGCAATCGGTTTGGGCAGCGTGTGCCTGTAGTGACCGTTCCCCTTCAGGCTCAGAACGCTAACGTTTTGCGGTCGCTCACTAGGAAGAGAGTCGCCGGACCGACCCTACGATGGCATCTCCTCCAAAGCACCCTCGTAGCCGCCGAAGCCGATGTGGTCCTCTTGTTGGATTGCTGTTATGCTGGACAAGCCGCGAGGGCTCGGTCGCACCACCGCGTGGAGATGCTGGCAGCGGCCGCGATGAATCCCATGACACCCGGGGTCGGGCAGTTGGGTGCTATCTCCTTTACGAAGGCGCTTTTGGATGTCATCCCACGCCTCATCCACGAGAAGACACACTTCACCATAACGGAGCTGCACCGAGAACTCCTGCTGCGGGCAACCGGACTGCTGCAGCAACCTCTGTACGCAGCCCTGTTCGAAAGTTCGTACGGAGGCATCGTCATACGCTGCTTGGATCGAGCATCTTCAGCTATGGCTACTGGCTCTCAGCGATCCGAAGACGGTCTGGTTCTGCGTGTTTCCCTTGCGGGCACGCCAACATCTCCTCAGAAGGACGAGTTTTTGGAATGGCTCACAACCGCGCGCCCATCGGCCGTATCTTCTCTCTGGATCGAGCAAACCATTAAATGCGCTCGCTCCAGGGAGATGTGCGGAGAGTATCTCACCAAGCAGGATTCATATGATGAGATTAGCCGGGAGAACAGAACGGACCTACTGGTTGCGCTACAAATGTTGCAGGAAGCTATACACCCGGCCAACACCGTCGGACTCGCCGCAGATGAGGACATACGCCGCATTCAAAGTAAGATCGAGCAGCTATGCGAACGGTTCAACATCGCCTTTGAGAGCTGCATGCAGGATATGACACCTGGTACCCTCAAGACAATGCAGCAGGTGGATTCCATCCACGACGCCGGGTACTCCGACCTGGTCTCCATGCGCCTACTCTGCCTAGATGAAAGCGTGGTTTCCCCGCGGGCGCTGGCGAGCCGAATTTCGTTCTCAACGCCAGCCAGGGCCGGTGAAAGGTTTCGCAGAGGAATGCTGAACGGCTCCTCTGTACTGGTAGAGTATTGGTACTATGACATGGGAATTGATACCAGTGCGAGTAGTTCCACAGCCAGCGAGTGGCTTCACCGGGTGCAGCGCGTAGCTAGTCTCCATCTGCAACTCAAGCCTGCTGAGTTTTGCACTCTTCCAGGACAGGGCTATCGACGCGAAAGCTTGCCTCAAGACCGAGTCGGGATGGTCTATGCGCTCCCCCAGTCACTAGAGGGTCAGATGTACATTACGTTACTCGAAGCCTACCGAGCAGCAGAATATGTCCCCATGGAGGTGCGTAAGAACTTGGCCTCCAGAATCGCCCGGGCGATATGCAACTTCCACGTCATTGGGTGGATTCACAAGGGGCTTCGAAGCGACAACATCCTCGTCTTTGGCACCCAGACTCCCGATCCAAGGAGCTACAAGTGGTCGGATATTGATTTTGTGCATCCATTCCTTGTCGGTTTTGATTATTCACGACCAGACTTGTCTGAAACCGAACTCGCTCCGGATTTCAGCCTCGAAAAAAACCTTTACCGTCACCCAGACAGATGGGGACGGCCCATCAGGTTCCAGAAGAAGCATGATATCTATTCTAGTGAGTCCAGCATTTTCCCCAGTGATAGATATTCTGCGAACGTATTTGCGTTCTCTCACGTTTTCTTTTGATCAGGCCTCTACCACTTTAATGACGAAAACTGTCATCTTGGGTTCATTCTGACGTCGGGCGCAGGGTGTGATCCTCCTCGAGATAGGTCTTTGGCGCCCCGTGTCAAGCTTGGATCCTTCGAGGCGTAAGTTCAGGTCATGTACCGATCCCGAGAACGTCAAACAGGTTCTCCTGGAAAGGGCAGGAGACCGCCTTGGCCACGCAATGGGCAGTGCATATGCTGCCGTGGTCCAATGGTGTCTTGACTGCAACTTGGATGCAGGTGGCGCGGGTCCGGAATATGACCAAGCAAGTGTAAAAGGGCTGAGGAAGCATGTTGTGGAGGTACTCGACGGCCATTCTCCGCCTTTTCAATGATGGCATCACGATTTTACACGGGTGGAAGTCCTCGTGTGCTGGGTAAATCTCACCTATGGTCGCCCTTTAGTTACCCGACATAATCTCAGACACCGACAAAACATGAATAAGAGGTACCTTGTACAAAGTAGTGCGTCCCGTTACTGAGTGTAAAGTATTCACTGTATTGTAGTATGCCGTCGTTTACTGAACATGCACTGTTCAACTTGCTACAGCTTGACCAGGCTGCAGCCTGCATTTCCCAATGCGGACCTGGGCAAGCCCCACGTCTCGTGACGTGGCGCCTGAGAGACCCCTGCCATCAAACGACTAACACCTTTCTCCACGCCTTCCTTCCCCTTTTCCAAGCCATGCAAGATGAGTTTCTCATACTCGTGGTCCGACTCCTCAGTGGGGAGCACCGCGCCGACACAAACTCGACAGCTGTCGACGTCGTTTGCTTTGGAGATCTTACTTCTAGGGGCAGTTTCCGGTCTACAGCAGATTGAGGAACCGGGACTTTATACCCACTCAGGTGTTCGCACAAGAGCAGTAGGACAAGGAGCAGTCTCCTCGGTCCACCTACAGGAATTCCGCGGCCGGTTGGTGGCTGTAAAACATCCTCGAGACGTCATCAGATCTCTCAAGACGCCCCAGGCTACATTCGACGAATACATCCGCCATGTTCTAGCAGAGATCCGAGTCCTGGCCGACGGGACCTTGAGAACCCACCCAAATATCGTCAGACTCTACGGCTACTCTGTGGGCAGCGGAGACACGCCACGAGCATTAATGATTTACGAGGGGTCGAAATGGGGCTCTCTAGATTCCTTTCTTGCGGGAGTCTCGCCAGCTCCAGCATCCGTCAAGGCCAACCTCTGTATCGACGTCGCCAGAGGACTGCATGCTCTGCATGCGAGTCATATTTGCCATGGCGATGTCAAGGCTGCCAATGTACTCGTTTTTGCTGGCGATGGACCCGTGAAATGGAATGCAAAACTCGCAGACTTTGGTCAAGCAATACTGGGCAACCCAAACAATCTCGATGCGTCCGTGCAATGCCCCCTTGGAACTCCCCTGTTCCGCGCTCCAGAGCTTTCCGGAAGCCGCCAGGACTTTACGATTGCCTCGGCGATCAAGACCGACATCTATTCATTTGGGCTCTTGGCTTTCCAGGTCTTGGAAGATGGACAAGACTATTATCAGGTGTATCTGGCGTCGGAAAAGGCGGGCGGAAATCATACCAACGACTCTAACCCGAGGCCCTTTCCCTCCACGACGATGCTCCGCGTGCTCCATGAATACGTATCCCGGCAGATCTCGGCCCTACCTAACGAGTGTCGCAGAGTATTCCACACTATTATGTTCGGCGTCACTGCAGGAGAATCCCGGTGCTCGGTTAAGCATGCAGAGGATCCTAGATCGCATAGATCGTGAAATACCGTTCGTTGCTCTAGCGCGCAGCAGATTTCCGGCTTAGAATTGCTAATTGTCTTCCCCTACAGTGATGAGTTCTCGAAACATCCGCAGCTCCTAAAGAGAGTGGAAGAATTATTGGCAACTTACGAATCGATACCACTGTTGTCCGATGACCAAGACAACGAGAGCCGTACACCAGAAGACATATTATTTGATGAAGACTGGTGGAACACATTGGAAAACATACTGCCATCTCTGGGGCGTAGAGCACCAGCAAGGGACGTAGTGTCAGTCCTAAACTGCTCGTTATCCGAGGTAAGGAGTGGCCATCCCACTGGTAAAGAACCCTGTTGACATCGGACGTTCCCTCTAGCTGGACGACATGTACATTTCCCGAGCGGAACTCCTGGATGACATCTTTCCCGTGGTCATCAATGAAAAAATTATTGAAGAATTGATGTGGGTAGTTGAAAGACAAAGGAATCATGGGGGAGATGAAGCTGAGGCTGCAAGTGCCGCGATGCTGCTAGCTGAGTGTTGTGGAGTAGGATTCGGTCTCAGTAACAGCACAGAGGCCATGATCTCCTGGATGGAGCAGGCGGCTGCTCTAGGGTCACTCAGGGCGAAACTATGGCTGCCGCGGGTACAGTTCATCTTCCGCAATCACCAAAACCCACCTTCACCGTGCGATTCCTTTGATGGCTCCTTTGATATATTGTCGCTATTGCGAGCCAATGGAAAGTCGCAACGTGAGGCGGCCAGAATGCAGATAGGAGCTTGCCACTCGGGCGATACAGTGGCCACTGGCAAAGAATCCGCTTCCATTCTGTTGCACCTTGAAGTCTTCTCCGAGGGCGACCCGGACATGCTCTCGCGACTGCATTTCTCTTCTTGGCTGGGCGATCGCATGGCTCTAGATGAGCTGCTGTCGAATAAGGCTGCAATCAACGCTGTATCTCCAAAAGGTCGGACTGCACTCTTCTACGCGTGCCTTGCTGGTCATTTGGAAATTACCAATCTCCTTCTGGCAGCAGGTGCAGATCCGACGATTTCTGACTTGGAGGGCGTCAAACCACTCCATTTGTGTATTATGTTTGACGAACCCAACATGGAGGCTGCATGTGAAGCCTTGGTGAGTCGTGGGGCAAGGCTTGATGCGAGGTTGAAGGGTGACATGTTCTGGCGACTCTACGACTTGGAACTTGTGGGGACGCCAGTCCACTGGGCTATTTCCACCCATAGCACACGCCTTGTGGAGGTATATCTGGATGCCCAAGCCCCGAGCATTGGGCTGGACCTGGCCATCAGAGGCTTCTTTCCCGACATCATTGGCCTTCTGCTCGTGCGAGGAGCGATGTGGGAAGGCAACCATACCCCAATGGAGGCCCTGGCTCCACCGCGCCACCTCTTCAATCACTGGCTTTGCCATGGACCAGATCGCCTGACCTGCATCACTGAGACACTCGATGTCCTCGAGCGCCATGGGTTTCGCGTGCAAGATCTCCCCATCCACGACGACTACTGGGCACATTCACGATCGGCATACCCCGTGCTGCTGTCCTTTATCGCAAGCGTTCGAAACGAGGAGAGCCTTACTCTCGTCTACGAATATATCCGGCGTGTACGCGGGTTGCGTGGTTATCGACGGAGCCAATTCGACGCACTAACGGCCGCCATTCTACGGCCCACGCAGGCCTATGGGTATGAGGAACTACTCCGGCATATCCTGGCACATTACACGCCCAACGAGTTAAATAGCTATCTGCCTGATGGTCAGGCATACATCCATGTGGCCGTCTCCAATGGCCGGGTTTTGGCCACAAGACTCCTGCTCGAGTACGGGGCGGATGTAAATATTAGAACCCGCGAGTTCCATCGCCTTACGCCCTTGTCCTGCGCTCTGAGCGAGAACAATCCCTCCGATCTCATCCGACTCCTCATTGCATTCGGTGCAGATATAGCATCCGAAGACACGTCCGGATTCTTCAGCCCGCTGGGCCATGCGGTGGAAAAAAACGATCTCCCAACAGAGCTGTATGATACGTTCCTAGAGGCAGCGGGGACGAAAGACATTATTCTCGGCGGCCTCTGGGGCCTGATTGTCCGCTTCAGGAATGTTGACCGTCAGCTTCTGGTTCTCAAATACCTCCTTTGCCATGAGCTCGTACGGCCACATTTGAACGAGCCCGACGAGCACGGCTTGGCCCTCATCTACTACGGCATCACGTCCATCAATGTGGACATACTAAACCTTCTTCTCGAGGCCGGCGTGAGACCTGACACGTCCTTTCCCGCAACAAACGGGGAATATACTGCTCTCCATGTCGCGCTCCATGCAACGCGGGCCGAATACGAATCCCTCCCCCAACTGGAACAGGCGGATCGCGAGTTCCTGCTACAGAAACTGGCTACGTACATCCGTATCACACGTCGACTCCTCGAGAGCTTTCACGAAGTCCAAAGCCCCTGGTTCGCGGAGATAACACCGCTCCATCTGGCAACATACATTGGGTGCGAGAACGACGTCGAGCTCAGTCGCCACTTCGAACTTCGGATGGAAGATGCCCACACGCGAGGCCGATGGCCAACCAACGGCGATCTTGTCACACCTGCAGAGCTACGCAGCGGGTCCGTATGCTCAACTGGCCCCTACTACATACCCATGTCAGCGGAGGACGGCGATCGACTGTTTGCAAAGCAGACGCTGGAAGCGCAGCGGATAATCAAGAACTCGCAGGATTTTCCAGGACCGATTGGCTTGTCTGATTCGGATCTGGACGAGTAAGGTGGTTGACATGCACAAGCTGCAAACTGCGAGGGGAGTTTTGTTTCTTGGGGCGGCTAGAGGGGCCTTGCTCGTGGACACGAGAAAGCACCACTAAACAAGGTATAAATTAAACACTACGTGAGCTTTTACAACTTTATTCATGGAAATATGGGGAATCTTTTTTTTTTCTTTCGTTTAGTAGCTCATCCATCGTCTCTCCTTGGACATCGCGATAACCCAGCGGCGCTACCCGAGGGTGTCATGGTACGATTAAATGTCTCGGAGTACTTAGATACCGTTTCCAGGAAAGCCTTGTATGCGTTCTCTAGAAGGGTTAGAACTGGTTCGCAAATTTTTTACTTTAACATTGGACTTGTAATGCAGTAGCAGAACCAGAGGAGCCAAGTCTTTCTGACTAGGAAGGCACCTTACAATGCAATCCTCGATGAGAGGAGCATGCATGATGAAGAAATTGACTGTCAGGAATAGCTCCGATGGTAGAGCTCTCGGGTCTCTGGTATAGGGAAACCATCATATTCTTCTTCAAAAGAACTATTGTCGCGCTAATAAGATCTGATGGAAGCAGTTAGCCGGAGTCTCGTCGCGGTAAATAATCACCCCACCCCCTCCCCCTCTCCCTCTCCACCAAGCAAACGACTTATGAAATGATAGTAAACAGTGGCCTTGTTGCCTTGCAAGCGGCACAAGCAGCTGGTTGCCATAAACGGACCCACGTGGGGAGGCTCAACAGCATGACAGCACCTCTAAACCTTTTGCACTTTTCCGCAAGGCTTTCCCCGAGGCTTTTCCCGAAGTCCGTGAAGGGCTTGCGTCCCTCAAGGCGCTAACTCTTTTTTACAAACACCATGCGCCCTCTACCTGCACGCACAGGTGGCTCAGCCCCCGGATCTGTCAGCAATATCCAGACAATGTCTCAGATCCAGGAACGAAAAGGATCGGTTGTAGGCAGTAGACAACGGGGATTATGGAGAAAGAAAAAGAAAAAAAAGTCGGATTAGCAGGTTGCTATGTGGTATATATTGACTAGAGAACCAACTGCAATGGGTAATCCTATGTTCACACCGCCTCAGCAGATTCGCACCATGTGCAAATTACTTATCTCAACCCGAGTCCACAGCCGTACTCGAGGGAGGCCATGATCAGCACGAAAGTCAGTGCAAACTTACCTAGCTAGAGATATAAACCCGTCAGCATCGCTTTCGAGGCTACATCTGTCTATTCTTTGACTCGACCGCTTGACACAGCCTCTTTTTGCTTTTTGCTTTGTCTATATTTGAGGACCCGCGACCCCATGATGTTACCATAGCCGAGCAAGCTGACTTTGCACCAGCGATTATCCGTAGGCTACTCAATCCTAGCCTCACGCAAAGAGAAGGAGGGCTAGTCACAACATGTCTCCCACCACTGAATACAAACTTACAGTATGGTCAAGCCTCCCATCACCACCAGACTACAAAACGCAAGATGTTAGCGCCATATTCGCATCAGAGACATTCATGGGGACGGAATTCCAAGATCTGAAAAGTAAACCCAGTTCTTGTCTCGAAACAGCTGCACTGTCTGGAGAATCATTTATAAGGTTTGAAGGCCTTTTACTCTTGATGGTCTGATGATGGCTCAATTTTCCTAAGCGTTATTCAAATTGAAACCTACACCCCGACTGTTGCCCGAATTCTGAAGCACTGCCTCCCGAATTTCCCAGAACGCTTATTACAACATGTTGTGTCCAACACATCAACTGGAGAAACTTTCTCGGTCATTCCGAGTGCAATCGAGAACTCTTCTAGTAAGCGCTACCTATGATCCCAAGTCATGAATTGCCCTAATTGGCAGCTGTGGATTAGATATTGGATTCTTGATGAACTACCCGATGGCTTTTGCAGACGAACAGCTTCAGGTTTTGCAAAACGGGCTCCTGCCCATCGCTACTTGGATTTGTGAGCCAGATCATAACCACAGAGCATCCACAGACGCAAAAAAAGCGGCCATTGTTATTTGCTCAAGTGCAATAGTTCCCCAACGCCTCGCCTTACACTACTGCGCTGCGTGTAAAAAGCGATGGGGACGACTCCAGGAGGATTTGCTATGGATATGTGCCGACCTTCTCCGCCTCTTTGCTGACGGTACACAGGTCCTTCATACAGTCAAACAGAATATGACAACGTACCATTACCAAATTCATGGCGATACTAAAACTCTCTCTCTGCTGGGTTTGACTAAAAGATTACACAAAGACACCGCCAAGATGATAACATTGCGCGAACAACTCCGTGTCCACTTGAGTGAGCTTATGCGTCTCCTGCGACCCCTCAACTTCTCTGTCGCTGGAGATTTAGCAATGAGGATTCAAGACCATGCGGACGCCGTCATGTACCATAAAGAAACCTCTGATGTTATCCTGCGACAATTGGAGAACATGATGAGCTTGGTATTACCCCGTCGCTTGACTGCAAATCATTAGGGCACTTGCTAACAGTACTCTGCACAGGCATTTAACATAGAAACAATGGCACAAGGCCAAGCGGTAGCTAGGTTGAATACGCTCGCTTTTGCTTTCCTTCCCATTTCATGGGTTGCAGTACGTATAACCTCCCCTCGACATTATCATGACTGTTCTCTGCTAATAACAAACTTCATGACATCAGACACTATTCGGGATGACCCAGTTCTCAATATCAGCAGCCTGGTACCCTCTATGGGCGTCCATTGCGCTTGCCACCGTGACGACCCTCGCTATTTTGCTCCCGCGCTGCCGACGTCTAAAATATGCATCACCCTTTATTGGTTACCGATTTGGCTGGCGCCTGAGGGACCATATTAAGCACATGTCGCAGAAACATAATGTCACTGGCGCTGGGTTTGATGATCACTTACCTACAAAAACTGTTGCCAATGAATACCAGCATGATACTCCCTGCGCGCCGCCACTAGTCAGTGCTGACTATCACGCGCCTGTTTCTTCCCAACATTCATCCACCTCCGACACTCTATCCATATATGTTGACTAGTCGAGGTGTTATGAGGGAAGAAGGCAGAAACGTGATTTAAAGGGGTGGTTGCGGGCTAGGATTTTCTGGAAGGAGATATGGGCATTTATTTAAAGGTCTTCAATTTCCCAGGACACGGGCTTTGGGTGAAGCATTCACTTGAGATTCACACTTGAGCACTCTTTCTTGGGTTCTATCAGTTCCCTTCTCACCAGACGGCAAACAACTACTGTAGCATCCAGCTATGATGACAGAACTATCTAGCTCTGGGACCCCGCCACCTAGTAGGCTGTGCGAGGCCCGAGCCTGTCCTAGTATTCTCTTGAATATATCATTCAGAACATATTGGTGGAGCTCGTTTTGGCGCGATAAACGCCATTGGAGCCGAACTAGTAGATAGACCACCTTCTTTAATAGCTTACTTCTCTGCGCAGTTAGATCCCTTGCTTCCTGTAGTTAAAGACCGCTATTCAGGGGTATCTAACCCCTAGGTCGACGCTCTTTCTGCTTCGTTTTCTAATCTCTGTGTGGAGATCATGCAAGTCCTTTGTCATGAATACTGCTTGGTATAATCTCAATTCGCAACCCTTCAACAACCTGTAAAGGTACTTTTTAGAGAGAAGAACGACTTTTGGAGTGCTGCCAAAGCATCTTTTTAACTAAGAGACGCCACCAAGGAATTCTACCATTGATAATACGTCACATTAGTCTTGGAAGCAAAAGCATGTTAAACATAGAGCAGTACTAAATCCTGAAACGCAGAATATGATGATAAGAAGGGTTATTGAAGCTATGCTGGCTGCCGCCGGACTTCTGAAGATACATAGACATAGGAAACGAGAGCAAATCTTATCTTTCTTTGTTTCTTCACTTAGTGTATAGAGTCTGTAAAGACCACTCTCGGTGTTTTTGTCTTTTGTTAGAGGCCTCGAGCCTGGGCCTCTAATGTCCACATTGGGGAGACTAAATCGAAGTTGCGGAAGTCGCGAAGTTCACCAGCCCTGGCGCGGTTCGGACGACTTAAATGCTTCAAAGGAGTCGTAAAGCTCTTTAACCCCCTCATGAACACCTTGTATCAGTTTCCTCACGACCTAAATTGGTCCTTTGGTCTAGCCTGTAGCTGCCACGTCATCCGTTCCTGACTGTTTGGCGCCAATGCTGACTGACAGATGGTTGTGGCAGATTCCCCGCTATCCTGGTTCAACGGCTCCTCCCATCGCCGTAATCGAGCGGCTTCAGCTGCGCCCCAGCCTGCAGTGAGCGCGCCGGTCAGCCCGATACAATTTTTTATTGGTGGCTGTCATTACTAGCAGCTTACGGTAGCGCTGTGGCGCTCCGGCACCTGGCCAGAGTATAGTCGAACCGATCAGCTGCTACCATTTCATTGGGCAAAAGAAGGGCCGAAGAACTGCACGAATTGGGCTGAGGATTGAAATGCTGGCTTCCCCTCTGGAGTGCGGAAAAAATTATATCTAGAAGCTGACGGCCGAAATCAGCTTGATCTCATCCACTCATCCACTCATCCACTCGCTTGTCGCTCACTCGTGAAATCAAATAGTCGAGGAAGATACATAAGGGGAAAAGATGCAGGCCACGAAGATCGATGCAGCCCTCCGAAGAGCAACCGAAGAATTCGGCCTCTGCCCCAACCGCGTCTGGGCAATCGGCCACAACCTCTCAGACTGGGAGACAAAACTCCCCGACTTGATTCCTACCAGCGAACAAATGCGAAATTCGCGCGCTCGGATAATCCGACACGAGGGCCATGAATACTGCACATTCGATCTCTGCGAGCAGTCCATGCTCAACTTCACCTCCGTCGCTCAACGACACGAGCGCCCATCCTGTCTACGGAGACCGGGACATTTACCGCTGCCCTGCAGTACGCTGAAGGGCATGTTTCCAAGAGACTTACTGGACAAGGCATCGCTTGCTGGGGAGCCGACCGCGTGGAGACTGGACGGCCAGTCGCTTGTTAGCGTTGCGGAGCCATACATGGCCATCTCGCATGTCTGGGCTGATGGTATGGGCTCAGGCGCGTGGGCCGAAGGAGAGGTCAATGAGTGTCTTTATCGGTTTTTCGAGCGGATTGCGCGACGCTGGCAGTGTAAGGGGATTTGGTGGGATCCGATCTGCATCCCGACGGATAAGGCTGCGCGGGCGCGGGCGATCAACACGATGGAGCGGAACTATGAGAGTGCACGGATTACGCTAGTCCACGACTGCTACATCCGAAATTGGGAATGGGTTGATGGCGAGACTGCTTGTCTGGCGATTATCATGTCTCCGTGGTTTAGTCGCGGGTGGACGGCGCTAGAACTGGCGCGGTCGCGAAATGTCAAAGTTATGTTCAAGGGATCGGTGATTAAAGATCTGGACGAGGATATTCTTTCAAAATCAGAGGATGACTCGGCCTGTCATCGATATGCGACTGAGGCAATTAAGGGTCTGCGGAAGAAACGCATTAGAAGCCTCAATGATCTGTTGACGGTCCTTGGTTCACGGTCAACCTCCTGGCCGCGCGACATGGCAGTCATCTCCTCACTCCTTGTTGGAATCCAGGAGGCTGTTGGAGAGAAGCAACAGGAAATTTACCGGGCAATTTTGGGCAAGATTGGCTGGGTCGCTCACGGCCATCTATTTCATAGGTCCGCGACAATGACAGGGGGGTTCAGCTGGTGTCCGACGAATTTGCTGGCATTGCCTGTGGCTGGCACTTCGAGTGCAAGGGAACTCACTATTCTGTATGACGGAACGCTCAGAGGGGAATGGAGCGTAATTCAGCCAAAGTCCATCCCGGCAGCGCGATACGTGCTGCACACCGGGTTTCCGCTTGTGGACATGAAAATAAGTATGACACTAGAGTCAGGCAGCCAGTGCGTGCTCCTGGGCGAGCCCGATGTAGCACTGTTCAGACGAGCTATCGCAGTGAGGATGCTTAGTTCGCAGGAAGGCCTTTATGAGTTTATGGGCCCTGTCTATTTCAGCCCTCCACTGGCCCGCGATGAGGTCGAATGGGAAAACAAGGATATCACCATTGGAGCCAGGAAGAAGAAAAAGGAGGAGGCGGAGGAGACGAAATCACATGAAGAGTCTGTTCGTTTTCCGCCAACGCCGCTGAAACAGGAGCCCCCTTCGTATTTAAATCTTCGGACCCGATGGGGCAAGTTGTCCAAGGACGGGGACGAGAAAGAAAATTCCAAGCCCACAGACACGCGCCTGGTGGAGGCTGTCATGGATGGTGACGAAAGTAAAGTATGGGAGCTCTTCCAATGGGGCACGATCGGATCTTCTCCTCCCCCTATCAATCTGCAGGGTAGTGGTGGTTGGACTGCTATGCATCATGCGGTGCGAAGGGGCCACCACGACATCATATCTAAGCTCTATCTAGAAGGTGCCAAATCAGATATCCGGGACGAGCTAGGCCAGCAAAGCATTCACCTGGCCGCTGAACGGGGCGACGAGGAATTACTTATCTATTACCCTCAATTCATGGAAGGGCATCAGCCTTGCAAAGATGGACAGACCGCACTTCATCGGGCAGTGCTAGGAGAGTGCCTAGCTGTTGTTAAAATATTACTCAACAAGTTTGGTGCTGAGATGATGGATGCTCAAGATTCGCTTGGCCGAACGGCGCTACATCTCTCTGCCGAACTGGGACAGAGAAAAATCATCGCGGAGCTGATCTGCAGGAACGCAAACATGGAGTTGAAGGACAGCGCCGGACGCACAATCCTTCATTATGCGGCTATGAATTGGAACAATGATCCGGTAATACTAGACACTCTACTAGGGTACGAGATACTGGAGACTCTGCAGGAGTATGACATCCTCAACCTTCCTGACAATGACGGACGTATGCCACTCCATTACGCGGCCAGTATCGGCTATGTTGACTACTTAAATGTGCTTGTGAACAAGACGCACCTGGGAGTCAAGGACTCAATGGGACAAACAGCACTTGAAATAGCCGCTGATGCTGGTCATCTGCCAGCCATACAATTTCTACTCGACAAAGACATTGAGCGAAAAGAGCTCCCGCAAGCCTCAATTGATACCGCGTTGCATATAGCGGCATCTGCTGGTGAATTAGAAATGGTCCAGGCTCTTGTCAATCACGGAGCAAGCATCTGTTCAGGAGACTCAGGGATCAAAACAGCTCTGGAGGCCGCATTGGAACAAGAACACCCTACAGTTATCTTGTATTTGACAGAGTGTGTTCTTTCATCGGACCCGCCCGGCGAGGTTCCCGCTGGCTGGGTTGAAGTGGTCAGAAAGCGACGGCCAATTTACTGAACCATCCGCTCTCCATTACGCCATGAGTAGAGGGTACGCACAAGTGGCCAACGTCTTGATCAAAGAAGGGAAAGACATATATAGAACCGCCGAGGATGGTACGACCGTTCTATCTCTTGCCGTTACAAAGGGAGCTGAGATCGTGATCGAATCACTTGTCGCTGCGTATGGTAAAGCTATCTTGGTGGGAGTGAAGATAAACCACTTGGCCAGGATTGGGGCGGTAACAAAAGCACAGACACCCTCGGATTACTGGAATTATGAGCTATCCCGATGGGGCACGCTAGCCGACTCATTGTCATCTTCTTGGGCAGCGGTCCAGCATCTTGAGCAGGCATTCCGCCTGACGAATGATCCTAGGGTTAAAGGTCTGTTGGCTCCCAAATTGGAGACAATATATACTGAAGCCGGCCCAATGGCACTTGGAGAGTCCATAGCTCCATCCACTCTTTATGGAAGGCAGATATATAGGGAGCAGCCGTGGGACGGTGGACCCTTCATAAAATACGCACCTTTGCTTAAGGGTGATCACTCGAATGCTTCTGAGAGGGATGAGGGAGATAAGAGTGATGAGAGTGATGACTCAAGGCGACAACGGCGAGGAAATCGAGGAAGGGAAACGCTTTCCTTCTCTAATAGTGACAACGAGGACGAGGACTAGGCCGAGCCACGTGGGATAGGACTCTCATGCAATGCCCAAGCCAAGATCTTAAGCATGGTGTCATGTTAAACAACCTAGAATTTATGTATCATGTTATTTGCTGTCGCGTAATATCCTTAGTGTCTCAAATTCTTCCATAAGCTACATGGCTATAATTATCCTACACTCGCCTTCTGCTCGAACTTTGTATATGCTTGGACAATAGGGGCTCAAGGTCGACACGCACTAACTGCATTACTGTTTCGTTAGTCACGACCAGAACGTCTTCTTGGCTCATTAGATGTAGTTCCACGTCAATATACATTGCTAACAGCGATTTAGTAAGTACGGAAAGAATGAACGTTGGTCGGCGGGCGGCACGTACGGTTCGTATATCCATCATTGGCAACCAGTGCCTTTGCACCTACCACCGGCATTCGCGTACAATCTTCTCTTATTGCCTTTCCACTCTTGGTCTGGCTAAGATCTCTGACTATGAGAGAGATAGCGCCCCGCGGAACATTTCGGTCACCAGTCAATTTGACTCCTTCCAGTCGGTTGTCCGTTGGTTGGTGGAATAGGAGGAACTCGTACCCGTGCCCGGGGAAGAACCCTAACAAGAGCTCAAGGTTAGCCGACTTTCACTGTTTAGCTTGATGACTAGCAGTAGGGGCATCTTTACCCATCCAAATACCTCTGTATGGGCGATTTTCTTCAGGAGTATACACCGCTGGAACTAGAGCAGCGAACGTCGCCGCTCCCGACGGCAGATCCCTCAGATAGAAAAGGTTCTCACTATGACCGCTAATATGATCCCCAACGTCTTGATGTGTAACATGAGTTCTTTCAAGAGCAGGCACCGTCTCGGGGGCCCACAAATTTGTATTCGCAAGGCGTCTCAGGCTCGTTTTCTGCAATTGAGTGCCGCTCCGGAGGCGGAATACGGACTGCTCGCTCAAGGTGACATCTGCGACACAAGAGAAAACCATTTTCTTTGGATAGAGGTCACTCGAGACACGTCTCCTGGTTGACTGGGACTTTTCGCTTTCCACAGCCTCAAGGAAGTAGTCTTTGGTTAGTCCTCTCTTTGGTTTCGACTTTGCCACCAACAGCCCGCCGACGAACGGGGTATCACTGATCCAGAGTTTGTGGTGCAGCCACTGGTAATCTTCATATGGCAGCTAAGTTTCGGGAGGAGGCGATCGTACCAGGTCGGACTGTACCGAAGGAGAGTGAGTATGCAGATTAGGTATGTTATATTATCTGGGAATGCCGTGTCTGCTTATTCTGGAGAAATTAATCCACGCACTTAAGTATAAATAGAAGTCTAACATTTTCAATTCAATGGTGGTACTCAATCTAGCTGGCGATGCTGAATAGCATGATATAGGATGCTGAATCTTGGAAGACCTTCACGAAAGGGCTAGCCGTGGATCCTCTTCAAATCCCTGCTCCTGTCAGACATGACTGGCGAGCACCTTCAGCACGTCCTGTTGAATGACGTTATCTTATTAGTTTGAGCCATGCTGCTTCCCGAGACACAGTTCCTCGAACTCAATGACAAACAGAGGACCAGAGATATGTATAACTGACCATTATTGAACCTCAATATGAGAACGCTCTCTGTTCGACGAAGATTATAACGAGTATCAATGTTATTAATCTTCTCCCACTTATGAATCGCCGAATCAGGCTTTTCCCTATTTAGCTGAACCGTCAGGATAACATTAACGTCCTCGGCACAAGCATGGTGCCAGACTCAAATATCCGTTTTTATCTTTGCCTTCTTATCGGTGCATGCACCAGACCTCTCCGGAGGAAAGACTCTCGGTCGCCAGCTCTGATAGGGGTCTTTTGCTCCGATACCGGGAGCGAAATAGGGGGTCTTCCCAGGTACGAGAGCGCGAATGTCATGTCCATTTGAGTCAATGCTGTAACTAGCCCTGGACCAGTGCACTGGTGGTTGCAAATCCAACTTCATGAGCAGCGTGGTTAACGAATCCACCAAGCAGTAGCTCCAGTTCGAAGTCGTAGAAATAAACATGAAGAAATGGGAAATATATAGCAAATGTCTATGAGGTTTATATAAATCTAAGGATCTTTCTTGGTAAGCAGGCTAATAGTCCATTGCTTCCCAAGCCAAATGAACCTTTAGAGCCCCCATGCTGGTTCTTGGTGTGACGCTGGTTTTGAGGCTCTGGTGTATTTTCCCTCGCCACTTGCTAAGCAATACCGTTGTTACACAAGATCTAGCTTTGCCTCATCGCATTGGGTCCCATGCCGCCGGGTAAGTATCGGCGCTCCCTCTTAATGGCCGCTCATATGCTGATCGGTTCGATAGGCGCCGCTGCCCAGGAGCGCGGGAGCTTGTTCGTTCTCGACAGCGAGGATATAAACACGGAGGACGACCTTGACGCCGTGAAGGAATCTGCACGACCCTTGTCGAAGACTATCGAATCATGAAACATTTCACGGGGCCCTTCGGTCTTCCGGGAATCGCGAACGCATCCCGCTTGAATGCCGGAGGCGATGGAACACTCCGGTTGGTCAATATACCTTCCTTTGAGGTGGGCGATCTAGAGTATGTCGACGAGCTCTGGTTGATCCGGTTGGACGAGTTGGAGACGTTTTTGGTCCGCAAATTGGCAGCTGCTGGGTCTGTGACGCTAGATATCGGGTCGCATCTTGACACATTTGAGATACCTGCGCTCGATGGGGTTGAGTATTTGGAATTGACAGGGAACTTTACTGAGTGGGTGGTCCTCTTTATCCCTGGTCCGTATGTACTTGCAGCTACTAACAAGAGATACTGCCAGCGTGAGCTTTGGGACACTGCGTAATGTCGCCCATGACCTTAACGTAGCTAACCGCCGGTTCCTCAACCCTTTGTTGAAACGGAGACAACCATGAACGTTTCCTTCCCCAAGCTGAACTCATCGGAGCCTATTTTCGTGATAGGACGCACTTCGAGGTATGTGCCTCGGCTATTCTAATTTTGAAAAAGCTAACAAAGGCTATACAAGTTTCTCCCTTCCTGACCTTACCTGCCTTACAGACCCTTGTTGCCGATGTAGGCGGCGTAGAGGAGGAGGAGGAGGAGGAGGTCTTTGTGTATGTCTGAGGGGAGCGGGTCAGCAAAGGGCGTGTAGAGGTGTGGGATTGCTTTCTCGTGGCCTGCCTCGGCTTGGGTATCCTTTGGCCAGTCATCGTTCCCACATACCCGAGGGTATGAGGGGCCACGTAAAATGGGCTCTACTCCAGTCAGGGAAATTTCAGAAGGGCCGCTAGTATTTGGGCCATGGGTGCCGCAGGGAAAGTGCAATGCGGTTCCAAACTCGTCTTGGAGGTTATCAACAGGAAGCTCAAATGGAAAGCCTTCTCTAGGTATAAATGCAACCAAGGGCTTACTATTGGCTGGCAGAAAAGGCCTGCAAAGCTCCTTTATATCGTTACATAGTATTTCCATCCTTTGCATAGCTCCAAGCCCTCTCAAACTCATTCCACCCCCCAGGCGGAGCATCCCACATGGCCAATTCACGAACCACCATCTCGTAGCATCCATCACTGGGCATATTTCCCTGACAGACATTCCCCCCAACGGCAATGTTGATGAGGATCCGAAACTCACTCATCTTCCTCGTCCCAGGCGGCTTCGCCGCTCTCATGACGGGCCTGCCATCAATCAGCCAGACCAAGCGGCCCCTCCCCGTCGTTTCGTCCTCATCCCAGATAAAGTCGTACCGTACCCCCGGCGGCGAGGTGATATTGGGGATCGGGGTTTCGAGAACCCTATGCTTATCCCAGTCCTGCCCGTTGAAGTGGCCCCAATGCAGACAGGTGTGGTTAACCGCATCGCCATTCCACGCCTCCATAATGTCGACTTCGCCATCCTCGGGCCACCGAAAGGGGTCTCTAGGCAGCAGCCAAAACGCAGGCCAGATCCCGCGTGCCACGGGCGCCGTGATCCTGGCGGACAGACAGCCCCGCGGGCGACCGAGGGTCTGGTGGCTCGACAGCCGGGCGCTGGTGAATTTCTGAGAAGGGTCGGGGTGTCCGTGGTTGATTAGAGCGCGCACGACGAGCGCATCGTCGCCCTGGTGTGCATGGAAGGAGTTTTGCGGGCTGGCGATGTAGTTCTGCGCCTCGTTGTTGCCCCATCCGTGTTGGCCCTGTTCGTGGTGGAAGTTGGCGGACACGGGGACTTGGGGGTGCAGATTGGGTCGCCAGTAGATCTGGGGTTGTTGCGGGCCCTGCTCCTGATAAGGTGGTGGTGGTCGAGTGGAGGCTGGAATAGGTGGTGGCGGTGGGGGTGGCCTGTTGTAGTTGTACGATAGACCCGGCTTGGAGACGGGATGGCTAAATTCCCCCCAAGCCTTGTCTGCCTTGTCCATAATGCCCTGAAGCGCCTGTCTGAATGGCATGTTGAAACACGACCTCGTATAGATGTAGTTGTACAAGTAGTGGTAGCGAAGACGCGGGAAAGAGACGGTAAGCAAAGCTGACGTAATATTGTGGATATCAAACCTGGTGCCTTAGGCACTAAGGGTATGCAAACTCTGCAAACGACGCTGAACTTTTTGTGGTCGATACATGGCCAATCCAAGTTGCTTAAGCCTAGCGAGTAGCGCTACATGATCAAAAATCTTCATCTTGCATGGTCATCAATTCTTTGCAAACAGCACGTGCCTCTCTGCTAGCACGATCTCCAAATATGGCAGCCCCATGCCCTGACCAACAACCCCCCGTAACAGAAGTCTCCAGAGCAGAGCGCTTCAAAGCCACGCACCTCGCCGCGCGCCATGGCAACTACCACCAATATTATTCCAAGTTCCGGGCGCCCGCCGTCCCAGATGAGCGCCTCTCCATTCTCCCAGCGGAGATCCTCCGCAACGCACGAGTCATCGACCTCGGCTGCAACGCGGGCAAACTGACGCAGGAGGCGGTAGCGCACTGCGGGGCGGCCGCTGCTGTCGGCGTCGACATTGACCCGTGGCTGGTCGAGCAGGCGAAAGAGGCGTACCCGGACGACCCCAGGTGCACGTTTGAGCACTTTGACTTCGTGGATGCGTCTGCGTACACGGGGACCGCGCTTGGAAAATTCGACGCTGTCCTGCTGCTCTCTGTTACCAAGTGGGTTCATCTGAATAGCGGGGATGCCGGGATATTGGCGCTGTTTGCGCATATTCGGAGTATACTGAATGACGGGGGGTATTTGATTATTGAGCCGCAGCCTATGAGCAATTATGCGAGGGCTTCGAAGAGGAATAAAGAGTTGAGAGAGACGTATAAGACTATTCGGATCAAACCGCCGTTTGATGAGGAGTTGATAGCGCAGGGTTTTGAGAGGGTTTTTGAATGCGAGAGGGATGAGGAAGGGTTTGCTAGGCCTGTACATGTTTGGAGAAAAACGTATCATGAGACGAGCAATGGAGATGACTCTAAATGAACCAGACGAGTTGCCTTTTATAGGGAAGATGCATATTTTCCGACTACTTCTAATACGCGAGGCTTGCTAGTGGTAAAAGCTCCCAGATGACAGGTAAAGTAAAGCTGCACACGTTGATTTCAGCATATCCATTAGCACCGCAGATAGGTATTCATAGGTATTCTGCCACTGGCAGTGGCCCTGAAGCATATTAGTAGATAGCGGATTGAATCGCCATCACATAGTACAACTTACTAGAATGCCGGTTTTCAAGTGCCCCTTGGAAATAGGCGACGCGTCCTGTGTACTCTCAGCCGGATATCACTCTGTTGGAACAAATGATACGCAAGTCGGACTGGAGGGTTTCTTGAGCTGCCCGGTCCATTTTAAGTACTACCCAGGTAGTCAAAAGGGTTTCAATGTAAGTGCAGGCGTTCATCAGGGCAGTATACCATTGGCTTAAGCACAATTTAGTTGATCCGCTCGTGCCTAGTAGACCTCCATGGTAAAAAGAATGAACATATAGATAAAGAAACATCTGAAGAAAAATCTCCTCTACCCTAAGGCTCACCATCCAGGGGAATTCTATGGTATTAACTAACCCTAAGGGGTGTATTAATAAATAGATAGATATCCCAGACTCCTCGTTGTGCCTGCGATAGCATTTGTCAGCACTGGTTCCGCGGAACACTTACACAACTCCAACAATAACTATGTACTCTCCGGCCTTTTGCTTTCAGGAATAGCAACTTGTTCGAATTCTAATACGTCGGAATGACACAACACACTAGGCCTCCAAGAAAAGTACATCAACTTTCTAATTTATCTGCCAGCTGCTGACTTGGTATATCTGTTAACATTACCTAGGCGTGTGATCTATGCTACCGCAAAAGAATCAAATGCGACGCACAGCGACCACGTTGCTCGCACTGTGTGGTCTACGACTCGGCATGCACGTTCGAGGCAGCGAGCCGGAAACGCCGAACCAAGAAGCAGGCGCCCGATCAAGGCATCGAAGCTCTACAATCGCGGATGAAGCAACTCGAGGAGAATCTTAGCCAAGCTCTACAGAAAATCGACCAGCTCGAAACCGAGGGCCGTCCTGGTGTACAGCGGGAAACGGCGACTGCTCCCAGTCAGTCGCCTATAATAATTGCCAGTAGCCTCCAGGACTCGGGGCAGGAGGAGGTTTTTGACTTCGTAGACGTGTCACGGTCACTGGACTTGCCGCCGCTGCACGAAGCATTACCGGCTGTAGAGAAATACCTAGCAACACTCAATTCCGTTATGCCGCTTTTTCACCCCGAGAGATTGCTGCAATCGCTCAGAAGTTTCTACACGCCTCTATTAAGTCAAAGGAACTGCTCCACGTCCACCTGGGCAGCGATAAACGTGGTTCTCGCTCTCGCCCATTCCTGTCACGTTCCTTCCGACCAAGCAGCGACTCCGAGCAGAAATACCGCGGCCCACTACCTAAGCAAAGCCCAGTCCGTCCTGACGGAGGTGATAATGGGCGAAGCAGATATTGTTAATGTACAAGTCCTCCTTGGTCTAGCAATGTTGTTTCAGGGAACGCGGAATTGGAAGCCCGCAGCGACGCTGATTGCGATTGCTCTGCGTCTTGCGCATGAGTTTGGACTACACAATCGCAGGAGCTCGAGCTCTGAAAATTTCAGTGCTTCAGACACGCTTGAGCGAGATCGCGTCTTTTGGATTGCGTATATTATTGATCGGGATATCAGCATGCGAACAAGGCAGCCACCTGTCCAGCTGGAGACTGATATGGACGTCGAATTACCTGCAGCTGAGCCAGAAGATGGGGCTGGCCTCGTTTTCGTCGCCGCTGACAGCAGCAGTTCCTTGAGCTTCAACTTCTTTCGTGCTCGGGTGCAACTAGCTGCCATCCAGGGGAGGGTCTACGAATCCATGTACTCTGTGCCCGCCCAATCTCTGACCGTCGCCCATCGAAATGCAAATCTAGCAGCGCTTCGTAATATGCTGGACGACTGGGTCTCACAGATACCACCACAGTTTCGTCCCAACGCCATACTTCAAGCTTGCGACCCAGACCTTCTCAGAAGCTTTGGGATCCTCTACTCTACGCACCTCTCATGCCGTGCTCTAGTCTGTCGAGCTCATGCCATGGAGACGCCCTGGTTACAGAGCCTACAAGACTTTGGCGGACAGTCTCTGCAGCAGAGACGGGTTATTGAGCCAGTACTACTGCTACCGCAAGGATGGCCGGCGCTTGTAACCGAGTCTCGTGAGTATATGAGACTGTTCATGGGCATTGGACGGAAGGATCCTGCGTTTATCTGGTCAGTCAACCTGGTTTTATACAACACCGTATCCATCCCTTGAAGTTCTAGCTAAAGAGGCATGTTTTTCTATTCCAGGATGACCGGGTGCACGTACATTTCCGGAGCCATATGTTTGATAGCGAATAATATGCTTCACCCGAACCACAATACACGGGAACAGGACCGGGCCCTGGCGGAATTCTCATTGCCTCTCTTGGAAGATATGATACAACAAGACCCCTATGAGCCACTGAAGAAGACACGTAACGCATGTGTTGAGCTATTGCAGCTTGCTTATAACATTTCGCTTCAGAATGGCTTTCTTTTGCCCTGAATTCAAGATGGATACGAGTATACGCTAAGCAATACCAGTCACGGCAAGCTTTTGTCGTTTTCCCTCTTTAGACCTCGGCCAGTCTCAAAAGTTGAGATACGGCAATAATTTTCATTATATTGATGGATGAGCGTCTAGCCAGCAGGGTGGGAAAGTGAAACGAGGAATAAAAATGTATTGAATATACAGTAACTGACCAACTAAAAAGGAATGAACTTGAATGTAAGGAAGATTGTCATCGTCCTGATGCATATCGCTGGTCATGTCGCTTTTTGAGGGCATGACCGCACCTACATTGGCAATTGCCCTGAATCTCCGAGCACAACCCTGATTAGATGAGCCATGGTGGTCTGATTACCTGAAGTCTGTGAGCTGACTGGTTCAATGTGTTGAATACGTTCCGCGGAGCGAGGTGATACAGCTCAACGCATCGTTCAGAGTCGCCCTTCCGCGGACCCAGTGCATTACCAAGCTACACCACCAAGACGATTCAACCAGTTTAGCCTTGGTTATGAAAGTAAGTATAAGAGGACCTGACGAGGCTCGCTCGTCAGAAATGCTGCTACCACTACACTATCCAACAAGAAAGCTCTACAGATCATTCTCTTTATCCATTATGGCTGCACCCTCCCTCAGCTTGGTCTCCTTCACCAAGACCTGGCACAGCGAGCCTTATCCATTCATCTCTCCCACAAGGCCCGAGCTCTCGGCAGCTGGAAAGACCGTCGTGATTACAGGAGGCGGCTCGGGAATCGGCAAAGCCATCGCCGTTGCATTTGCGCAAGCCGGCGCCAAATCCATAGCAATTGTCGGTCGTCGACTCGACCGCCTCGAAGCCACCGTCGAGGAAATCAAGGCAGCCGATGGCTACTCGTCAACAACGCAAGTCCTCTTCGAGACCGCCGACATCAGGACCCTCGCATCGATCTCGGCCGCCCTGCAGAAGATCGTCGACCACGTCGGACCAATTGACATCTTTGCGTCCAACGCCGGCGTGCTCCGCGCACAGGGCTCCGTTGTTGGATACAGCGAGTCTGAGCTCCGCGCGATCTTCGAGACGAATGTCGTCGGCGCCTTTAATTCGCTGCAGGCGTTCCTTCCGCTCGCGGCTCCGGGCGCCAAAGTCTTCAACACATCCTCGTGCATCGCACACTTTGCGCCGCAGGCCAATCTGCCAGGGATTTTCAGCTACGCGGCTACAAAGGCCGCGGCGGTAAAGATGTTCGACTACTTTGCTGCGGAGAACCCGGGGATCCATGTTGTTAGCTTCCAGCCTGGGATTATTGCCACCGAGGTTAACCCTAACATCACCTCGGGGCCGGATAGTGGTATATATATATCCATTGGTTTATATTACTTTGCTGCTTGGCCTCTATACTAACGCCATACATATAGTACAACTACCAGCCCACCTCCTTGTGTGGCTTGCATCGGATGAAGCCACGTTTCTCAAGGGCAAGTTTGTCTGGGCGAACTGGGATGTCCAAGAGCTTATGGCGAGGGCGGATGAGATTCAACAATCGATGCTTTTGAGGGTTTCTTTGAATGGGGTTGATATGTAATGTCAAAAAGGCTGCTGTTTGAGGAGCAGGCCTCTCTCTGTTGGAAGAAGCCCCGCTTATTGCTCCTTTGTCTTCCACGAGAGGTTCTAGCACACATGTCTTCTTTCACGTCATTTAGCTATATCTAGCGCTTACCTAGCTAGATAGCTTCATCGTTCCTAGACAAATGTGTGTATTAACTATGCCTAAGCTTTCTCCCGGTTTCCATCCACCTCGCTACCCACCTTCCTTATTCTGACCTACTACATGGGTCGTTCCGGCACTACGGTGTACTACCGTGCATACTAGGAAGGCGCCAACGGTTGCCTAGGTGAGGGGAGGGTTGCACCTTCCTTTCCAGGTTATGAACATCCCATGAAATAAAACGAAAGAACGATCCACATCGGGGAGCTCTATCGGTAGGGCACCTTCATTTTTAGTCTATCAGATGCACGCGTTCATAGGTTGATCTCAACATGTAGGCGCAGTATGACATCAAGAATTGACACTGCGGTTGGTTCAGATATGGAAGACAGCTTGCAATATTCGATGTTCGCTGTACAATTCGTTTTCTGGCATAACCCCTGCCCGAAATCCTTTTTTAGGACTCGTTGAGCAGTCCTGCCATGTCACCAAAGTGCCAAGATACCCGATACCAGATACCGCCCGCCCTAGAAACGCACCCTCCACCCGCCATACGCCTACACCCCCTCATACGCCCTCACAAGCCTTGCAACATCCAACTTCTTCATCTCCATCATCTCCTCCGTCACCCGAGCCCTCCTCTCCAAGTCCCGATCATCCCCCAACATCTCCTTCAACCCGCTCGGAATCACCTGCCACGCCAACCCAAACCGATCAATCACCCACCCACACCGCTGCCGACTCTCATCCCCGCCGTCAGCCAACGCGTCCCAGTAATAATCAACCTCCGCCTGGTCTTCACAGTCAATCTGGAACGAAATGGCTTCCGAGAAGTGGAACTGCGGTCCCCCGTTCAAAGCCGTAAATGTGTGCTGTCCGTTGAGTAATGTGAATTCGACGACCATGACGCTGCCGGGCTCGCGGCCGTGGTGCTCTTTTCCGGCGTCTGTGTAATGTTGGATTGTTGTGATGCTGGAGTTGGGGAAGATGGAGGTGTAGAATTCAGCGGCTTCTTCGGCTTCATTGTTGAACCAGAGGAGCGGGGTTATTTTGCAGAGAGACATTGTATACCGTCGTTATGCGTGGAGGATTCGAGGGTTGGTAATTGTAAACTAACTGGAGTGAGTGAGAGATAAAGAAGTCAAGGGGTAACCACTGTCGAGGTTCTCTTTCTATCTTTTCGCCTCATGACATCAAGACGACCGCCCGATACGAGCCAAAGGAAACATCCCGGGGGACACTTTGTTGGCTTCGCCAATCAAGGCTGACAGGCTATGCCACTTGCATTTAGGCAGATGGCAGGGTGATCTTGTGCCTGTGCTCTTCCCAATTCAATTTTAATTTGTTTGGTGAGAAAATGCAAAATGGTCGTCATCTCCGACCGAAATTTAAGGTCCGGAGCGATTTCCGCCATAGTGATGCGGGGATCAGCTGCCTGTGGAGGCGATTGCGGCATCCCTTGGTAGATCTATCTGGGCTACGGAGTAATGTAATCCAATCCCTGTTATGTGTGTTGCGTGTAATGATCATGGATGCTATTGCCCAACTCCGAGCCTCGGACAGTTTTCCTAATTCTCCGCGCAACAGACTGGCGGCCTCTAATCTGAACCTAGTATCTACTACCACATTAGGTATGCCACGTATATACCGAGCATAGATCGAGCTCTAAAACTAAATGCCTTCTCTCGGCTTGATTCATAATGCCCAAAAAGGCCACTTTTGACCCGCGTGGATCACTATCAAGAGCAGGACCAAATACCATGTGTCGGCAAAGACACAGCTACCCCCCAAGTGGGTTGGGTTCAGGACCTCTTAGAGTTCGTTTCCTAAACAGCGACAAGCACAAAGCCAGTTACCTTGCCTCGCGAGTTGCGTGCTCAAGAGTTGGGCTGATTTTTGAGAACTGTACTTGGAGATAATGGTCACTTGAATAGAATCTCATTCTCATTCCATATAGGACCGCCCGCCTCCCTCGCGATGATCCATTTGCTGGTAGTCGAGCTCATGTCTCGGCCACTAGAGGTGCTTTTCTTCCACATTTGCAGCTTTCGGATAAGATTTGCAAATCTCGGGCATCGTCAATACTGCTAGAATCTTGGACGCAGGAAGTCGAAATACCGCACGTTGGCGTGGAGGAATGAATGCACCATGCGTTCGTTACCTTCACAAATGAAACCGGCATATTGCAACTTGCAATGTACTTAAAACTGGTATGTGATGAAAGGGGCATTTTGTACTAATTTAATGCAACCCACATCCTTGTTTAGGAAGTATAAGAGGCTATCCGCTCCCCCGGTAAACTGTGCAGCAGAGGTCCAGAGCCTCATTTGATGGGCAGCCCTCTACTGACCAGGCAGTACAACGAGGAGCTCGCACTGAACAACCACGAAGAGCTTCTGGAAACCCCCAGCCCATCCTGAGCGAGAATTCCAAGTTGGGCGATGGGTGCACCAGCCCAGCTGCTCTATCCACTCAGTGTGAAATTGGTGGAATTGGATGATGTGATGTCATTTTTTTTTCTCTTGACCTGGCTGCGGACAACCTTCACCTTTTGCCCAGGTGCTATGAGGGTTTGATTGGCATCCAGCAAACGTTGCCACCTGTCTATCCTCTTGCTCTACGAAGCTCGGTATCGCCCACCAGTACCTAGATACTGAGTGGCTTGAACAGCCGAAACCCCAGCCAGTCGCAGCCATGACAACAAGCAGAGTCCTCTGGCTGCTACTCCATCTCACGCTCTTGCTCCCCATCGCCGCCGCAATCCTCTTCGTGTTCGTCTACTACCACCGTCCTGACACCTCAATCACCACCAAAGGCAAATCCCAAACAACAGTGTTCAAAACCGTCCCAGAACGCCGCGCAATAATCGCAGCCGCGCAAGTTCCCAACGATAAGCGGAAGACCCAACTCACCACGCACGAGGCTCGAGCGTGGTCGAACCAGCGTCTTCAACGGGCATTTGGGATCCAGAATGCATTCACAACCGGCAATGGAGCCGACGCGAGGACGTTTGTGACCGAGGCCCATAGACTCATTAGGGTTTCGGCTGTGGATTGGGATGGGCTCTCGAGCATGCTTTCGCGTATGGTTCTGGATTTGATGGACTGGGCGGCTGTGGCGGATGAGGATGGCAGTGCCAGTGCTAGTGGTGGTGGGACTCGTCTCAAAAGTCATGCTGGCTCCGGTGGTACGGGCTCTGGCGCTCAAGACGTCACTTGTGGTTCTGTTCGGGATGAATGGTACTGAGAACCAGCATCTTGTGGATCTCGGAACCATCATCCACGAAACTTGGATGGGTATGAAAAGCGGAAATGGAGAAGACGTCCTAGAGTTCAAGGAGAATCATACCCTCCAAGGTCGACTCTCGGCCGTCTTCAATGCGAAGCACAAGAACAAGGGCAAATCCAAAAGCAAAATCGACATCCACGACCCACACTCCAACCCACTGAGCTGGATTCTCCCGGGCTTCGAGACTCTTTGGCGGATTGTACTCAGACTATTCCCCGTGCTGGACAGCAGTCAGCGCGAAGAAGACTATAGACAGATTCTTCCTGGCTTTGTGCACAGCCCCACGCCTACCCAATTCAAACTTGAATCCGACGACGAGCGCATCTCGGCGGAATCCCTCGTCAAAGAGGCACTCCGCCTCTACCCACCCACGCGACGAATTCGGCGCGCATTCCAGTTTGCGGGGGGCTCCACGGATCCCAATTCTAACAATCGAGTTGAGGTTGTGACTGCAGCAGCAGACGTAGAAGCTTGCCAACTCGACACGGACCTCTGGGGAGCGGACGCAATGCAATTCAACCCAGCCCGATGGAGGAAGGAGGAGGTATCTATATCTGCTTCTTCTTCTTCTTCTTCAAGAAGAAGAAGAGAACCGAGACCAGAACTTCCTCGCCTTTGGGGATCGGCCATTTCTCTGCCCGGCCAGTCGCGGTTTCGATCCGATGGTGATTTGCGCTTGTTAGATCCTTGCTGCGGGCCCCTTCCGCTGGTAGTGGTGGCAATGGCCATGGCAATGGTGTTAGATGGGTGCTCGGGTCGAATGAAGCCGCAGATATGGAAGAGGTGTATTCAGGGACGAGGCTGAGGAATGAGAGGGGTGTTTATGAGGGTGTTTTCTGGAAGCTGGCCGGGTCGTGTAGGACGACCTCACTCAGCTCAGGCCGCCTCTCGGGACAGTTCAAGGGTGATGAGGCCTAGAATATCCGATTAGACTCTGCGCTCAGGAGCGAAATCCCATAATAATGATCCGTGCTTATGTTTATACGTGGACAACTATTTGCATGGCGGCCTTCTACCGGTTAGCCACATCAAATATCAGTCACATCCCGGACACATATACATGTTTTATCAGAAGGACAGGGCTAGGTGAGAGCGTCATTGCATGTTTGTTTATCCATCTCCGGCTTTGACTCGCGATTTCCACGCACGAAGGGGTACAGAGCTACCTTATGAAATTGTCTAGGTTTTGCGCTCGGAAGTTTCGACTGATTCTCGAAAAAGAGACTGGAAAACTTGCACTTGAACAGACTTCCCATTCATCTCTTAAGCAATATCAACAGTGTTAAAGAGCAAGCACGAACTAAACAACATGTTTTGAAGCACAAGTCTTGACTTTGTAACGAAAGAAGCGGAGCAAAATATTCTTCTCCAGTCTCAGCAACTTCATCCCGTCCCCGGCACCTGGCCGCCGTCAAGCGGTACCACCTACTTCCCGTTCAGGCCCTTACAAGCACTGGGAGTACCACGGGTTCACAACAGTGCAAGTCCACGGGCTAACACATGAAGTCGCTCCCGTCCATCCATTTCCACCACACTGCTGCCAGTGCCCAGCCTGGTTGGTCGGGTTGGAGGTCGCGCTGCTGGTCGTAGTCGTCGAGGTCCGAGTGGTCGTGGTAGTCGGGTTTCCAGGCCCGCTGTCCTCACCAAAGGTCGACCCAATGGGCCCGAACTTGATGTTCGAGTAGACGACGTACGCATTGGGGTGCTCTGCTTCGACGACCTCGGGGACACCAGAGTCCGTGGGGCACGTTCCGCGGGCGACACCTGGGGTGGATGGGTCCTCGTCTACCGGGTATGTCGAGTCGAGCCAGAGCATGTTTGCGTAGGTGTCGTCCCACAGAGACAAGACCAGGACGACGCCCTGATCGAGGGCCTCGCCCATGCCGGCCATTCCGCCGTGCGGAGTGAAGACGTCGACGTCGTCGAAGAGTTCCTTTTGGGCTTCGCAGAACTCGGTTGTGATGGAGTTGCCCGGGTTCGCGGGCCAGGTGGATTCAGAGTTGGCGATCACGACGCCGTCTTGGACGTAGAAGCGTTTGATCTCGGAGAGCGTGCCCGTGTCGGTGCCGTCATCGGTCAGGAATTGCGTGACGATCGTGAAGGGGCTGTTGGTATCAACGGTCATTCCGGGCCCGTAGAAGGTGTGGTTGCCCTGGCGGTAGGAGTTGAAGTCGCAGCCGTCGGGATCGCAGGTTCCTGCGTAGCGATCGGGGCTGTAGGTTCCGCCGCAGGAGTCGCCGACACAGCGGACCTGGCCGGGGACATCGCAGGGGTGTGGGGTAAAGGCAGTGGAGATGCTGTTCGCTTCCCAGATGTCCATCTCCGCGCAGCAGGAGCCGTGGCCGCCAATTCCACCGTTGGGGTTGGTCTCAGAGGGTTCCCATCCTTCGACGTTGGCCACGCCGTTGATGAACTTCAGGTCGCGAGGGCACTGCGAGTCGCAGTATCCAGTTCCGTACTTGGCGCCTGCTTCGTTGGTGGGGAAGCGGGACTTGCCACCGTCAGCGTCCATGTTGACGAAATAAACAGCTCCGTTCAGGCCGCAGGGGAGTTCGGAGACGTCAACGTCAAAGGTAAACTCCCGGTTGAGCAGGTGGAACATGGTGTATGTGTCCTCGTCATCCATGAGGTAGACGCGGGAACCAATGTTCTTCTGCTGCGACTGCGTAACAAAGTTCAAGCGGAGAGAGTTGCCCGAGGTGGTGATGCCGTAGGTAGACGCATACTGAGCACCGTCAAGAGCACAGTTCTCTGCGCACGCTTCGTTGTCCGGGCAGAGAGTCCGATCCCAGTCGTTGCCAGTGTAGCAGTTGGTGTATCCGCCCACATTATGCAGCCAGCGCCAGTTGGAGTCGATGACAATCTCACCATCGACGGTGCTGCAGCCGCTGCTAGTGCATTCCTGCCAGGTGAGGCTGGGATGTACCTCTGCCTGCTGAGTGCCGACCTTTTGTGCCTGCACCGCCGAGAGCAGCGAGGAGAAGAAGAGAAGAGCTTTGTAGACCTGGAAAGAGGATGCCATTGTAACTAGCTTGAGAGATCCAGAGTTGGTTGTCTGCTCAGAATGACTTGTACAGAGTCAACCGGCGACCCTTTATACCTGCTCCGTGCCCACATCTTCAGGATCTGGCGATAACACCACGGCTCTCCGGTCCGTTCACCGTCAAGCGAAGCGAAATGAAGCCATACAAGCGATCATGATACAGTCTGCAACCGCTGGTCAAGCGATGCCGCTCCCTTGACGAAAGCGGCAGTCCGGGTTGCCGGCAGTGACCAGAGACGGGGACATCGTGAAGGAACGCGGAGGATGCAGAATCCGGGGAAGCGGCTAATGCACGTTAGATTAAGCACAATATATGGGGTGATGGCTGAGGAAAGCAAAGTCGGCTTTTTCCGGCGAGGAAAGAATAAGCGAGCAAATCTGCCAATCACATCGTTCCGTTTGTTGCGGGGAAATGGGCAGACTCTGCAGAGGTGGTGGCACCGGAGGAGGCGTAGATTAATTTCTGCAGGTGATATTGTGAATGCTCGTATAGCGTCCGGCGATTCCTCCGTCTGGGCTGTGATGAAGACTCTGGAGTACATGTGACGGTGAAAACAGGGTCCTCACCCTAGAGGGGTCAACATCTCGAGTCCTGTACTTCGAGTACAGAGCCTGTCCCTTTTTGCGTCTAGTTTATTTAAAGGCAGTTCTAATGTGCAGTAACGATAAACTGGCGTATTGCATACATTGCGTGACTGGTTGCGGCATATTTGCGCGAGGCTGGGAACACTGCAGCCCACAACCCGATGCAACGCCTAGTTTCTCTCTAAGCAGAGTAGAGCCACTGTCAGAAATTAGGCTGCCTGCTTGAGACTAAAGTGATATCTCCGGCCGTCACTAGCAGCGACTTCGTCGGGCTTACTGAGTGTTGTGAGTAGAATAAGCGCCGGGAAACCGAAACGAGAGCGGACGAAAGACAGCTCACAGTCATCCAAACGAGGACTAACTCATAAACTCTCTCGGTTATCGAAGGGTGTGACTGCAGTCCGTATAATAGACCGGCCATGAAGCCGTCCAATCGTGGTCCTCAATGGATGTCATTTTAGCCACGGAAGTCTCCAACCGAGATGACCGCAAATTCGGACTCCTGCTAGACGGCGAAAAAGAGTACCTGGCGATCGCGCAGGGAACCTATGACCGGTCCACAGACTATTTGCCGGTCTGTACTTGACAGCCTCTCCCAGCAGCCAGGCATGGAAGTGTGCAGTAAAATGGCTGGAAGACCAGCGTGTAGAAGTCGACGTCGTCACTTCGGGTGCTGACCAGAGTTCAGCTTATCTGGCGTCTAAACTCAGTCAATTGCTTCGATCTGAGTCAGGTCGAAAAGCTGATCGGCGCTGGCGTTCTAGGCGATTCATGAAGACGTCGCAAAAGAGCAGACGTCCACCAGGATAGAAGATGAATCCCACATCTAGCAGATCCGCAAAATATAGGCTTAGCACCGCGCTTTGTAGATCGTGTTCATGATGCAATCGCGTTATTTCGTTCTGCTGGACAAGGTTGTCGGGCTTGCAGCGATAATCGACGATCTTAATATTTGCGGAGCGGCAGATCAGCGGTTCCAAGCTTCATTTATCCACGTCTGGTGTCATACTTTATGATGAAGAGCCGACATCAACTGACTTCCAGGCGAGCGAGGCGTGCCAGACTTAACAAAGGGTGACGAATTCCGAGCTCAAAGACAGGCGAGGATGATTAATGGATGAATCGCACACTGAGAAGGAGCAATGTTGGCCTTGTGAAGCCAGATCTTCAACTTTGAAGCTTTTGTTTAAGCCCAACGGGACTGACATTCCTGTAAAACACTGCCCAGTGTCGATCATATATCGATCGCCGGTGATGAGGATTGGGGCAAGGGAATACTGGCGTTATACCACAGCGCCTGGGACTCTGGTAGCCCACACTGCGGCATGGATACAGGTCCTAACCATCCGAAGGTGGATGGTTCGAATCCATATGCATCAATCAATTCACCAATTTCTGATCCTCACACTCCTCAGAGTGTCTCAGAAACCCCTCCTGGGAATAGACTCTAGCTATTGTTCTGCCTCTGCCCAGCTGTCTCCAGATCGGACCGGCAGCCGTTGCAAGAGACTCGTACTCTACGGCTCCTGTAATTTTATGAACAAACGGCATCACAGCTATCGCTATACAGAGCGCCAGATACGTCTGCTCCGTGTACATGATTGCAAAAAGGTGTCGAGGGTCGACTGCCTTCGGTCCGCGGCCATCGAACTGAGCCGATAGCTCTGTTCTTGCCGCAAGGCGTCTGTGGTATATACTCCTCCATTACTGGGACGGATAGTGACTTGGATCCTTCAGGTGGTCATTCAGCCAGATGCGTGTGGTCTATGGCGGAGTTCCCTGCTAGCTGGGCTGGGGGCCTTCCAACGCACGGGAAGCAACAGCGGGCTAGGGTCGGGAGGAAGATGAGCCGACCAAAGGAACTGCAAAAGGGGACAATTCTCCGTATAGAGAACTTCAGCGATGTCCTGTAAAGTGAAATGCTGCGCCAGTTCGCTCCGTGACAGGATACACAGGTGTCGAGAGCGTGGAGGGCTAACACTAGGTATGACCGGAGCTGGGAAGCGATTTGTGAGAAGCATCCGTTGACATGGCGCAAAGCAAATATGGATGCAATGTCACTGTAGGCACAGATCTCGAGTATGATTTCAACAGGCAGGCATTGGAGCGTCCCAAGTGTTGCAGTAGCTGGAAAGAAAGGTTGGAGTAACGCATCGCGAGCCCTCGCATGCTGCGCTGGATTGACTCTCAACAACGGCAAGATCGTACTCTTGGCGGTGATAAGTCGCGGACTGAGTAACGTCCTCACAGTTGCTTCGCGGTTGTCTTCCCAGTTGTCCTCTCAATCAGTGCTGGGAGCAGCGTGAGAACAGTGTCCAATCAAGAACTTCATGAACTCAAGCTCTAGTAAAAAACTCCATGGGCCAGAAATGTTCCAGGTGGTTCCACATGACAAACGTGTTTGGTCTGTCACCAAAGCAGGTAAGGCGGATTCCACATGACGAAAATGAAGTCCAGTGTCAAAGGCCCCATAAGAAATATGGATAGGATAATGTGATCATGATGCTATCTAACTCAAAGCTACAGGCAAGTACAGGTCATCGTGGGAGTGGGTAAAGCAGCAGACGGACGACCAAAACACGTGATCTATGACCCCGAGCCTCATTGGCCATCTGTATGGATGACTCATCAGCGCCCAAAACGGCGATCACGTGACCACCCCACCGAATCGAGTAACGATATCCGCGATTTTACAAGTGAGTCAAAAAGCAGTCGCCCACCAAACCCCTCACCCCTCCATCTCCCCTTCAATCCTTCCCCAGAGACCCCAATCGCTTCGCACAAAGGGCAATTCAACACCGGCCAGCCCCAATCCACCCCAATCGTTCAACATGAGCTTCATCCTCACCCTCTCCTGCCCCGACCGGCCCGGGATCGTCAGCGCCGTGACGAATTTCCTCGTGCAGCACAACCTCAACATCATCGACTCGTCCCAATTCGGCGACCCTACCTCGCACCGCTTCTTCATGCGCATGCATTTCGGCCCCGACACCACCGGCGCCAGCTCGAGCGAAGAGAAACCCGCCGCCTCCCTCGACCTGGAATCCCTCCGCGCCGCCTTCGAACCCATCGCGACCGCGCACTCCATGTCCTTCCAGCTCTTCCCGGCCGACCACAAGCCGCGCGTGCTCATCATGGTCTCGAAAATCGGGCACTGCCTCAACGACCTCCTCTTCCGCCAATCGACCGGCCAGCTCGCGATCGAAATCCCGCTCATCGTCTCGAACCACCCGGATTTCGCGCCCCTTGCCGCAACATACAAGATCCCCTTTGTGCACCTCCCCGTCACGGCCGACACGAAGCCGCAGCAGGAAGGCAAGATCCTCGAGCTGATCAAGGAGCATAATGTTGAGCTTGTCGTGCTTGCGCGGTACATGCAGGTTCTGTCGCCGACGCTGTGCGAGGCCATGTCCGGGAAGATTATCAACATCCACCACTCGTTCCTGCCGTCGTTCAAGGGCGCGAAGCCGTATCATCAGGCGTATGATCGTGGTGTGAAGCTTGTTGGTGCGACGGCGCATTTCGTCACGAGCGATTTGGATGAGGGGCCGATTATCGAGCAGAATGTTGTGCGCGTCGGGCATGGGATGAGTCCGAAGGAGCTGACGCATGCGGGAAGTAACGTCGAGAGCAACGTACTGGGATCTGCGGTTAAGTATTTCGCGGAGCGGAGAGTGTTGCTCAATGGGCATAAGACTGTTGTCTTTAACTGAACCTGATCTGATGGGGCATGTACCTTGCTTTGATTGGTGTTGAGGCTATGTTGGATATGCTTGTGTATATACAAAATTGATAGGAGCTTCACAGTTGAATTTCGGAATGGAAGGGGTGGTAGTCTTCTTCGCCGGCCCATTGGGCTTCGTGGAGAGACTCGTCCATTTGCGATGCGTCCATACCTGCAATGATATCCCTGTAATTGTTAGTAACGTGCAGTGTAAGGTGATGGAAGACTCACTCATCCGTCGCCAGAACCTCAAGGCCAGGAACGCAGTCGATTAGAGCGTATATCACATAGCTTCCGACAAAGCTCCATGTAAACCCGATCAACGCCTCGACCAATTGCACACCGAGCTGACGCCAATTCCCGTCGAAAACGCAACCACCGGCAATGATTGTCTCGCCATCGTACGCCGCTACCTCTCGCTGCGCAAACAGACCGGTCGCAAGTGTTCCGAGCAGTCCTCCGAGGCAATGCGTCGCAAAAGTATCGCCATTATCCACCCAGCGGCGCAACGCAGCTCCCTTGGTGAACTTGATCCGCAGTGCCTGCCGTCCGGCAAGGGCACCAACCACTCCAAAAGCGACAGAGGTGTTGAGATCGATGAACCCCGCGCTTGGAGTGATGAGGACAAGCCCTGCGATAGCGCCTAGGAATGTGCTGTCGAGGCTGAACTTGCCTGTTTCCCAGTATGTAATCCCAGCCCATGTGAGCGCGCCCGACGCAGCACAAAGGTTCGTGACACACGCCGCCATCACACTCTTGAAGTTCAGGGCGAGAGTTGTACCAGCGTCGAAGGCGAGCCACGCATTCCAGATTATGATGAGCGCAAGGAGCTGGCAAAGCGAGTTATGCGGCTTGTGGAGGCGGAGATGCTGAGGTGTGCGTTTGCTGGATCGGCGGGATCGGAAGACTGGGTAGGAGAGGTAGATGCTCATGGCGGTCGCAGTGGCGCCGCTGCAAATGTGGACGGGGGTGCCGCCGGCGAAGTCGAGGGCGCCTAGACGCGCAAGGAAACCGTTGTCCGACCAGACCATGTGGGCCAGGGGCGCATAGATGAATGTGCTCCATAGCTGTAGGGAACGTTAGTCAGTACCAGGCGGAGAAGAGGTTGGCAACATACGAAGATGAATGGAATCAATGGAAGGAGGCGACCACGTTCACAGGCTCCGCCAATGGCTATAGCACACACAGTCGCGCAGAAGATGAGCTGAAACTCCGAGAAAAGAACTTCGGGAATAGTGCCAACGGGCTCTGCGAGGACACCGATATGAAACGCCTTGGAAAGGTCACCGATGAAAGCATTGCCTTCGGAATAAGCCAGTGAGTATCCAATCATCCACCATTGCAGTGAACAGACGGCGACAGCGAGGAGACCAGGGTAAAACGAGGCAAGACTGTTGAAGCGAGTCGAGTAGCCCGAATAGGCGAGGCCAACGGCTGGTATGATGAGCCAGCAGAACACCGAGCAGACGAGGATGAACAGAGTGTCTGTCTTATCGCAGGCCTCCCACGCGGATAGGACCGACATCTTGGCGTTAATCTAGAATGATGGGAGGTTTCGAAGGTGGCTCCAACAAACCACCACAACACTCCTCCGACTTGGAGAAGGGAGCGCATTATATCGTGGGGATTGGGCGATGCGGTACTTGTTGGAGAGCTCCTTATCAGCGTGTGAAGGCTCGAGCTCGCTCTTATCGCTGCTCTCGACCAGTGAGAAATGGCGTGGCTATCAGTTCAGACGATCCTGCGAGATTAGCCCGTCTGAGATGCAGGTCGTCGCTAGTCAGGAAACTAGTGCTCAACCTCGGTTCTAGGGTCAAGCATCATTGCGATGCGAATTGGTGATGAACAATCATCTACCCGAGCGTTGTCGCAGCAATGCCGCTACGTCGGCGTAGATGCCGTTGCTCGCATCCTGTCGGGAGAGAATCTCATCTGCAATCTCACTCGCCCAGAGATACTCCGAATGGAATTGACGCAGATCGGTAAGACGATCTTGCAGCCATTCGCGATGAGAGGCATCTTTTGTTTCGATCGCTGCCATCAAAATTGGCCAGTGCAGTCGACGCATGAGCCGTGGATCCGACTCGTATTGTTTCTTCGTCATCTCGATGATGTTTGTTACAGCTAGGTCGTGGAACTTGGACGGCGGGCCAGGCGGATTCAAGAGGCGACGGTGGAAGAGGACATGTGCGTAGAACAAGCTTACGCCCATGTAGATTGTTATCAGCGTGCGGCGTGTCGAGGTTATCCGGGCCAGCTTGGCCGTCAAGAAGAGGTCCGAAAATTGCTGGCAGGATTAGTTTTGCGTCTGCGTCGCGGAGCTAGGTAACGTACTTCACGGATGGCCATGATCTGGGTCCAAACCAGCTTCGCCTGGCGTTCAGTTTCCGCCGGATCGTCGGTAAATGCCTGCCAGATTTTATGCCGGAGAGTCATCGAGGTATGCAGGAGTTCCAGTCCACGGTAGTTTTCTATATCGTCAGACACCTCCTGATCAGGGTACTGTTGACCCCAGAAGCATCTTCCCCATATCCTAGCGCAACGGTACAGCCGGTCAGGGTGCAGAGAATGGTTGCCTGACTGAAGGACAAAGTCGTAGAGTGAATCAGTCATACCCACGGTACGACAACCTGATTCGATGTACAGGATCCAGAGCAACAATTGCTCCGGAATGAAAGACACTTTAGGTCGTTCAGCAGGCTCGAGATCCATAGACATCAGCACCTCGTCGACATCTTTGTTCTCGAAAAGCAGAGGATGCGACTCCAGCAGCGAGCGCACGCCTCGCAGGTGAAGCTGCAGACCCTGCACTGACTCGCCAAATTGCCATTCATAACATATCATGAGGAACATGGTCGCAAAGATAGTCTCCAACTCGACCTGGGAGACCAACTCTCGAGGAGTCTCCAGCAGCTGGCGGAATTCTTTTACCGCGCGTCCGTAATGATACCGACCGTGATCCTCAGCGGTTGGATGACCGGGTAGGCGCACCGCCAGTCCATTACGGTGCATGTCGCTCGCAGACAATGCGAGTATCATGCGCATAATGAGCCTGTTGGCGATGGCAGGGCCCTGGTACAGGTAGCTGAAACTGCTCCATTGCCAATTCTTGATGTAGTAGAACACAACAGAGGACGACGGAAAGTATTGGAAGTACTGCTGATCGCGCTCCGACAGTATCAGCGAATTGGAGCAAGCGGCGCCAGTTTCCGAGAGCGATGGGTAGAGCGGGGTCGGAAATGTCCAGCCCGGCGGAAAGATGGTCTCAACCGGCGACAGGTTTGGGACGATGTGAGGGGAAACCGCAAACGTCGGGCTGAGCATTGGTGTACCCCGGACTATCTGAGACAACCCTCCATCGCTAGTTGTAGGTGTTGTCGGCGACGACACTGACCACTGAGGTCGCGCTGGTTGGATGAACCTGGCCGCGGCATTGGATCTCGCACGTCTTGCGGTCACTCCCCAGTCACACACAAGTTGTAATGAGCTGCACCGTATGCATACTGGGCGCTCCTCTCCGCACTTCACTTTTCGACGGCGACAGGTCGTGCAGCCTAGAAGAATGCGCCATCGGGTTAGCAAGACTGTGGGCGTGTTTCCCGCGGGAAACAAGGGGTAGCGAGAGCTCACGATACCATTCTTTGAACGAGGAGCATGTCGGCCGGTCATGGGTTATAAACACCCGTTCGCGAGGTAAGCCGACCTGCCCGGAGGCTCAAAATATAGGGCGAGAAGAGCGAAATTGAGTGATGGGGGCACATGGACGACATGCGAAGAGAAAGTGGAAGAGTTGGAGTTGTCCGCGGCGACGGAAAACGAGGCCGAGCAAAGGCTTAGTCATCGCACCACCTGTGGGGATATCAAAATGCTTGTCACGAGCTGTTTCCAACATCCTTCTCAAGAAATTAACGATGATGCTGTCCTTGAGCGATAATAATGGTAAGTGTTGGTAGTAGCTTGTAGGGACTACTACTAGTTGTAAGTCACCTTGATATGGTATCAGTCTCTTGAAGTGGGGTGTACATAGCAATTATGGTACAATATATATCAGAGCAACACAACTTCAGCTTCAATAAAGCCATCGGTATTCTTATTCTTTAGAAATTTGAATATTTATCCAACCTACCTTAATATTCATGCCAGCAACGTCTTGCATTCTCAACCACTCCGGCAGCCCCCATTTCTGTATCCATTGACATCCAACAACTCAATGGTAGGCCGTTGGCTCGATTCAAGGACCAACATCAACTTCATCATGGCACGGAACGCCACCTCCTCTGTTGTGAATGATTCAAGACTATGTCTCTTCCGCGGTTCCAGAATGGACTCGGAAAAGCGCGTATCCAGTCCCGATGTGTATTCCCATACCACTGACGGAGGTTCTCTTTCACATTCTTACGGCCGTCCTGGTCGAACCAATTGTTCCATTTCCTCCAATTTATTCCACCATCGCTCGAGCAGTTTCCCAAGCATCTCGACGTGCTCCATCGTAACCTCGTCTAGAGAGACGGGGAAGGCGTCGAATGGAGGTCTACATCCGAAGATATCCCAGATCGTGCATGCTAATGTCCAGGCATCTAATGGGAAAGATAGAGGCTTATCTAGATCTCCTGCATCAGCGAACCGGGCCTCTGGTGGTGCAAGTAACAGAGGCGTGTGGGCAGTGTACTGTTTTGTTTCTTTCGGGTCAAAGGCTTCGCCGAGGTCTACGATTTTGATAGGAGCATCTGCTAGAGTGACCTTATCGCAATCGATGCCTAACCATATCGGGATAACAAGCTCTGGGGGAACTCCCGGATCAAGGGCAGCCCCATCCTCACGGACAACTTAGTGGTTGGTTTTGGCTTACCGCACTAGCGCTTACTCTCTTCCTACACTCAGGTCGCCTATTTAGTCTTGTTCCTGAAACATGGCGGCCATTAATGCGATTCCAAGGCGTGGCTTTCGAAGGATAAAAGGAGACAAGTACACTTTTGATTATTCGTGGCCTCTGAACACTTACCAAAAGGCCGGGCACTGTTGGGCCGCACTAACACTGACCTTGACTATTTCTACTATCGCACGGGCAGCTCGTCATACTCGCTTGGAGGCACCCTCACCACTACATCCTCGTCCGGCAAGGTTTCCCCAGGCTGCGGCGGCATATCTAGTTCAACAATGAGGTGGTTCAGTGTATCGGTGTTGATGAGGAAGATGGCGATGAGGGAGAGGACCAGTTGCTAGATGAAGGTGTGGTTATGATGCCCTAGCTGCTAAATAGAGCCTTCATCTACGTCTTCGGTGGAAACGCTGCGCCCGACCCAGTGGTCGGAAGATGATATCCTCGATGAGGAGGGTGGGCTGGTCTTTACGGGCCACTTTGCGTCGGACGACAATGACTTGTGTTGGTCGTACTTTTCAGCCTATTCCGCTAATTCCGCTAATTCGGGTGACGATGAGGATGAGAACGCGGATCTCCGGCTGTGGTTGACTGCTTCGGGCATGTTCATCTCCTTTAATGCAGGGGAAGCCACCAGCACTAGCATCTTGGGTCGGGTGATGGACACGGGTTTTAGGGGTTTCCATTCCCCTGAGCCTGAATCCTTAGATCAAGGCGCGATTCTGGCAACGAATGTCTTTCTTATAATTGACGGGGTATGTCCTTAATTGCATCCAGTTGGCTGGCATCTTTGTCTTGTTGCTGTTGGCGAAGAATATTTAGAGCATCGAGGTGTAATTGGGGATCCGATCGCTCTCATTGCAATTACTATAAGATGTAAAACATAAAACAAGCTGCGCCTAATAGTCTTGTCAGGGTTGGGAGACTCGAGAGTTCCGTCTGAGAGGTGGTGGTCTGCTTCGTGGCGAGGAAATGGTATTTGAGCACACACCTTAAAAGCACTCCTCGGGTTTGAGTTGTCGATCGCGCCGTCATATTGAGGGAAGTGGCGTATTTGAAGGTTGGAAAAATTGGGCCCTACCCTCCCTCGCGGACCGTTTTTCCTTAGTGGACATGGCGCCTGTGACATCATCAACCAGCTACAAACGCGTGGTCACTGAAGTGAAAAAGACAACCACGGCAGCAACCTTAAAGTCTTTAGAATAAACTTGACAGGAATTGAAATACTTCTCCCTATAGATTGGGGAAGAGATTTAGTTATATGATAACCTCTTTCTCTCATAGGCTTGCCCATTATCAACATCCTGAAAATAGTATTATTGGTGTTTCTAATTGCCCTGATTTGAAAGTACTTTCCGAACTGGTAAACAGGAGATCATTAATTCTGAGAAAATTCAATGATAACTAGTTAAGTTAATAGTTAGTTAGTTACTACAAACAATGCATGTATAAGTGGCAGGAATAGAATTGATGACTTGGGGCTAAGTGCTCTGAGCCACAAGAAGGAACTAAAATCGTGCTAGCATTCAAGATCAAGGGAAACATAGGCTGTATCTACTAAAGTAGTGAAGTTTACTATTATAGCTATTAACCTGCTTAGCAGCTAATTTAGAAATCCTTAATGCTTGTGCTTTAACACCTTGGGTTCATTTTAAAGCATGGGTTTTAGGGAAAACGATCTATATCTTTACGTAGCAAAGAAGCATGACCTTATAATAAAGCTCAAGGTATATAATAGAAACCACATAAATAGGTAAACAGGTGATATGTAATAGACCTTTAAACTTATAATCTTCCATGTTCATCCACCTCTTTTATTTGGTAGTTAGTGTTTTAAGATCATTGTATCTAGAATACACTAGAAAAGCAAGCCTTGTGCATATCAAAATTGCAAAGCCACATCAAAAAGAATACAAGATGCCTGGTTCTCTGACCTAATTCTACCACCTGCAACCCAAACTTGAGGAGAAACTCGATGATGCAGCTCCGTTTCCTTAACACTCAGTACATTTATAAACTTCCTGTGCCATAACCATAGCTTGGAAACATTGCAGTTCATTTTAAAAGCTAAACGGTATTGGAAAACATACAGCCTGCTTCAACAAAGCTTCCCAGACTCTGCATCGAGAAATGTATGGAGAACGCATATGATGGTGCAATGGCAGCATCTAATGACTACGCACATTACCCCTTCGGCGCCACGTGAGATTAATATCTCACCTGCAATCCATGCGGAACTGCTTGATTTTGCTAATGTCCTGTCACCTCCATCTCCCGACCTGTTAGTAGCACCAGTCCAAAGTATGCACTACTTGATCAACGCCTCCATTTTGGAGCCGTTTTGTAAAGAATGTTCACCGAAACGTCGCATGATATCTCTGTCCACACCTTTGCTGGTTAGTGCTTGGAATATTTCGCCAACAGAGAACTTCGACGGTTGCATGACAAAAAGATGGCCGACGGATAGTAAGTCAGGTAAGGACTCAGAGTGAATAATAAGAATCCTACTAATTGAATTAAAAACCTAGTTAATAAGGACGGTAAAGACGAACCTACGTCCTCGGTCAAGAGGAACACTGTAGTCCTAGTCCGGGATTATTGAATAGGAGCAGATCTAATGGGTCATGAAGATATTGAAGCAATATGTCAAAATAATGCAGAAGCTATTGATGCAGGCAACCAAAGTTTGGATATCTCACAGGACTCTGGAAAACACAATAGGAAACGTGATAGATTATTCCATTTAATAGGTGCTAAAAATCCTTTTAAGTCCTTGAAAAAGTGAGTAGTCTATTTCAAGTTTGTCCTTCACTCCCATGTCTAATGTATAGTATACAAATTAGCCCTTGTTCACTTTGGCTTGCTTTCTATGAAAATCTGGGGCTTTACTATGTGTAGGAACACCAATTTGCAGTATCAAGAGGAAGGGATGAAAACCCCTGGAAACAATAAGATAATTATAAGGGCGTGAGTACAAGTGGATCTGCTCAACATAACAACCTTAGTAATCACGCATCAGTTCAACAAATAATACAGGGCGTTTATAGAGGTTAATACCCAAGATATTACAGGCTATAAGGAAGCTAATAGATATATATAACATATGTCTTTCCATGTATACTTTAAAGCTTGAAGGGCTTACTACTAGAACACATATTACTAGAAGTTAATACTTATGCTACTTAGCACGGCCCATAAAGTTCCATGATTATGTACTATGCACAAGGCCCGTCAAGACCCATAGTTAGTAGGTATGGAGTTATTATAACCTATAACATAGTTTAACTATACACCATGCTGTTATAAATTCACATGGTTCTGTAAGAGTCATAGTAGAGCGATCTTTAAATTTTCTGTGGTAGTGGCAACTTACCCAGAGACTGGGTATGTCTTGGCGCGATCTGGTGATGCAACTAGTGAACAGTGAATTATGGTTAGGATTTATGCACTAAAAGAAATCTTGAAAACTCTAATACAGCCAGTTCCTAGTTTCTGGCCGTAATTTAAATCTGTCAGTTTATGAGGAACCCAAGTCCAGCCTAGGGTGGGCCCATGGCGGATGTTTTAATGTCTTCTGCCCCGATGTGAAAAATTCCAGCGAGAAGCCGACCACTATACAGTCTTGACAGGATATATGAGCATGTATAGATCGCCCCATCGACGGTCCGCGCAGTCTGTCTGTCTGTTAGCAAAGTCGATCTCCCGGTGGCAACATTTCACACTTGACCGGTGATAGCCCTCAACATGGCGGGCGAAACCGGGCCTATCAACGTCTCCCGGGCGATGGCCATGTTGATTGCAGCGTTCTTCGGGATATCATGTTACAATGTGCTCGAGATCACCATTTCGATCTTCACCACCTTCAGATGTCGTCGCGGGCTCTACTTCTGGAGCATGCTGGTCGCTGCTTGGGGAATCCTACTCCACGCTATATCGGTTCTCCTTCGCTTCTTCGCACTTGCACCTAATTTTCTTATGTGTGTCTTGATATGCATTGGCTGGTACGCTATGGTGACTGGCCAGTCCGTGGTGCTGTATTCAAGACTCCACTTGGTGACTACAGAAGCTCGTCGTCGTCGTTGGGTACTATACATGATTATATCAAATTTTTTTATATTGCATGTTCCCGTCACTATACTCTTCCTCGGGAGCAATGCTGGGGTCAGCAGCTTCATCACGCCATTCAATATCTATGAACGGATTCAACTAGCTGGCTTCTCGGCCCAAGAGATCATCATAAGCGGTCTCTACATCTGGGAAACAATGACTAGCCTGAGACCTGTTCTAACTATGAAGGGGCACGCCGGCAGGAGAGTCATCATCAATCTCATTATCGTCAACACCATTGCGGTCCTATTGGATGCATCTCTGCTCGCCACCCAGTACTCCAACAACTTCGACGTTCAAACAACCTACAAGACGGTAGTCTACAGCGTGAAGTTGAAAATGGAGTTCACAGTGCTCAACAGTCTACTCACTGTGATCCACGCAAATCCCTCAACTATCGAGAGCCTCCAGCGACAGGGCCTCCAACGACAGGGCATAGTGCAACATCCTCAAGAGCTGACGACAACTGGCGGTCGACCGGCCGACGCCCCAGTTCTGCACGTCGATACCGAAGCCTTCTGCCAAAACGGAGAGCAAAATCCAGGAGGCTTTTCATCCTCTTCACGACAGTGTGGCTGAATTGGTATGAGTCCTCCATGTATACTAGCCCAGTCCTTTTAGATTTCTTTACCTTGTTTGTAATGTCAGTGCTTTGTATCCCTACAGTGCCCCATTGCTTTGGGCAGTGACAGTTCCAAGCCAACCGGGGACAGATAACCAGCAGAAATGGTCGAGTGCCTCATAGGACGGTGAAGTATGGTAAGAGGCTCTGGTTCGGCTTCTCCCTGGTCCCAGACTCGAAAGACCAAGTATAGACTCTGCCTGTCCTTGATAAGTCGGCCTCCGACATCAAATTCCCATGCTCAGAAATCAGGGAGATGGCATTATTGCCGCCGATAGTGGCTGCGCGACAAGATTGGGCGGAGCTGAGGCTTTACAGAATTCGTTTTGTACAGTGGATAGTCCTTCCATAAATGCTTTCTGGCAAGTCGTTCCACCGCCGATAGATCTGATGGGTCTTCCTTGGAGACCATCTGACTGCCTCCATTTCTCTCGCTGAAAAGACCAGAAGGAAATCCCAACAAGACCCTGCGTCGGCGTTGCCGCCTCCACCGTCAGTGGGTCCCGCATGATCTGCTGATGTGTAGCAATCAGAACCGAGTTTGGATTTATTTATATACCCATTCCTTGCCGGAGACTTGCTTCGTTTAAGCCGAACTCCTCTACCCCGAGAGACGAAAATCTACATACTTCGATGCGCACTGCATGGGCTTGCTGATATGCACGAGCGAGGAGTTCTTCACAATGGGAAGCTTACCTCCCCCCGGCCCCCACGTTGTTTTCACTTCAGTACTGACTTCAACAAGATATCAAAGCCAACAATATCCTTGTTAACTAGGATGACAGCATCCAGGGGCAAATGGTCATCAAAAAGGTTCAGATGTCGGACCTTGAGGATACGGTTCTTGTGCCACCTGGGAAGTGGCTGAGAGGTCCTCTCTGTGGCAACGCTATGTGGAGGAGCCCCTGAAAGTTGGTGTCGATCTCGCCAAAACCAAGCCTCAGATGTGTTTTCTTTCGCAATTGTGGTACGCCCGTCCCTCCCTTGGACCTTTTCTGTCCTACTAAATACCGATGCTCTCCAGATGATTTACGTTATGCTCAATGAGATGGTTTTTCGCGTCCTTGACAACCAGCTTCACGCGTCAGACACCTGGCGCTATGTTCTCCAGAGGCATTTATCTTACTTTGCCGACGAGGAGGGCCTCGCTGGACTGTTGAAGCATATTGGGGAAGATAATCCTTTTCACGAGCGTTTGATCGAACTTGCCAGCGACTTCACTTCAGAGAACCCTAGACAACCTTTCGGATCTTGGACGTATGGGGAGTCAGAATTCAGAGACCTCGTGGGCAAGATGACGAACCTAGATCCAACGAGAAGGATCACCGCCAGACAGGCGCTTGAACACCCTTGGTTCAAGCAAGCCATTTAAACACATAGGGGTTGATATTTCACCGCCATAATATTAATATTTATATTTATGCTTCCCTTCTCCTGATCTTGATGTGCATGATCGCCTTCTGACGGCCTTTCGAAGAATTTGGACTACTATGAAGGCATTCTTTTCCTCACGTCAAACCGGGCCATGACTGCCACAGCGGTAGCCCCGCTGCGCTCCCTGGACGGTGTAACGGGCCGATGAAAGACTGCGGGAGTCGCTGCAATGCTCCGCAGCCTTGTTTGTCCAATCGTATTCTTCTTGGCTGGCTGAGGCTCTTAGTGCCACAGCTTACCCTGCAGCCATTTCCAGCCCATTACCTGTCATACTAATCTCCTCTCCCGTGGGTGGCGGTGGAGACCCGACTCCGCGATATTGCTTGTATCCACACCTAGACTCGGCGCGATACGATGAAGGAAGCTCTCGCTGAGGACGAACGCGCGTCTGGACGACTTGCTCGTATGGCCCATGTGATACAGTCATTGGATGGCCTTCTTGGTCTCCCAGATCGTGGTCGAGCTCCTTAGCATAGGCAGGTTCGAGCCTGGAGGGATATCCGGGGTCTGGGCTCTTGGGTCGTGGAGTCCCGAAATGCTGTACCCTTTTTGTGGATTCTGGCCTGTGTAATGACCGAGATATCCACAATGCAGTGGGAAAACAGCGAGACTTTTGGTTTATATCCGGCTAACCAGGCTGCACTGGACCCAGCTTCCTCTTCTGTTTGGAGCAGAGTTAGTTGACGACGGCTTGTGTGTAGCGGGTCTCGGAAGATATCGAGCATGTTTAGGCTGTGATGGCACCCTGTTCAAACGGACTGAGGAGCACTAGACCGTACGCTCCCGGACCCAATTGCGGGGCTCTTATCTCCTTTCCCAAGTCCAGGATTTTAGAGATAGCTTAGATACGCTTTGACCCTGATAGCTAAAGTGCGGGGCAAGCGAACCGGCGATTTTGGATTACTGATAAAGTTTCGCCTTCCGACTGAACTATGAAAGCACCAATCGCGACATGTTCTCGAGAATTATCATTGCATGCCATGACACGGGGATTTATGTCAGGACACGGGGTCATTGAGCACATGGTCTCGGCGGATAACGCGGACTCCGGCGCCGACACCCGCCCTAAATTAGGGACCCCGGGAATCAAAAAATTTTCAGCCACCTTCATTTCTGCTCTAGCCTCTCCGAGTGTCTCTGTCTGAGACATTGACTGCAAGCGAAGATAAGCCCTCGGCCTGATCTTTCGCTGAAGAAGCCGCCCACGACTCCACGCCCAGCCAGCCCTAGCCGTGCCTAATGCAGACTATCTCCAACCGGTTCCCGCGCTTGCCACCCCCAAAGCAGCTCTGCCAACATGATAGGACCGCACACCGTGATCGACACTTGCATATGCTATCTTCGACGCAAGTGCACACCAATAATGCAACACTCCAACCGACGCCGCTATCGGCCGGCCCATAATAAAGAGGTCTTGAAGCGGGGGTTGTCGGAATCAGACGATCAGATAAGATTAATCTGGTCCACCGTGTCCCAGTTCCAGTCCCACCTATAAAGCGACCCTGCCGAACTTTCCTTCGGCCCACGCTTGATTTCCTTGATTTTCCCCCTTGGACTTTCAATTGCGTGATAGAGAAAACTCTGCACAATGGGGAGATCCTCTGCTCCCCCTCCTGAGCCTACGGATGTGGACTACAAGGCTGAAGCTGAGGCAACTATTATTCGGGATGTTGACCTCGGGGAACTGCTTGCGGTTGATTATACGCCCGAGCAGGAGAAGAGGGTCGTGCGGAAGCTCGATTTTGCGTATGTACCCCTTCATTGCCATTCAGTCCCAACTAATTCGTACAGCCTCATCCCTGTCATGGGCCTTGTCTACATGATGCAGTACATGGACAAGGTAGCACTCAGCCAAGCGACCCTGCTGAACCTGCGCGAGGATCTTGACCTCCAGGGACAAGAATACTCTTGGACGTCGGCGATTTTCTACTTTGGATATTTTGCATGGAGTTGGCCTAGCTCATACCTCATGGTCCGACTGCCGTTGGCAAAGTATATGGGTGTTTCTGTGTAGGTTCCCTTGCAATCCACAGAAATAAACCTGGTTCGCTTATTAAAACAGCGCCGTCTGGGGCGGGATACTCATGTGCCACGCTGCAACCAAAGGCTTCGACAGTCTCATGGCCGTACGTTTCTTCCTCGGCGTCGGCGAAGCAGTTATCGGTCCCGGATTTGCACTCAGTATCGGAATGTTCTATACTCGTGAAGAGCAGCCCGCACGGTGGGTCTCGCCTACCTCCCTCCCTCCCTTCGTCCTATCTTCCATTTTGAGATCAATTGTTACCCTAACATATGCGTAGTCAAGCCGCCTGGTTCGTCGGCAACGGCATCTCCAACCTCATCAGCGGCCTGATCGCCTACGGAATCGGCAACGTGCACATCACCTCGATTACGAACTGGCAGCTGCTCTTCCTGATCCTCGGCGCGATCACTACACTCATGAGCGCGCTCATCTTCATCCTTATACCCGACAAGCCGCAGAAGGCGGTCTTCCTGACCAAGACGGAGCGCGCGATTGCATTGCAGCGCACGCTGCGGAATAAGACGGGTGTTAATGATACGGGCAAGTGGAGGTGGGACCAGGCGTGGTTGACCATGAAGGACCCGCAGACGTGGTTCTTGTTTCTGTATTCGATTTCGACCAATTTGTGTAATGGGGGGATTACCAGTGTGAGTACAACTATCTTTCTTGTCCTTCTCCTCTGCTACGACCAAGCATCCCCAACCCCTTCCGCTCTCAGAGAGTCCCAGATGGCGTGCTAATATGATTCGGTATAGTTCTCCGGCCTAATCATAAACGGCTTCGGCTACGGCCGCGTCCGCTCCTTGCTAATGCAAATGCCCCTCGGCGCCTCCCAACTCGTCTTCCTCGTCCTAACAACCACAGTCGCGACCTTCTTCCGCAACACGCGCGTGGCAATGATGATCCTCAACACGGCCGTCTCGCTCATCGGGATGGTGCTCGTGTGGAAGCTCGACGAGTCGCACGCCGAGGCGCGCGTCGCCGGGTTGGCGCTGACAGTCGCCTTTGCGGCGAATACGCCGCTGTCGCTGTCGCTGATTAGTTCGAATGTTGCGGGTTTCACGAAACGGAGTCTCACGAGCGCGTTTATCTTCATTGGGTATTGTGTAGGGAACATTGCCGGTCCGCAGTTCTTTTATGAGAGGGAGGAGCCGCATTATCAGGTTAGTCCAGGCCCCTTTCCCATATCATCACTTCACTACCCCGTCTCCACTCCCTCAACACCTCTCTTTCTCCCTCTCCGGACGCATCCCTCTCGACAGACCAAACCCTAACAAAAGATATGTATAGACCGGAATGACCGCCTCAATCGCCGGCCTAGCCTTCGGCGTCTTCTTCCTGATCCTGCTGTGGCTGTACTACTTCTTCGAGAACAAGCGGCGCGACGCGCAGTATGGCACCGCCGACCAATTTACGGAGAGCGAAGAGGTTGCCCAGGGGCTGTCGAATAAGACGGATCTCGAGATTGAGAGTTTTCGGTATATTCTTTGAGTGGATGAGGTTTTTTTGTGGGAGTTGATGGGGGCTGGCGGGAGGGGGATCGGGCTTGTGGGTGTTGAGATGAGCTGGCGATGCAGAGTAAATGGGGAGGGGGTTGCTTGGAGGGTTGTGGTGGTGTTGCTGGCTGTGGAATTGGGAGCTAGTTAGGGGTTGATATCCTGGATGAGAACGTATGTATGACTGAATGAACAATGCATGATATCCATGGTCGCCGGTGTATGGTTTACACTCTGTACATGAAACCTTCCAGGCAAAAGTGCTCAATGGCCTAACTACAAGACTCGAGATGATAGATCAAGGTGGTATAGTATTGTAGATATGACCATATGCTAGGCGTAGAACAAGAATAGTTGATGCTGATACAGCTTGCAGCGCTCAGAAGCCAGAGAAAGAAAAAAAAAAGCAAGAAAACGAATAAATAAACGAACGAACAAATGCAACTTCCGAAGGAATGCAGGAGTCTGTTTCCCCGTCCGTCCCCTTATAAAAGCCAGACTGATAATGCAGAGGGCCGGGCGCGCAGATTGGCATCTGACACGAAAGCGGGGACTCGATCGGCGTTCAAAACTATCCAACTGCTCAAGGTCGACTGGAAATGTTCCACAGAGGATTACCATCTTCCATGTCCACCCGGTCCGCCTGATCCCCCGCCACCACCGCCTGGGCCATGATGCCCATGTGGTCCATGTCCCGGCCCCTGCATACCCGGACCCTGCGGCCCTTGAGGTGCAGGTCCTGCAAATCCAGGCCCCGCAAAGCCAGGCCCCTGGGGTCCCGGCCCACCGTGCCCATGAGGCGGTCCCTCTGGCCCTGGTCCTGGCCCCGGCCCTCCATGACCGCGGAACCCATCATGTCCAGGAGGGCCGCCCTGATGGCCAAGGTGCATATGGCCCCAGGGCCCATTGGGACCGTTCATACCACCGGGACCACCTGGGCCGCCGGGGCCACCGGGGCGGTTGTGTGGTGGCTGTGGGGGTGGGTTATGGTGATGTCCGTGGTGTCCGTGATGGCCATGATGCCCAGGATGACCGTGATGGTGACCGTGAGGAGGACCTTCAGGGCCCGGAGGCGGCGCGGGCGGCTGATCGTTGTGGTGGTGGCCGTGATGGTGGTGATGGTGCGAGAAGAGGCCCATTGCGTGATTGTGTGAGGTTAACTAGCTTATCGCAGGTTTGGTCGGACTCGAGAATGGGTAGGCAGGTGGTGAAGTAAATAGATAGATCCTCAAATAGACGAGAATATAGATAAACTGTTGAATGTATGCTCAGAGCTCGAAATAGAGCAGAGACCGCTCAATTTAAGTACATCTCGTTCCCAAAACCCACGAAGTCTAATTCCGAACCGTCGTCGTCATTCCGGTCGAAATGGAGATCACAGGACCCACAAAGGAGGCTTGTATAGCGAACTAGTAGCCCTACGGACGTGGATGTGGAGCCATCGGCCACGCGGTTGGTGGCTCAGATCCACGGTTGAGTTCCGGTCTTGGTTAAAGGGTTGGTTGACCGTGAATATTGCAGTGGGGAATCTTTCATGATTTAGGCAGCAGGGATATGTAGATGGTGTGATGATAATAATAGTAGAAGTTGGGGAGGCGATTTAGCTGGTTGTTTTGAGGTTGTACGTATCCCCAAGCGCCCAGGATTGATATACGAGTGGCGTATGTGAATATGCAGTGAATATTGCTCTTTGTCCTATCTAAGCTATAGGCATTGCGAAAACCGCTGAGCCCTGAGTAGAGCAGAGAGTTCTTGATACAGCCTTTTATATATAGTAGAGAGAAAAGAAATCGTCCATAAAATCATTCACCCGTTCATCGCCTCTCGAGGCCGAAGTTCATGATCATGACTCATAGACAAACCAATTTATGGAACGAGATCAAAGCAGTAGACCCAGCGCAGCAACAAACGCAGCCAAAACGACCGAGTCGAGCCCTAGAGGCCCCCTCTTTGTGGCAGCACCCGTGAACAGCGGCGGATCAGAGGTTGTCGGAGTCGGAGGCTCAGAGGGTTCTTCGACGCCTTCGGGACAGTGCCAGTGGTCGTCGTGCGGGACACATTCTTCGGATGGGTCTGTCTCGGTGTCATCATCTGTCGGAGGAGGAGTTGAGGGCTCTTCGACGCCTTCGGGACAGTGCCAGTGGTCACCATGCGGGGTGCACTCTTCAGAGGGATCTGTAGGCGTCTCGGTCTCGTCTGTTGGCGGTGGGGTGGAAGGTTCTTCAACTCCTGGAGGACAATGCCAATGATCGCCATGCGGGGTGCACTCTTCCGATGGATCTGTGGGAGTCTCAGTGTCATCTGTAGGAGGGGTAGAGGGTTCTTCGACTCCTGGAGGACAATGCCAATGGTCGCCGTGGGGTGTACATTCTTCCCCTTCTGAAGGAGGATCTGAAGGGCTATCATCGTCTGTAGGAGGAGGAGTCGAGGGTTCTTCAACTCCAGGTGGGCAATGCCAATGATCGCCGTGGGGTGTACACCCTCCTTCGGATGGAGGGTCTGTCGGAGTGTCGTCATCTGAAGGAGGGGGAGTCGAGGGCTCCTCAACACCCGAAGGACAATGCCAATGATCGCCGTGAGGTGTACACTCACCCCCTTCAGCTGGCGGATCTGTAGGGGTCTCAGTATCATCCGTCGGTGGCGGAGTCGATGGTTCTTCAACACCCGGAGGACAATGCCAATGATCGCCGTGGGGTGTACACTCTCCCCCTTCAGCAGGAGGATCAGAAGGAGAATCCGTCGGCGTAGTCGGCGGCGGAGTCGTTGGCTCCGGTACACCGGGCGGACAATGCCAATGGTCATCATGGGGCTCGCACTCGCCTTGAGCCGGGGGCTCGGTCTCGGTGGGAGGAGTTGTTGGTTCCGGCTCTGGGTTGGTTGGTGGAGGTGTGGTTGGTTCGGGGACTCCTGGTGGGCAATGCCAGTGATCGTCATGAGGCTCGCACTCTCCCTCTGAAGGAGGGGCAGTGGTGGTTGGCTCAGGCTCTGGGTTTGTAGGTGGAGGAGTCGTTGGCTCGGGGACTCCAGGCGGGCAGTGCCAGTGGTCGTCGTGGGGTTCGCATTCTCCAGCTGGAGGGTCGGTTTCAGAAGAGGGAGGAGTCGTTGGCTCGCAGTGCCCTATTCATATACAAGTTAATAACGCTGTATCTTGACTATGTTGACCACGCTCAAAAAAAAGGGGGAAAGCATACAATGATCCCCATGCGGACTACAATCCGACCCCGTTGGCGACGGTGGAAGCGTCGCAGTTGTCGTGCACGTCCCCGTGGTGGTAATCACCTCAGTGAGGACCTCATACCCAGCAGACGAAAGATGATTCGAGTCGTAGAACCCGTACGCCGTGATAATCTGCCCGCCGTGGTTCAAGACCGTGGTAAACACCGTAGCCCTAACTCCCGTGGCGGGGAGGTCGCCGTAGGTCGAGTCGAGCGACGTCGACCATTCGTGGTAGTTTGGGATCGGGGTCTCGAGACCGATCCACGTTGAGGTGCCTGTGCATTGAGACACGGGCGGCGCGGTGATTCCCTGTGGAAGAGCGAGGACGAGGGCTCCCCGATGGAGGAGAGGGAGGAGGGGGATGATGGCGTACCGATTGAGAACCATCTTGAAGCGGACGATTCCAATGGGAGCTTGATGGGTGGCAATCTCACGAAGCTTGGAGCAGCACGGGTACCGTACCCTATTTATGTCCTTGCAGCTCCCCTGCATCCGGCCTACCCGCGAACTCTGCGAGTCCTGTCTGTCCCAGTCCCTGTCCGTGCAGTGCACAGGCAATGTCAATGCCAACCCCGCCAAGCACCCGATATCAGCCAAGGAGCGGGAGTGAGTACCTTGCACGCCGGCATTAGCGAGGATTCCGCCGTCAAGGGACTAATCAGGTACGTCACGGCTATCGTTGCCCTACATTTTCCCTGCAGGAGCAGGCCATCGGGGTACCCAGGGCGTGGGAGAAGGTGATGTCGAGTGACATCGCGGCCGCCACGGGGCTTGGCGTCACATTTGACTTGCTTTCTGGGTGATGTTGGGCGGTTACATGCATCCTGTATCTTGGAGGGTACTCATTGATTCCGTTGACGAGGGGAGCGGGGTGCCTGAAGAAGAGAATGTCGATCGTTTTGGTGAGGTATAAAAGCCGGCATGATATGGCGAAAGTGGAAGCTTGCAAGGCATCATCATCATCATCATCATCATCAATCAAAACTCAAAGCACCGTTCCTACATCACTCAAAAATCTCTTAGCCACAATGAAACTCTCCCTCACCCTCCTCCCCTCCCTTTTGGGTCTGGCTTTCGCCCTCCCAGGGGGACTCCTCAACGCCCGCCTCGCCTGTCCAGCAACTCAACCCGGTTGCACCACGCTGGGTAACTGCGAGTACTGCTGTCCGACTGTCCCGGCGGACACCGAGTGCCATATTCATCAGCCGGTCGAGTCGTGCGGTACCGCTGGTGGTATTGTTTATCATTGTCAGCCCCACTAGTCACCTTGATGGTAAGACATTCTTTCTTGGCTGGCCTCTGGATCAGGGAGTAGGTGCTGATTACTTCGTAGGCAGACTCTGAGTCCTTTATGGTATGTTTTGTGGGATGATGTGGGAGGATTGCACACTTTTGGAAGTGGAAGGGACAAGAGAAATGATGGAATGATTTTTATGTTGATGTTATCATGACATGCTATGCTGCCAGTATCAACTACTGCCACCCAATTGTTATCGCGTTATACATTGCTTGCCAGAACCCTAGTTGTTGGCCACTCCTCGATCATTAAGTCTTCGATTCAATAGGGAACGTAGACGGATGAACCGCCAAAAGTTGGAATATATTGTCCTCGCTTATTCCTTTTTTCCTCGAGTCAAGTTGTGGTCCACTGTCTGTCGTGTGTGTAGCGGAGGGTCTGACCACCCTATAAGTGGGACTTTATAGTGCTCCATTTCCCGCTAGTGCGGGGGAAGGGCTCAAAGTCAAATCAGGGTCTGTCCAGGCACTAGTCAGGGTCCTTTGGCCTAGCGCCAACAAGAGGACTGAGGAGCTGACCTGCCTAGCTTGCTGCTGCCTACATAGATGGGTACCTTCGTGCCCTAAAGCCTCACTTTCTAGAAGCGGTGGTATTCAACTTGTTACACCTCTCCAGCCTTAGTCAAAAGAACAGCATATGAAGCAAACTCGCAAACCGCTTCTCATACCTCCAGACAAACTAGAAAAATAAATTCCCCGACAGATCTAGACCCTTTCAGTTGCGACCACCCCATCCCCAAGGTCCCCGTCCGCAATCAACCACTTTCCCACCGGGTCCCCAGCCCATCCTTGGCTTTTATACTGGTACAACCCCTTCCGCAACAGCAGGATCAATGAGCTAGGTGGCGTTGAATACGAGCTGCTAACTGAGCAGGGACTTTGGCTTGTCGGGCGAGATTGTCGGTTGGAATTTGTGTGCTTGTTACTCACTGTTGTTGTTTGGGCAGGCTGTCAAGGTATACCAGCCCATCCCAGCTCATCTCCTACTTGACCGGACGGAAATCTCTACTTTGCATTATGGAAGCTGCGGCCACCCTCCTCCTTCGCTCCGTCATCCAAGACGAAGTCAATGACGCCTCAATATCCTGCGAAACAGGAAACGACTTTAACGGCGCCCTCCCGCTGCGCATCTCGTCGATCTTCGTGATTCTCCTCGGCTCGTTGGCGGGCATCATCTTCCCTCTACTTGCTCGTCCACCACCCACATCCACCTCCTCTTTACCAACATCTTCTCCTAAACGCCTCTTTTCCAAAACACGTTTCAAGATCCACATCCCACAGCCCCTCCTCTTCGCCTCCAAACACTTTAGCTCGGGAATCCTCCTCGCAACAGCCTTCATCCACCTCCTTGCCCCCGCATCTGAAGCGCTACGGAATCCGTGTCTGACGGGGGTGATCACGGAGTATCCGTGGGTTGAGGGGATTGTGCTGGTGACTGTTGTCGGGACTTTCTTTGTGGAGATTCTTGTGGATGTTTTTGCGGGGCATGGCAGTGGATATAGCCCTGTAGGAGGGAGTGAAGGCTGTGAAGAGGGTAAAGATGAGTATGGGGGTCTCCCTGGTAGTGGTGAGGCTGGGAGTCCGGAGGGGGAGTGGGACGGGTTGCTTCGATCTGGCTCTGATTATTCCCTGTCGTTATCAGAGACGGAAACGGTCGAAGAAGATGATTCGAACACAAACTTGAATTCGGGTTTCCCATCGACCTCGCAAACAAGCATCTGCGCCACCAACAACGCCCCATCCACACCCTCACACTCACACTCCCGGATCCACTCTCAGAACAACTGGAAACCCCCCCTAACCCGCCTCCTAATCCTCGAAAGCAGCATCATCCTGCACTCCCTGCTAATCGGCCTCTCCCTCTCCGTCGCAGGCGCCGAGTTCCCCACGCTGTACGCCGTCCTCGTCTTCCACCAAACCTTCGAGGGACTCGGTCTCGGAACCCGACTCGCGGAAATCCCCTGGCCAGCACATAAAAAGTCAACACCATACATGCTAGGAGTCGCATATGCGCTCTCGACCCCGCTCGCTATCGCGGTGGGGTTATGTGTGCGCGGGAGCTATAGTCCGGGGAGTCAGGGGGTTTTGATTGTGAGCGGGGTGTTTGATTCGGTGAGTGCTGGGGTGCTGATTTATTCGGGGCTTGTGGAGGTTCTGGCGCGGGAGTGTTTGGTCCAACCGGGTTTGCATCAGCATTCGCAGGGAGAGGGGCAGGGAGAGGGGGGAGAAGGAAGGAGGAAGGATGTTAGGGGTGTGTTTGCGGCGTTTTTCTGGCTGTGTGTTGGGGCCGCTGCTATGGCTGTGTTGGGGAAGTGGGCTTGAGGGCTTCTGTTAGTCAGTTGTTCTGGCATAGGATGATCTAGATATGGTGAGCAAGTCAGATGGCAGATCGTCAAATGCTATACTTCGTGCTAATAGCCCCTTATTATATCTAGCGGGGTAAAACCATAAACAGGACCCACGGAACCTTATTAGGTAGAGCTATTTCGCTAGATGTTGTTCGACTAAATTGTTTATGATTATGCTATAGCTTGTGGAGATAGCCACAGTCATACATGACCTAGTTCCTAGCTATTAAGAGGGGCACAACGGGTTGACGCGTCCATGCAGCTGGCTCAGTCAAGACCTCGTTCAACACTACAACTACGGCGGCTACAGTGGCCTGCCTCTGGATGCCAGCCTCAAGAAACGTTCCAAGCCTCATCCGTCTTATCCGGATACACCCTCGGCGGCCGCACATAAACATCATGCCAGTCCTCCACAATCAACCGATCATAAACCGAAGTAATGTATCCTGCTCTAGCAGCATACAGTCAACAAACGGATTCGTGGTAGTTGTCTCAGTCCCATACTAACTATGAACTACTCTAGTAACAATCGTACTAAAGAGGCTCCCAATGACATAGAGTGGACCTAGCCAGCTTCACCAAGGACTAAATAGCAGTTGCTTTCATCAAACGCCGAGGGATGGAATGTGTGTGGCAGCTCCGAGTAGTAGACAGCTCAAAGCAGTTTGGAAGATATCCAGGTCACCCGAGGAGATCTACCATCTATGATGGCCCGGGTCTTTATCACTCACCCGCCCCTTTCTTGATGAGGACATGCGAAGAATCCTTACACTTTGACCCCCTCGCCACGCAATCTCCGCAGATTGAAAAGCTCCCAAATTGGCAACGGCAGTTAGCACAGGAAAGATACTCCTCGAATTGCGAAACGGGAAAGTTGCACACATCGCAAGGCCGCGTATATACCCTCATCGGCCCTGTCTCCCTGCCGGAGCCAGAGTCAAGAATCCCCTTCCCTAAGACACCACGCACCATCTCAGGGTTCCTAATGTACAACCAGATCCGTTGTAGTGTCTCATCACGCCAGTCACCAAATTTCGCGCCCTTGTGTTCTGAAACAAATGAGAAGGGAGTGCAACCCGAGTGCGCTGCCGTGTGAATGGCAGAGCTACCTTTACTCAGGAGTATGAATACGATCTCAATCAACCCAAGTCTTGTTGCAAGCAACAACGGAGTCCGTCCGTATAAGTCTTGTGCATCCATGTTCTGGACTTTTCTGCTATCAAAAAGCGCCAGTACCATGGTAGCATCATCACGAATGACTGCCAATGACAGGGCATTATATCCATCTAATCCCTGTCGATTAGGATCAGCTCCGTTCTCTAGGAGTAGACGTGCAACATCTCTCGAGCCATATCCGACGCTCGTGAGCAGCCACGCTCAAGAAAATACTTCACAGCCTCCACATTTCCCTTTCTTACCGCTTCCAACATAGCCGAGTGACCAAAATTATGAACCAGATGAGTCATCCCATGTTCAACGACTGCTACAACCACACTCAGGCGACCTTCACCCGCTGCTAAGAGTAATGCCTCTTCCTGCAATGAAATATCAATACCGGCCCGCATCAACATTGCAACAACTTTCTCCACGCCGGACCGGATTGCATTGAGTATTGGAAAATCATACCCCTTAGAATTTAGATCAGCACCTTGAGACAGCAACAACTCGACCATCTCCTCTGACTTGCCCGCTGCAACTGCAAGCAACCCCGCGTCCAGGCGAGATATGCCTCCCTTAAGTAGGATCCGGGCTCCTTCGACATGGTTGCCGGTGATGGCGATCCGCAAGAGAGTTGCCCTGTGAACGTCCGAATCTTCTAAAAATGCACCACGATCAAGTAACAGCTGCAACTATTAGGCATGTTGTCTTGAGCAAGTAACTGCGTGAGCAACTGGACAAGTAAATAAATCAGTAACTGAAAATCAATTCAACAAGCAATGAAGTAAGCAAACTGGATGAATATGAATTAACTGACTATTAGAATAATCTACTTCTTCTTCTGTCCACGGCACAATAAAGTCAAGCCAGGATTATGTCGCATTGGAAAGTGAATTATAGAAGCCTCAGCCGACCCAAGTCTATCCAACAATCAAACCCATAGCCCACCCATCAGTATACCCCCCAGCCCAACAAACCAACCAACAAACCAACCAAGTCAAATCTATGCTGACGCCGATCCCACAGATTGAAAGGGGACGGCATCCGGCTTACAGACCGTCCCCTTCGCCGGGAGATGTCCGTGCGAGTAATACTCCTGTGCGCGCTGAACGAGACAGCTTGATGCAGCGGAGAGCGCGGTGTGCTATAATATCAATCGTTAAACCATCGTCCCTTGTCGAAGAGGAAAGGAAAAGGAAGAAGCTTACGCCAACGGAGTCTTGGATCAGAACTCGAGAGTCACGGAAGACGGAGGACATTTTGTAGGCGCTGCGACATGTCAGTAAACAATGGAGGAATATTTGAAGGGAGAATCGTGGGGACAACATACCCTCGCTTCGGCGTAACGGGATCAATTTCCGCGCTAACGAACAATATCGGTGTTGCTGTCTTCCTTTCTTCGAGGATAGATCCTAGATGGCACCATCAGACCAGACCAACTCCACAAACCAAGAAAATTCAGCTTAACTTACCATGTAACCTTCCACTCTTCGGCGGCTCCACCTCGAAGGACCGACAAAGAACGCCATTGGCATTATTCGGCCAGACTTCGCCGAAGAACTTACTTTGCGCATTCTGGGATTTGACGTAATCCTTGTATTCATCGATAGTGCTCAACGGATTGTTCGGATACCCATCAACACATTTGATCACCACCCCAATGTCCTGCGTCGAACCCTGCGTCCCATTGTTGCACGGGTTCGCTGGGAGCAAACCACCAGTTGCAGCGGCTACATACGCCGTTGCATCTCCCTTCTCAAGACCGGCCAGAGCGGCAGCAAGAATTGGGAATGCGCCTAGGGGTTGAAAGACCGCTTGCCACGCCATCTCCTTTACGCCGGAGTATGTTGCGAGGAGAGGAAGCGAGCAAGATGGGGAGTTTGAGACGGGGATTGGGTTGTATTTCAGGTTCTCGAGGAGTTTGTGCATACGCGTACGGATGTTGTTCACATTGGGACCCCAGAATGCGCAGTTCTTAGGCCCGCCTTTGTGGCAGAAGTTGTAGAAGGACTCAATAGCCTTGTCAGCGTCGTAGAGGTTGGTTTTCCAGCCGAGCCCGTAGATATCTTCGGTGTCGAGGACGCCGTCGAGGATCATCGGCCCCACGTGGTCTGGGAATAGATGTGCAAAAGTCGTGCCTAGGAGTGTTCCGTAGCTGATTCCGTAGTAGGAGAGCTTCGCGTCTTTTTCGGGCTTTCCTGCTGCTCGCTGCTCGGCTTTGACGAAGGAAAGCAAATCCCGAGCGACCGCGGAAGCAGAGATATAGGCGGCGCTGCCGTTCTTTCCACCAACGGTGGAGGTGCACGCTTTACCGAAAAAGTCTGCGGCGGCGAATTGGTTGCTCAGCGAGGTTGACGAGGCGTACGAAGTCTCCGAGTAGAATAGTTTCTCGAACTGGGCGCGATTCTCTGGGTGGCCGGGCCAGCAGTCGATCTCCGGTCCGCTGTGGCTTACTCCTCGAGGATCGAAACCGACGACGTTATGCTCCGCTTGGATGAGGTCGGCGAAGGGGATGGCATTGGCCAAGAGGATGTCAACACCAGAGCCTCCGGGTCCGCCAGGGTTGATAAGCACATTGCGCGTGTTCTTGGTTACTTTCTTTGCGGCGAGTTTGATGAAGGCGATGGCGGTGGTTCCGCGGCCGGGGTCGCCATAGTCGAGAGGAACTTGAAGTCGCGTACACGTATAGTTCTGGAAGCAAGGGATCCAGTGAAGGTCAGTTGAGGGAGTTATCTAGTCTAAATTAGTAAGAACCGAAGCAAATGGATAGTGCTCACGTACAGACTCCCAGTCATTGACAGTCTCACTAGACTGATCCCGCGGCAAAGCCACCGCGGATGCACTGTAAATCGATGATAAAAATGCACTCGCAAAGAGGCACAATTTGCCTAAGGCACTGACACCCATCATCGCAGTCAGGTATACCCGTGAAGACGAATTGGTTGCGGCTCCAGATAGTGCGCCATGGTGGTGTATTTATCTGGACGAAGATATCCGGAGCTGAGTATCTGCAAGATCGTGGCGGAGCATCGCAATAAAAATCTGCCAAGAGCCCGGATCCCTTGACTCCAATGATGTCAACGATCTTTTGCCCTGGTGTCTGAATCGTGGATATGAATTTCTGAGTGCTGTGCAAGGCGTAGCGTGCATGCAGGCGGTGGAAGCTTAGCGGGCTAGCGGAGCATCCGCACCGATCCCTACCCCGGGCAGCCAAAATGACCTGACTGATCACATATCAAGACGACCGATCAACGCTTGACGGGAGGTTTGCGAGCAACCGAGCGGACTAGCGGAAAAGAACCATATCGGCCCTGCTGCATCCATAAGGTGGGAGATATCCCTCAGCCACTCGTTAATTTAAGCCTGGTTCGGCTACCCTTACTAGGACACGAGCCACAAGCTGCACACATTTTGGCCCCCAATATTCCCGATATTCTCCCAACGACTGCAGGGGCCGGGGATGTATCTCTGCTCAACCTGGAGAAGGATTCGGGGGTTGGACGTTTCGCTTGGAAGAACGCGGACAAGCGGCGGGTTAGGCAGGTAGTGAATCCTAACTCTAAGCCCGACTCGGATACTATAGACGAGCAGCAAAGCCACTGCAAAAAGCTGCATCTTTGGCAAAAGGGCGCAAAAGTGGCGTTTAATATCTGACGGGGCATGGAGAGGAGCTGTTTGCAAAGGGGTCGGTGGGCCTCCAGCGTTGCGTTCATGGCTTTCGGTGAAATAGGATCTAATCTCGGAGTTAGTGCAACATTGTAGGGAAGGAATCCGCCAATGAAAGTTCCAAGATGTAGGTGAAACGATATTTATTTCTATGCCTCTGTAACCCGTCCATGTCTCATGTTTATTCCCGCCTGTCCGTCGGCCAAAGGATACCGGATCCTCACTCTATACGTCTAAACGGACATCTTCATCGCAATGGACTTATGCGGATCATAGCCCTTGATCACAAAGTCGCCAAGTTCCCAGCCGTCGATACTCCCACCCTTCTCTCTGCAAATTTCAAGCTCCGGGAAAGGCCGCGGCTCCCGCTCTAATTGTGTCTTCAGCGCATCAACATGGTCAAGATAGACGTGTGCGTCCCCCATGACGTGGGTAAGGCTCCCAGGGACCAGCTCGCAAACGTGCGCAATCATATGTGTAAGCAGGGCATAGCTTGCAATGTTGAACGGAACTCCGAGACCCATATCGCACGAACGTTGATACAGTTGACAGTGAAGGTGTCCCTTGGGCTTCTCATCCGTCGAACCCTCGCCTGTCTGACCTTGCGGGTACGAGACGTAAAACTGCGCAAACATGTGGCAAGGCGGAAGGGCCATGCTGGGAATGTCTTTCGGGTTCCAGGCAGACAGAATCATCCGCCGATCATACGGATCCGTGCGAAGCTTGTGAATAATATGTGCCAGCTGGTCAACACCCTTGCCAGTATAATCGGTTTTGGCGTCCACGTAGTCGGCGCCAAAGTGTCGCCACTGGAAGCCGTAGACAGGGCCGAGATCGCCCTCTTCACGGTGTGACAGACCGACGCGGTCGAGGAACTCGCGCGAGCCATTGCCGTCCCAGATCTTGACGCCGGCCTCGCTTAGGGCATGTGATGATGTATTGCCCTGGATAAACCAAAGTAGTTCGGCGATGACGGCGCGGGTGAAGACGCGTTTTGTGGTGAGGAGGGGGAGGATTGGGGAGCCATTTTCGTTAAGCTTGAATTTGAGGGGGCGAGGGGCGAAGATCGATATCGTACCGGTGCCTGTTCTGATATTATTGTCAGGATAAAGCGTTTCTCTCCGGAGGCGAACAGAACTCACCGGTCAGGTCGCCGCTCGCCTGTTTCCAGAATCTCGCGGACGAGATCGAGGTACTGGTACTCCTCGTGAACTGGGGTGGTCGTTTTCGTCATGGTGATTCTGTATTTAAGAGGTTATTCGAGAAAGGAAGAAAAAAAAACTGGGGTATTCGCTGAAGAGCAAAGTCATGAAGGATCAAAAAGCCGGAGGGGTTAACGCGCAGCGCGTTGGCTGTGGGACGCGTGATAAAAGCTTGGCACTCAAGCCGAGGCCGGGGCAGAGATCGTTCGTCCGCCACCTTGAATGAATTTCTTGGTATAGACTTCGAAATAAAGGTGCTCAGCTATGGCCTCCTATCAGAGGCATAATAATTTGCGCTTTCTATTCCTGTTAAATAAATCTCGTCCGAAGTATGTCCATCGTAGTGTCTTAAATGTACAGGACCGAACATGTCCTTATCGATAAGCCAATCCAACCCCACGGGACAGTCTAGAGCAAAAGCAGTTAGCTGAAATACGAACCCCGGCCCTCCCTGTCTCAATATCAACATGCTGTTTACTCGCTCAGGCCCGTTCACGTATGGATCGGATGGTCTTTGCGTTGATGAACGCTGACCTATATATTATAAATTACTGAAAGCCGTAAGACTGATAATCGCTTTGCAGGCAGTTGCTAACTCTAATAAAATAACTCTGAAGCTAATCTTCATAGTAACAACTGTTCTCACACCAGAAAGCCGTCAAGGGCATCTGCCCCACTAATATTTCCCTGCAAGAATGGATGATCTTCAAAATACTCCTTAAATAAAGAATCGCGCATTAGCCACTCCATAGCTTGCTCTCCCAGTGTCAAATGGATGTCCCATGGCGCGTTCTTGCCTATCCGCTTGGGCAGAATGTAGCAGCCTCCATCAAAATACCCATCCGTTGTTACCACATGGGCTGGACGTCCGAGAGAAGATCCAAAGCTCTCATATAAATTGTCAATCCCGCGTAAGTTACTGCAGCATACATCATAATGCCCACCGACTCTCATAGGGGTAGACCTATGGGCCTGAACGACAGCCAGGAGGCTTCGAACATAGTCATTATCGAAGGTATTGAGCTCTTGGCGTATATGACATGCCAAACGAAACACTATTGCAGCATGGTCTTTTTCATTGCCGTCGCCTGGTATTATGTCCTGGAGAGCTCTGACAAGTTTCAGGTTTAACGCACCATTCCCCATGTATGAAGCCGGTAGGGCAGGGGACAAGCGGTGACGAACATTAACCGCCATTCCGAAGACCGATACCTTTTCGCTTTTATCCTCGGTTCGTTCTTGTGTGGTTTGAGATGTGAAAAAGCGGGCTCGAGTGATACATAGCCATAAGAGAGCGGAAACGACGTCGTTGCTTGATAGCCAAGAGATATCCGCGGATGGAATTCGGTCATCGCAATCGGCACATTTATGGGGATGTTTTGCGTGATCTAAACAGCTCTTCTTGAGACTGAGTATTTTTGTCGTTGGGATAGTAACATAGCGACTAACGCACAAGGTTGCCAGTTTCGTCGCATTCTTGTGCATCGTCTCTGGGCTTTGATCCGGAATGCTAGTAAAAACGTATTGCGGAAGCGTAATAGGAACGATAGCTTGGGGATAAATAGTTGACAGTGCCGCTCTGGTATATGCCTGCTCTGGGCCGGAAAGAGTTGCGAGTTTTGTTGTTTTACCACCTGTATCATCACAAAGATGTGCTAAAGTTCGAATCAAGGTTCCCAGTCCATTTGCGTCAATCACTCGGTGAGTGACGGAAAACGCCAAAACAAGGCTGTCAAGGAAAATATTCAACTGAATACCTAGTACGGGCGCAGGCTTCGTTGGATCGGGGGCGATATCCAAAAACATGAGAGAATTTGGGGATACCTGACCCTGTGCAAAGCCTTTAAAGGGCTTTTCATGGCGTTTGACCCTGAAGATCTGGGAAATATCGACATCCTCGATGTTGGGGATGGTAATTTTCTCGTCCAACACGGATTTTTGCAAATCCTGGTGAATGTAACCAGATAGAACCGGGGAAAGCTGCAGCAATCTTTGCACGCCGTCGTTTAGGGCAAGCACAATATCATCGTTGCATATCACAGGAAAGTAGAGTTGGAAGCGAATGTAAAGAAATGGAAGTAAAGAGTCAATAGGTGATATCCCTTCAAACTGTGGAAGGACAGAACTCATGTTTTTGGCAAGTAAATCCTTTAGTATTTTTTTACTATTATTTCAGTGCTCCTGATAAAGACTGATAGCGATTATTCGAGAGCACGTAACTAAACTTCATAGGCTTTGAGCACCTTTAAATATTGTGCTTAAAGCTTATACCCCTAGTACCATGAGCTCCCTTGAGGAAAAGACGTCCACGCGATGGCACCGCGGTAATATTTACACCTCCTTACGGAGAGGCCATTCCTGGTAAAGACGCCCTCCCTTGCGGAGGTCATCCATCGCGAGGGGACCATCCCTTGGGAAGAGGATCGGCTGGACATGGCTATGAATATCCACATCAAACATGGGCCACCCACTCCACACCTGATGGGTGGAAAGGACCAATGAATCATGGAAACTATTCTGTGCTTGTAATTATCTTTAAAATTAGCCTTGCAGCATCCTCTCCAGGCATGCTTAATTTTGAAGATCTCTTTTCTCTGTATGGCGGTGAGAAGCTAGCCATGTAAAAAGGACATTGTCTCTCCAGGTGCACCAATAGTCTCTCCCGTCTGGTTTGTAGCAGACAGGGAGCATTCTAAATAGAGAAAAGCAGTACATTGCTCATATTTTATTAACTTACTCATACTCACCGACCTTTTGGTAGTCTGAAGATAAGCAGCACCTTTAATATTAATCACAAGGAATATACCAAACGTATTCACCACCCTAGTCTTAATATACTCTTAAAGTATTCTTCCCTTGCAATTCCTATGTTATTACGTGATGAAGCGCAGGATGAAGGAATCCCTATCTAGGACTAGGCGAATGCTCTAGGAACAAATACCAACCTCCATTTTTTTCAACAAAGGAGCATTTTACCGCACGCTCTGATTTAGCCACAAAAAGGCCGATCAAGGGTCCAGAATCCTGTGAGAACAGTGAAGCATGGGACTAAGCTTCGATTCATAGAAAGATTTGAATAGAAATTAAGGATTAATACATATGAATTGTGATTCCCCAGTGAGCCATCACGTATTCACAAGTTTTCTTAGCACCGCAACTATCAGATCGTTCTCAGCAACCCTACAGCAGCCCACAATGTCTTCGACAAAAGTTGAATTGATTTTTGGCGGTTCTGGCTTCTCCACGGACGTGGCACCCCTAGGAACATTTGATGATATGACTGAAGCTCTCTGTATCCTCAAGAACGAGGGTGTTTGTATAATTGATACAGCATCCACCTATGGCGATAGCGAAAAGGTCCTTGGAGAACTGGGTGCTGCAAAAACACACACAATCCACTCCAAATACCCCGGAGGATTCAGCCCGACGCTATCAACTAAAGACAGCATTATTACTGCGGCTACAGAGGGACTGAAGAAAAGCAAAGCTAAGCAGGTTCAAGATCCCAACCCATGCATTTCTCAGTTTTCTGGTTCAATATTAGTTACTAATCATGGTCAAAACACTTAGTTCGAAGTCTACTACCTCCATTCACCGGACCGCCGAGTCCCCTGGGAACCCCAACTATCCGCAATGACCACCCTTCACCAAGAAGGAAAAATCAAGCGCTTCGGGCTCTCAAACTTTCTTGCCGCTGAAGTTGAAGATATCATCCGCATTGCAAAGGAAAATAACTTCATTCTACCTACTGTTTATCAGGGGAGCTACAATGCTATTGGACGCCGCCCCGAAACCGAACTCCTTCCCACCCTCCGGAAGCACGGGATTAAATTCTACGCCTACTCGCCTATTGCTGGTGGGTTCTTAGCTAAGGACCCGGATCAATTGCGCAATCCACTAGGTCGGTGGGATCCAAGTACATTCGCTGGCAGCTTATATCATCTGCTATATAATAAGCCCCATATGCTAGAGGGCTTACAGCTTTGGAGTGATATTGCAAAGGGCTATGGGGTGTCTAAGGCGGAGCTAGCATATAGATGGATTGTATATCATTCTGCGTTAAAGGGGGAATATGGCGATAAGATTATCTTTGGGTCGAAGAACGTAAGGCAGTTGAAGGATACTCTGCAGGTTATAAAAAATGGACCATTGGATGCAGATGTAGTCGAGAAGATTGAAGAGGTTTGGAATCTTGTTGAGGGTGAGGCGCCGCTGGATAATTATAATGATGGGATTCTGAAGATGCAGGGTATGTCTGTTTGAGGGGTGGGTTGGCGGATTATAGAGCGGCAGTGGGTAATGAGCGTGAAATTTTTGCGCGAAGCGTCAGTAGTGTCTCGGGGGATCAACTATTATTTTTATCGTTTAATGAAAAAGTTAAAGAACTCAACCACTACTTCATGGCGATGTTGAGTCTCAGCCAAGGTAGACTGGATAGCACTCGAGGATAGAATCGACTTGCCACATCCCGCAAAGCCATGAACCCAAAGAAAGGAATTCTATTCTACCAGCTAGATCTTGAAGGAATATCTGTTAATAAACAATAGTCCCGTGCCTGTATGATATTTAACACAGGTATTATAGTGATTACTAGTCATACCTAGGGCCGAAAGCTAATCACGAATTTTAGAAGAGATATGATTCACATCTATATATCTTAGGAGTAACGTGATTTCTATAACTTCCTCTTAAAGCATGCTATCATTATTAAGATGTAGCATATCAAGCATAGAAGATAGATTCTCCTGGATCGTGCTGATGTCTTCTTCTAGCTTCAGTGACCTAAATACTAAGAGAAAGCAACCCCGTAATTCCAGATGTAATAGAGAGCGGATCAGCCATGGTGAGAGGGGAGGCCTATATAGCAGAGAGTGAATTCCAGCTTTTACTACAGATTGTAGGGTGAACATGGTTCTAATGGAGTTGTAATAGGTTATTATGTCAGGATTGCGAGGGCAAGCTAACCCAATCAACCCCCCAGAACGTCAGAAATTTTGGGACCTCTCCAAACATCCCATACCCGGGCTTCAACCACGCCTTCCTCAAGTGGCAAATCTACCGCCAGCCCCAGGATTGCCAGCTGCCTGGCATAAAGTCCGGACTATAAAATCGAAAGGGGTATGTCTGAGCTGACATGGGAAGTACAAGGCTTAGCTGGAGGTTAAGGTGATTGCTGGAAGCGGAGATGCAAGGGTAGTGTACCTGAAGGCAAGACGGTGTGTGTCTTAAATACCCAACGTGCTGGAGTATCATGAATGGATGACATTGCCAGGGAAAAATTACCATTACAACCTCAACTGACACGCGGCCATCCAGTGCGCAACGCGAATCCAAATCTTCCCTCGCCAAATGTCGCAAGAACAATCGGGGCTGCGATAATTGCGATGATTTGTTCTCCCATCCCCTAGAGCAACACCCAGCTCAATGCCCGATCACCCTTAAACCGCTCCATCACATCGGCGTACAAAGTAATCCGCACACACCACGGCGCCAACCGCCCGACCTCTGGCCCGCCCGCACATAGAGGTAGAATCACACACGCCCCATCAACCCAGGGCACTCCAGTCTCAAAGGTCTGAATGTCGCCGAGCTCGGGCCCAAACTGCATCTCATACGTCTTCAGAGGCCTGAGGCTGGACACGATCACGGGGTTGGGGCCCCCGCTTGGCTGTGGTGGGCTGCTGGCGGCCTTGATAAAGGCGGTTAGGGAGCCGGCGTAGGTTTTGGGGAAATTCGACAGCCCACTTCGGATGGTGTGTGCGGTCTTTGCGATGCGCACGAAGGAGGGAGTGTCGAGGGCGCTAATGAGCGGGGAGTGGAGCTCGTGCGGGAGGGACAGGGCCGGCTCTTGTTGCGCTGGGATGGTGGGCTGGACGTGGAAGTAGAGGGGGAGACCGGCGTTTCCCATGTAGGTTTGGGGCAGCGAGGGTTCGAAGAAGCCGCGGGCGTTGATGCCCATCATGCAGGGCGGGGGGCTGGGCTGGTCAGGGCCCCTTGCCTGCTTGATCGTCTCGCAAATTAGGCCTGTCAGGACGTCATTGCTTGAGAGGAATGAGACGGTGGTAAGCGTTTCCTCTGGGGACTGTTTGGAGGCGCTGCTGTTCAACCAGGGGAGGACGCTATTGCAGGCGTCGCGCAGTTGCTCGAGCCGCTCGGCTGAGAAGACGAGGCACTCATCCTGCACTTGAGGAGGCGGGGGCGGCGGAGACGTTGGCTTGGAGACCTCGAGTGATGTGGGTGGATCGACAACCTCGGGACTGGGATTCATCATAATGGCAGAGACCAGATCTGAGACCTGCTTGCGGAGCAACAACTCCGACGCGGCGATTTGGCCATCTGCGGTTCTTGGGTTGCGACACGATTCCGCTAACAGTGTGATGATTACCGCGCCGCCCATGGCGTCGAAGACGAGGTGGTTGAAGCCAACGGTCAAGACAATCCCGTCTTCTAGCACGTTTGCCTGGAAACGTATGACCGGTGACGGTTGTCCGGGTTTGTGGAGCGGTGGCAGTGGATTAAAGTGACCCTGGAGGGGGAGATTCTGAGGCACACTGGACGCGATCTTGCCTATTTTCCTGACTGGGAGAGTGCAATTGGCATGCCGCTTCACTTGGAACATTGGAATCTCTCCGTCAGGCGATGCCGTGGCTGGTCGTAATTCTATTGCTCCGCTTCCTTCAGCGCGTGTGGTCTCCCCGGTTAAGAAGGGAACGAGGGCAAGGAGGTGGTCGACGCCTTTGGAGATCGTCTTAAGCGCCTTATCCTCATCTTGCACCTCAAAGGACACAGAATAATGGAAGAAGACCTCGCCATTCGCTTGGTCGAGCCGAGTTAGAGGAAACGGTTCAAATAGAGACGGAGGCTTCATTTCGATCGGTTTAAAGCAGGGCCAGTCGATATACTTATTTGATCACTGTGATAAAAACCAAGTGAAGGAGCTGTATGGACCATAGAATACTTTTATATATGATACGTATGTAAGGGAACATCTCTGGCATTCCCTGAACTCACTGTTCGCTCGTGCCAAGTGAACATAGCTTTGTGAATGAGACTACAAGATACTCGCGTCTAGCCTAGTGGAAAGGCCCAAGGTTCTAGAGCCGGAGCTGTAAAATCCAACATGATATGCAATGCAAGAAGCTTAAGGGGCGGGTCTTGTAGCGTCCGTACCGGATCCACCAGAGGCCACGGCTAGTCTGGCATTCCCCCTTGCTTTGTCGATGTAAGGAAAAGCAGCGGAAGAGATGGTACTGAGGTGGAGGACGTCGCACAAAGAAGGGTCAATCTGCCTAGGCTGTTCGAGCATAGGCGAAGAACCATATATCATGTTCCCGCCTTCTCTGTCGCCGCTCTTGTTCGTCATGCTCATAACCACATAACTGGAGTCAGTAATTTGCGGCACAGCTGTCGCCGTAATTGCCGTTGCTGCAACTTCCTATGACATACCCATCTTGTGTAGCCTTCTCACCGCTGAGCAAAGCACGACCAGACCATTAGCATGCAGGATTCATCCACCCAAGAGGTACTCTTCGTTTTCCGTCCTGGAATGGGGTGCACTCGCTTGGTGCTTTAGAACAAGGAATGACAAGGTCCTTGCATCGCACTTACCAGGGTCTCAAAATCAGCCTTTCATTACACGTCTACGTCAGTAGACCGGCTAGCAAGACCCCCTTGTCTATTGTATAGCCCGTCCCAGTAATGGTCTCACAAGGGAGAACAACTATATAACCACTCACGCAAACAGGGATCTCTACTTGTACTCCGAAAGAACAAAAGACAGACTCCCCGTCCAAAACAAGAGAGAAGGACTGTTTGCAGTTCTGTCCATCGTCCTAGTTCTACTACTTGACACCAAAATGACCATTTCCACCATGGTCTCCAAGCCCTCCATCCGCCGTTTGCCAGCCAAAGCGGGCGCAGACCAAATAATCAAGATACTACTAGAGGACGGCGTAGTAATCATTGAAGAGTTTCGCCACTCGAGCGTCATCGACCAGCTAAACCACGAGGTAGCGCCTCACTTGGCTGATTACGCCAAGAACCTCCCAGCAGTCTTCGCTAATCGCCACGGGCCTCACTGCAAACGAATCAATAACCTCGTCGCGAAAAGCAAGACACTCCGCGACGACCTGCTCAACGACCCACTAGTCCATGACATCTGCGGTAAGATCTACACCGAGCAGCAGCGCACAGACTACTGGATGACCTCTGCCATGCTGCTCGAGCACTCGCCGGGAGGCAAGGCGGGGCCATACCATCGAGACCAGAACTTCTTCCCCCTTGCCAAGTTGCTCGGTGCCGCCGCACCGCTGGTCGTGCTGAACTTCTTTGTGGCCTTGACCGACATGACGGCGGAGAACGGAGGAACTCGCGTTGTTCCTGGTAGCCATCTGTGGGCGGAGTATGAGGACTGGAGCACGGCCGAGATGGGTGTTCCTATGGAGATGAAGGCTGGAGATATGTGTCTTCTGGGGGGGAAGACGGTGCATGGCAGTGGGGGGAACACAACTGTGGATTCCTTGCGGCGGATACTTATTTTGGGCGTTCAGGCGGGGTATTTGACGCCGTATGAGGCAACGCCTTTGCATGTCGAGAGGGAAATTGTGGATAGTATGACGCCGCTTGCGCAGAAGATGATTGGGTGGCGGTCGCCTACGATTGATGGGACGCCGACTTGGACGGTGGATTGTGGGGATGTTGGGGCTTGGTGGGAGCGGAGCACAAGGCAGCAACACGAGCCCCGCGATCAGTAGCGTGGCTTTTGCTGTTCTGTATGTTTGTCTACTGTGGCTGTTGTGAACAGTCTCCTCCCGTTTACAAGCAGGAACAATGTCATGCATTTACGTACTATTAGTATTATGGTAGTCACTGGCCCTGTCTTCATTCGTTCTTGATTGAGATGACGGGGTATGACCCTAGCTGCACCCTGGCGCCGGAGGGCAGATTCATGAGAACTCTCCTTCTTTGATAAATGCCTCGAAGGCCCAGCACATCAACTAACAGCTGCTGCGGTTTGTAAATGAAGCAAGGAGTCATCCCAATTTTACTTTCACCGACATGACTATGGGCTTGCAAGTTCCAGCCAATTGCCCAGGGGAATGGACGGCATGGTTTGCCTGGTTGGGAATTCCTGGTTTCCCAGAATTGCTCACGCCTCCTTTGGATGTAGTAGAAACGATGGAGCCATGTTGCGTGGTTCCAACAGCTCTACACCGCATTTTCATGTTATACCGAACACTAGGGCTATATGTGAGGGGGACAGCATGTACCAGGTGACAGCAAGCTGCTGTCTGACGCATATGCTTTCCCGCCTTGTCTCAGTCAAATATTGATCCTTTAGATGTGGCAGTACCCGGCTTATGCAATAGCGGTAATCCAAAATTATACATATCTTGTCACATGCCTTACTGGTGCGTTGTTATTTGCACTCCGCAGCACCAGTACAGCCATGGGTGTAAAGGAGGCGGGCCTGGGACCTCGAATGTAACCTTTTTCTCAAAGGCATCTCCCCTTGCGCGTCAGTCGGTACAGGCCAATTTCTCCTTGTGCCGTTCTGACCTCCTATAATCCCTGGGACTAGACAAAAGGAAAAAAAAGACATTTGTGAGGTTGCCAAATACCACCCCTCAGGTTCGAGTGTGAATTGCTTCAAGTCCCTTGTCATCTTTTCCACGAAATCTTTATTAGATGACAATGTCGCGTCCTATCCACCCAGTTCAGGATGATTCGCACGCAGCAAAACCATACCCCAAACCCCTAAAGATGTCCGGTGCACTCGACAGGTTCAAGTACGTCGAATGCTGCCCGGCACTGGGAAGAGAATACCATGGCCTGCAGCTGTCCTCTATTATTGATGACGAAGCCATTGTGAAAGATCTGGCAATTAGCAGTATGTCCGCACACACTATTTCAGATCTCACACTGATGCCTCGAGCTTTGTCAGTCTCTGAACGCGGAGTTCTGTTCTTCGACGACCAGGATATCTCAGCTGCAGACACGAAGCGTCTCTTGTTGAAGTTCAACAGATTGACTGGTGCACCGAAACAATCTGGGATCTACAAAGTCCCTGGCCCAACCCTGGAGTATCCTCATATACCGGAGTCTGGTGACCCTGAAGTCTCGGTCTTCTCCTCCACGGTCAGTTCTTCTACACTCACAATTATGCATCTACGCAGGTAGGATTAATCGCTAGACCAGTCCATGAAGCTCCCGAAAAAGCCTGCCGAACGGCCATTGGCCAGTTTGTTATGGCATACGGAGTAAGTGTTTGCATGCTACTTGGCGCAAGAAGCGTGGTCAGGGGCCTGATATGAGAGTCTGCATGCTAAGAGTTCATCCAAACAAATAGCGACACCTTCGAGAAACATCCCCCGACCTATACATCCCTCAAGCTCATCAAGAACCCCCCGACAGGAGGCGATACGCTTTTCGTCTCTTCCTACGGCCTTTATGATCGCCTTTCCGAGCCATGGCAAAAACTTGCAGAATCGCTTACAGGTAAGAGAACCCTGCCCTGTTCCTCCTTATATTCGACGGGTTCCCTTGAGCCAACCAACTAACCCAATGCTTATCTAGCAACCCACCGCGTCAACCATCTCAAAGACATGGCGAAAGCAGGCGTACTCAACCTCCCGCCTGACACCGTGAGAGGCCACCCGGAGAACACTGGATATGAACTATCTGCCTCCCAGTACGGCTCCCTACCCATTCACTCTCTCACAACGCGTGTCGTGTAATGCCGCTATACTGACCATCTCCGGATTCAGCCCCGTTATCCGAACAAACCCCGTAACAGGCTGGAAAGCACTGTATGGCGCGGCAATTGGGATTCGCGATGGCGGGTTTGACAATCTCGCGCCGCATGAAAGCGACCTGCTCAAGAAGTATTGTATGTCTCACCCGAACCTGACCTCTTCTTCCCTACCCATTTTACGATTCGTCTCCTCCCTTATCCTGCTGTTATGCTTACTCACTAACCCACGCTTCCCATACTAGTCCACGATATGATCACCAACAACTCGGACCTGCAAATCCGCCGCCGGTGGAAAGGCGTTAATGGCGTGGCACTGTGGGATAAGTACAAATACCCTTCTGCTCATAACTTCCTGGTTACTTTGGTGTCTATGCAGGTAGGGAGGACTGACCGTGCATTTCTTGAAATATAGCCGCGCCGTATTCCACGCACCGACGCTGTATGTCCTATTTCCCAGACATACACACTTGGAAAGTGCAAATCAATGCTAACTAGTCCCAGGGACGGCTATGACGAGGAAAGACTCATCTTCCACATTGCTGTCGCGGGCGAAAGACCATATCTTGATCCTGGCTCTTCGGGGAGATCATCTGGTATGTAGTAGCTTCTACAGGATGGGTCTTGGTAGATGCCTAGCTAGATATGAGAGACGAGTCGAGCCGAGCTCCTGTAAGGGACTTTTGCTTGCGTCTACTGCCGAATTGGCTTGTCTGGATAAATATATACCAATCCAACCCGTGGACAATGCGTGTCTACTCAGGGGAAAGGCAGTGTTTTGCTAGGGTATTGTAGTGTAGAGAACAGATGAGCTTTGAATAGCAGCCATTGAATGCAATTTCTTTTCATCTATTTTTGTATTCTGGCCATAAAATTCTTATGCTCAGAATATGATTATATTAGTTCCAAAAACTCACTATACAAGCCACAGGATGGTTGTAGAAAGACCCAGTTACACTTTATCCAGGCCCTACAGCACTAAGAATATCAGCTTATTGAGGTTATAATCAGGTGAATGAGGAGGCTGTAATGGGCTCTGCCCTTACTATATAGTTCCGCTGCAAGAAGACATAACGGTCTTCTATAGTGCCTTTTTGGCCGTGTGGTTCTGGTAAGCAGTGCGCACTAAATTGGCAGTGGAATGGAACATTGGCAACCCAGTTTTTGAATAAAACAAATTGCCAATATGAAGGCTTGGCCCTACCGCAATAAGAAACAGGGACACCTGGTAGTGTTTCAGAAGCCTGAGAGTATCACTTGGGAAGTTCAGGCTATCGAAATAAAATTATTAGAGAATGAAATGCGTCTGCGTCTATTGTTGGCACTCGAGGAGTATCATAAATCTGGTACAGGCTAGTAGTAACTACCTAGGTAACAAGTATGCAGTCACTGTAGTCGTTGAAGCCTTATACTGCCGATACCATAATGTGGGCGCTGTGATTCCACCGTCGTCTGGATAAGTGGTCGAACGGTGCTGCGGCCATTACTGCTTGCTGAGAAACTCCAACCTCGAGGTAGAGGTAGGATCTAGATAAGGCTTCTCGCCAATGCCGGTAACGCGGAAGGTGAGTCTCTCCCCTTCCACAACGTCACTGAAGATATTTAGGCAAAGGTCCCTCGTCCAAAGAATAGAGAAACTACTTACTAGGTCGGGTTATGGTGGACAGCGCGGCTAGGTCATTATTAACATTCTGCTCTGTCGCATACCGAAAACAGAGGGCTGGAGTGAACCATACTTGTCCCAGATTGCCACGCCATTGTCGTCCCATTTCCTGCGGATCTGGAGGTCGGAGCAGTTGGTTATCATGGACAGGACTGTAAGGTACAAAAACATATGCAGTTAGTGACTTTGGCTCCGATTGAGCAGGACTGGACCATGGGCATTTGATTGGATGAATGGAATCGAGCGACGTACAAAATTCTCTCAGCAGGTTGCTTTCATGCTCCGGCATATTGTCGTACCAGCCATCTACCAAGCCCCAGCCCACCCCAAAGAGACTCTTCCACCCTGTCACGGGATTTGTTCGGACGACTGGACTTCAAACACCAAGAGAAGTCAGTGAGTGAGTCATAGGATCACCAAGAGAAAGGAGGTATCGTGACACACTGAGACTGCCTAAACTCGAAGCCGATATTCTCCGGGTGTCCCCTGGGCACATCTTCCTCGAAGGGCACACCGTTCTCGCGGGCGCGGAGGTACTCTGCTGCGTGGTGGGTAGCTATTAGGTTATTAGAACTCTGCTGCTTTTTAGATCACGGCAGGATACGCTACCGGTCAAGGACTCGGCGAATTTCTGGAATGGCTTTGAGAGCCGATCGTAAAGTCCATACGCAGAGACAAAAAGGGTATCACCGCCCGTCGGAGGGCTTTTGGCTATCTTGAACGCTGTGTATGCAGGCGGGTACTTCTCGTGGGACTCGCTTTTTGTAGCAGTTAGTCCATCAAGGGTACGAGAGGATTCTGAGATGGAAGGTCACTTACTCGCTATGCCACCCCCAGCTTGCTAGCTTGCTTGTTTGCGCTGGTAGGGAATCCTTTAGGGTCTTCTTTTGAGACTAACCTCGGCCGAATTGCAGTGGACCATGAGTAATAGTTGACACAATGATGACATGGGCAGCCGCAATGACGACCTACCTCGGACGAGATGATAAGGATATGGGGGTCATCCTGCTCGGGAATGCCAAGGTGTCTGTCCTTTTGCCCTGAAAGTGCACTGCGGTGTAAGCCAGCCTCCTTTGGATGGCCCAGCACCTCGCCAATCCGTGTAACCAAGCGTTTGAGATCCGAAGGGCCAATATCCTGGTCCTTGAAGAAGAGGACACCGCGCTCGGAAACTAGTGCCAGAATTAGCCTATCTTTCTGGGATGAGGCTGGAAAGAGGATCGTCGACCTGTGATTGCTAGGTCACGAAGAATAGCATTATCGTCTATAATGGAGGATAGTTGGATCCCGGAATACTCGCGTCCAAGGGCGGGGCTGATTTCGATGTATTCAGACTGCGCAAGAGCTCCGGTGGTTCTCTGGATAGTTGGGAATGATTGTTCAGATTCGGTACGCGTCATTGTGGACCTGGCAATGGGATAGAGTCGAGTGTTTAGTGAACGAACAGCTTTCAGATACTCTCAACGCGATGGAAGAGCTATATATGCCGGCTACCTTACGTGTTCATCGTTCCCTTGTACGAGATGAAAGCAGAAGGCAGCGGACGACAAGTCCAGAATAGCGGTCTGACACTCAGCGTCTTGGTGCATGCGATTTCAGAATTACGAGCAGAATACGCACTGCCTCGGGTCTGATATATCCGAGAGAACTGCGACATTACCCTTGCACCGTCCCTCGCGCTTTGCATCAGGACATGCACACTCCACACCTCCAACTGACGTAGGGGAGCTCAGTATTGCGCACAAAATATGTTCGGAATGTATTACAGTATCCCTATCATCATGCTAGGACGTTGGCCGAAGAATGCCGATCCAGGCCACTCAAAACCTCTCTCGCCTGTTAAGTGGCCAGGTCAGCAATCATATGATAGCGCCTCGACACTCTGGCCTTCAAAGCTGACCTACCTTTGCCGCAGTGACAGATTTACTGTTCGCTATGAGAGTATCGCTCCCGCTGTTGGCAGCATTATGGGCGACTTGTTCTGCCACCAGTCAACAATGCACCAAGGAGACGGCAAATGTCAGAAAGGAATGGTACGTGTCAACGAGATGGTCATAGTATCACGGTCATAATATGCAAATACTGACCGCATCCAGGGCGGCATTGACCCCGACAGAGCGCCTCGACTACATCGATGCCCTTCACTGTCTAGCCGACAAGCTGCCAATCTACGACACGGGAACCTACCCGGGGGTACGCAACCGTTGGGATGATTTCGTAGCGTGCGTGTGGTTCCTCGGCTACTCTCACGCCCCCATGTACTAACAAAGCCGCAGAACCCATATAAACTACACGCTCAACATCCACTTCAACGGCCTCCTCCTCCCCTGGCACCGCAACTTCATCCACATCTGGGAAACCGCATTGCGTGAGGAGTGCGGATACAAGGGATACCAGCCGTACGCTCCCCCCCGTCCCAGCCAGCCAGCCATACCTTGAGTTGAACTGTCTAACCCGCCTGCAAAATCCTCCAGATACTGGGACTGGCCCTCCAACTCCCTCGACCTCGCGGGCAGCCCGCACTTCGACGGCTCCCCGACCTCCCTCTCCGGCGACGGCGCGTACGATGAGTCCGCCGAGCGCGACCCCACCCTGCCCAAGGGCACAGGCGGCGGCTGCGTCCTCTCAGGCCCCTTCCAAAACCACACCGTAAACATGGGCCCCTTCTACGACGCCCCCGCCAACAGATTCCCAGATAACGCCTTTGCGTACAACCCGCACTGCCTCCGCCGCGACCTCAACACCCGCGTCTCGGCCTACTGCAACAGCCCCGACGTCACCGCCGCGCTGCTCGCTGCGCCAAACATCACAACCTTCCAGACCATCATCGACAAGGGGCTGATGGGCGTGCACTTGAATGGCCCGCATGGATGCGCGCATGCGAGCGTGGGATCTGTTATGGGGGATCTGTGGGCTGCGGTCGCGGACCCGGCGTTCTTTCTGCACCATACGAATTTGGATCGGATGTGGGCCATCTGGCAGGAGATGGATGAGACGACGCGCCGGGTGGCGTTGAATGGGAGCTCAGGTATTTATAATGATCCCGATATGCCCGAGGTAACGCTGGATACTCCCATGTTATTTGGGGAGTTGGATGGGGTGCGGTATGTTCGCGAGATGATGGATCCGATGGGTGGCGGGCTGTGTTATCGGTATGAGTAGCTGTAGTAGCTTAAAGATGAGATGGGGAGGAGGATGTAAATGCGAAGAAAGGAGAGGAGAGAAGAGGAGGGGAGAGAAGAGGAGGGGAGAGAAGAGGAGGGGAGCATCAAGTCGCTACTTAAAGCTAGTGTAGTAAATCGAGAAGACCTAATTGAACTAAATAAACCGACCATAGCGCACAAACTCCCTATCCCGCTTCAGCGCCTCGATATCCACGTTCTCCAGACACATCGCAAGAACAACCTGACCATCTGCCCGCTTGGGCAGCGCATAGACAATGCCCGGGTCGGCGGGGGGCAGCGGCAAGCGCACCGCCTCGCACATCCCGAGCCCCAAGCCGAAGTCCAGTTCATAGGCCTTGACAATGGCAAAAGAGCTATACATAAGATCAATGCTCGTCCTAATCGTCCCCATATAGTTGAGTATACTCTTATCCGTCGATCGATGGAGCATCGTCACCGCCGCCCGCGTGATATACGCCAGCCCCGTCTTCTCGTGGTCCAGCTCCGAGCGGAGCCGCGACGCGGTCGTCCCCAGGGGCTCCTGCACGAGGGTGCTCAGTGTGGCGGTATCGTAGACGCACATGGTCACCATCCCCGGGTGCGCCTCGGGGATGTCGAACAGGTGCCGGATGTTGACGGCGCGGCTCAGGGTTGCTTCTTCTGTTGGATCGAGGCGGGGCAGTCGGGCGCCAGCGATCGCCTTCCAGACAAAGGCGGTTAGGGCGTCGTCGGTGGAGATGAAGCCGAGGTGTGTGGTTAGGTTCTGTTCGGCGAGACGTTTGAGTGCAGCGAGGGAGTCGGGGTTGAATATTACGTTTGCCCAGCTGCTGGGAGGGGCGGGGGCGGAGTGTGCCACAGTGGGCTCGGCGGGGGGGATGACGCGGCGATAGAGCTCTGGCCCGGGCTGGTAAGAGTCGTCGAGGAAAGGGATGAGATTGTAGCGGGAGAGGTTTGCGGCGGTTGTTTCCTCCGGGGTGAATGCTTTGCCGTGGCACGCTTTGGAGAGAAGATGCAGGAGGTGGCCCATCCCCGGATAGTCCATTGCTTGGTGTTGGCCCGCTGCGGTGAGTATCAGGCCACCCGGTATGAAGTTGGCCTGGAGGGCCAGGACGGGCTTCGGGCCTGTTATGGTTGCCGAGTAGGTGGGGATGGGTGCTATCGTTCGCTCGTCGAGTAGTTTCATGGGGAACTCGGTCTGCCGTAACTCCTCCATGCCCGGTGTGGAGGGGTCTCGGCTCAGGTCCTTGACGATTAGGGACGGAGTCTGGCCTAGTGGTTTTATTTTCATTCTCCCCGTGTGTGTTTTGCTGGGCGGTTCGTAGACAACCTGCCCGGCTACCCAGGGAAAGCTCCTGGTCAAGTTGTCCAGACCAGTTTTCAGCGTGTTGATTGTGGCTGTTCGTGAAGATGGGGAGCTGTCTGGCATAGCATAGCAAAGACAAAGCTGGATGTGCATGTCTAGGCAGGACGCGTTCCCGGTGATGTCGAGAACCCCATCGAGGTCTTGCTTGCCTTGCGGTTGGGACATACTGATGGATAAGGAGCGTGTGATACTTTCAGTATCCGGGATCTTGTAGCTTTGGTATATCCAGCGTTCTCTACCCAGGACAGATCAAGTGAAAATGAAGCGGTGCGATAGTAGAGGAGCAAATACCGAGAGGCGAAGACCGAAACTGACATTCGTTGAAATCCGTACCATCTACCCCTGGTATGCATTACGATAGGTCTGTACTACCCTGCGCTGAAGAGGGTGCATTGCGTAATAGCCATAATCCATTACATCTCCCCTTCGTTTTATCACCCTGCATGTAACAAGAGAGATGTTCACACACCAGAATCGGAATAAGGGCTTTGTTGGTGAGACCTTTCGTCGTTTGAGATGTCCGATCGTGCTCACCTATGCAGAAGGCATGGGGGTAGAGATGGGCATGATTCGAGGGGTAGAATGGTATGTGACAGCATAGCCCACCGGTGGAAGCCCCTTGCGAGAACCCTGCAGCGAGAACGAGGCTTGCATCACATTGCAGTGGCGCAAGGAGGATCTTTCGATCCGCAAGGCCGTGTATCCCTTGCATTGCCCACTTCCGTAATTCAGAGCTGCAGCGGCTCCAACGCGGCCCGCTCCGAAGGAAGCAACGCGCACCAGGATTAAGGAATTAGTTACATTCCGAGACACAAGTGGCCGTCATTACTTTGTCACGATCTATCAAACTCGGGTAATTTTCTGCCTTGGGTCGATACGCTGGCTACGACACTACCTAAAACTCCCATGTAAGGAAGATCAAACCCGTACATGGCCCCGTCTGACAGACCCCTCCCCAACCAACTCTACTTGTGCAAAATCATAACGCCTGGTTTGACTTCAACTGCAACGCATCCTCCAGCAGCTTCGCATCCGTGATATTCAATCCCGAGACATTCGGCTTCGCAGGCTTCACAGACCGCCACCCAATCATCTGCTGCGCAAGCGGTGTCATACTCTCCACCACCTCCCGCGGCATCGGCTTATACGTCTCAAACTGCGTCAGCTGGCAACTACTGTAAAAGACCAACACTGCCCGCCGTGGGTCCGGAAGGTCCTCGGGGTGCGCGCCACCGCCATGCACAACCCCCTGAGCCAGAGCCAGCACATCGCCCGCCTTCATCTGCGTCGGCACCGTCTGCTCGGCCGTGGGATTGCCAACCTCGGCCCACTTGTGGCTACCCAGGATCACGCGTGTCCCACCGTTCTCCTCGGTGAAGTCGGTGAGCGCGAGAATGAAACTCAGTCCTAGTGGTGGCGCGCCGGGCTTCATGTGCGCGAGGAGCGGGTGGGTGGATTCGTCGCGGTGCAGCATCTGCGGGTTGTGGCCCGGGTGGAGCTCGCGGAGGAACGCGGCCGTGAGCCAGTAGTCGCCGGTCCTCTCGAAGATGTTCTTAGCGATCCCGTGCAGGACCGGGTTGTTGAGGATCTCGGTGCGGAAGGTTTTGCTGACGCCTGGCAGGTTGAAGACGTATTTGGATTGGTAGGGAAACTGGAAGTCGTAGTTTGTTTTTGCGCCTAGTTTGGCCGCTTTGGAGGCTGGGTCGAGCTCTTGGTTGAAGGTCCGAATTACTTCTTGGGAGAAGATGCCTTCGAGGATTACGGCGCCGTCGTCTTCGAGTAGGTGGCGGATGGCGGTTGGGTCTGCGTCTGCTGGGACCCGTTGGATCCGGGGTTTCGAGGTAGAGTCGGGGACGGTCATGTTGGGAGGAGCTGTAAGTGAAGTGTTTATTGGTGGCAAGATTCGAAATAGTGAGTCAAATGTTGAACAAGATTGAAAGAGAATGCCGATAGACGGCTTATATCCAGCGCTCGCTCAGGGATCAGCAGAACAGCATCCTGACTTATTGGCATGCCATTTCTGCGCTCAGCGAGTATGTGGATGGTATGGGTCTCCGTGCCTTTAACCCAAATGCAAGGGACCTCAGTATCTGTCTTGTACGCTGTAGCGATCCAGTCCACTGCTTACCAGAAGCACATAGCCAAAAAGGCACTATAGAAGACCGTCAGGTCTTCTTGCAGCGGGGCTATATAGTACGTAAGGGCAGAGGCCATTACCTACGCAAGGTGCCCTTGCTGAGTGCCACAGACGAACCAAAAGCTCTCCAGGCATGACTGCACAACAGGCGGGTCTTTCTGCAGCAAGGAATCGAAAGAAGGGATGGAATTGAATCTATGTAGGGGATTAACAAGTGTCAGCCGGAACCTACCATGCTCTGACCACTACGAGAGACAAACTGTTGACTGGACACCTTTTGGCCAGGTGGTCCGGTCCACAGCAAGTCCACCACTATGGGCTTTTCCGACACAAGGCGCGTGGGGCTACTTCAAGGTATGTCCCAAAGATGAAAGTTAGATTGGCCTCTATCCTACGATGACTACTTCCACATGATCTGTGTAACACCATTGAAAGCTGGGATCAAAGTTGCGGTGATGCGAGGGTCTGACGCAACAAACCTGTTGAACCGATTCATCCTGTCGGCAATCGCCAGGTAGGGCTCCTGGATTTGTTCGGGGAAGTTCTTCGAAATAGAGCGGTCAAACACCAGCCCTTCCAGAAGAGCTGCCACCGTGACCTGTTAGCTGCAGTCACCAGCATTGCGAAGGTAAAGTGCACAACGTACTGTCATCGATAATGAGGACTCCCCGCGGAGACAAGAGCTTGTGGTCGAGGATCAACCGCGTGTACGCTTCGTACTCATCCTCCTCGGCGTCCACGTAGATGAGATCAAAATGACCTTCTAATGTGTGAAGGCTGTAGCATCGCGTCTCAGGTTAGCGATCGTATCTATACAGACGCTCGGCAGGATTAGAAGTGCCTACACATTGAGACAATTCCCCTTGATAACACGAATCCGATTTGTGGCCCGGTGTCGCTTGAAGGCGTCTTCCGCAATTTTCAGATACTTCTCCGACACGTCGACAGTCACAATCTCCGCGTTGGTGTGCTTCGTGGCTTCGTGGAACGCAAGAGCGCCAACGCCAGTGAAGGTGCCCAGCTCAAGCACTGTTCCGGGCTCCATATTAGTTGAAGGATCTACATCAGTGGAATGCAGCGGTGACACTGACCTCGGGCAGGCTTCAAAACTTGCGTCAAGCTCATCAGCCAGGCGCACTGGGAGGCGGAAGTAGCCATGATGCTCTCCTCGTCCGAGAGCTCCTCCGTGATCCGAAGTTGCTCTCTCACCACTGGCGGTAACGGAACACTGTGTTCCTCACAGTACTTCCCTGCTTGCAGAACCTGCCCCTTGTTGAGCGGGACGATGACAAGATCCTTCATGTTGGGTGCTGCGCTGCGGAAGGCTAGAGAACTTGAATCGTACTGACTGGTGGGAGGTTTGAGGGATATGATCACTTAACCGTGGGCTCCAAGCATGGTAATATACGTAAACCACCGATGTCGCCCACATTATCTTGATTGTCTGAGCAAGATTACTAACGACACCACAGAACGAGAACCCACACAGCGGGAAGCAAGGGTAAGAATGTGTTTGAGAAGGGACAACCCCTCACTGCCTCTCACCGGATTGCTACCATCGCAGCCGTGACCGACCTCGATGCCAACCTTTCATCACTCGAGCCTTGCTAATCTCAGGAGATCGCTGTACACCAGGTCAAGCTATGGCAGTATTCAACGCCGCATCCAAAACCATCCTCCAGGCGGATGCTACGACGATTCCTCGCCTCGTTCAAATCCTGGCAGCACTTGTCCTCCTCCTTTTCCTGGTCAAGCTGGGATATGGCTTGTTTTATTCCCCCCTGAGGCACATCCCAGGCTCACGACTGAGCGCCTTTTGCGGGTTTGACGAGCTCTACACAAACATCATCATGAATGGGCAGTGGTGTAAGACATACCCCGAGCTGCATAGGAAGTATGGTGAGTGTGGTATCGACGCAGCCTCTCAAGGCCAGCCTTGACAGCGAAAGCTAGGTTCGTCCATCGTGCGAGTCGGCCCCAACCATGTCCACGTCAACGATATCGATATATATGAAAGGTGAGCCTGCCGTTCCAAACAAGAGAGGCTCCTTGCCAACAACCCGCAATCTAGAATCTTCTGCATGGGGACCGACTTCTGCAAAGACCATACCTTCTACACCTGTGCCAACAACGATGGGTCAATCTTCTCTATTGCGGATCGCGCGAAACACCGAGAGCGGCGGAAGATACTGAGCCCGCGATTCTCGAAGCAAGCAGCAGAGGCCGGAGCGCCGGGGGTGCTGCGCAGGTTACAGCAGCTGGTTGATTACATGGCAGAGCAGACTCGGATGGACAAGGCGTCTGATGCGACCGACTTGATGAGGGCATTGACGGTCTCTCCCCATCTCCTCTCTCCCCCCCAGTATACCAGTACTGACCCATCAACTGCCAGATCAACGTAGTGGGAGAGGTCCTCTTTGGGAATTGCGGTGACCTTGTCGAGTATGGGCCGAGTAAGCCCGCGCTGCTCGACACGGTTGATAACCTCTCTTCACTGATTCCCTGGTGTATGTCCTTCTCAGCAGCAAGAGTTCAATCGGATCCTGACATTGGCAGTGCGCTTCTTCCCTTACCTAGGCGCGATCGGTGCTTTGTTTCCCAGTTCCATCTCCGACCGATTCGAGCCCGCGGGTGTTTACAACTTCAAGCAGGTCCGTCATGCTGCCGTTGCCGTGACCCATGGTCAAAGTGCTGATAGCATCTAGAAATGCAAGGAACATACCTTACCCCGCATGGACGAGCCCATTAGTCCCGCCATGGACCGCAGCCAAGCTTCGCTGATCGAGCTGCTGATTGCACATTCTCACGAGACGACAGGAAATGCACCAACGTTGCAGTACCTGACCGAGGAAACATTTACCTTTATCGACGCCGGGGTTGATACGAGTGGACGGACAATCGCTGCCGCAATCTACTATATTATCCGCAACCCTGGTGTGCAGCAGAGGCTGCGCGCGGAGCTTGACGAGGCTCCTGTTACCGATCCAGACGCAACGAGTGTCCATGTAAAGCTACTCAGCACCCTCCCATACCTGGTAAGCCGGCTCTTGATGGCGAGGCCTGGAGAAAGTCTGATCATTACAGAACGCCGTCATCAAAGAGACCCATCGTATGTGGCCCGCTCTGCCCGGCCCTCTGCCTCGAATCGTTCCTGCGCAGGGATTGACAGTAGGAAAGCACTTTGTACCCGCTGGCGTGAGGCAGTCCAATCCCCCCCCCCCTCCACAAACCTCTTTCAACCACATGGCTAACTGTATCCGGAATAAGACCGTGGTGTCCTCAGCAAACTTCGTCCACCATTTCAACGAGACCATTTTCCCGCAGCCCCATGAGTTCCGTCCGGAAAGGTGGCTCACCGGTGCGAGCTCCGAACAAGACCGGTATCTCAATCCATACAGCCGTGGCAGCCGCGCGTGTATTGGTATCAAGTAGGTATCCCTGCAATTTCCTCCTCGCCGTTGGCTGACTGGACTTTTCTCCAAGCCTTGCCCAGATTCAGCTCCAGGTCACTCTGGGACATTTATTTGCCCACTACGATATACAACTGTGCGAGCCAATTCCGGAGAGGTTGGACTGGCACGATCACTTTGTGGCGACGCCTGTTGCGAATGTTATGGTGAAGATTCGACCAAGGCAGAGGTGCTAGTAATTGATTATATTTCTATACATTGGCTTTCGTGGGACTTTACGTGTAAGGAGCGCGGATTTGAAATATAAGCAGCACTTGTCAATCCACCGGCTATCTCATCGGGGTGTATTTGGGCAGGCCCAGGGTCCAACGATAGCCTGCAACCTTGCATACCGACTTGACTAAGCGCGCAATTTGAGTAGGAATCTCGGGTTCTCCCCTTTGTAGCAGCCGGCAGGAGCTCGTTGAAACCAGTAGGGGGGGATCGCTTCTGCCGGTGTGGTCACACAACCCCCTTGCTCATTCCAACCCTCGGGGTTGACCAAACGACCTCTCGGAGCGAAGGTGAAAGTGATCGCTCAAAGCACTGATTCGAGGGACAAGCTGTCAAATCATCTGCCTGCCCAGTGGTCTTGCTACATCCAGGCGTAATTGGTAATACGTCAGCGCCCTCTAGGTTTCTATATATATTTTTTATATATTCGTCCCCTGCTCGGGTTGCTGCGCCGAAGCATAGTTCACAGCTAGGGGATATGACGATAAACATGATCACGGAGGAACCAAAGGTGCGAGGCGTCCCCAGCTCGGAGGCCCGGCGATCGGTTGAGATAGAAGTCCCCAGTGGAGATTGCAGCTCGGCAAACAAGATGGATGATTCAAAGCAATCTCGATGGAAAGAGGCGAGTAGCACCTCAGCGTCAAGCGAAGAGCACGAGCATGAAGCCCTCGGCCAAAATCTCGAATCCTGGAGAGTCGCCGTGATCATGACTGGACTATCACTATCCATCCTATGCGTGGCACTCGTAAGACACCCACCCCTGATTCCAATCCCAACCAACCAGCTAAAATGCCACCCAGGACACAACAATCATGGCCACAGCAATCCCGAGAATAACAGACGAATTCAACTCCCTAGCAGACATAGGCTGGTACGGCAGCGCCTACCAATTAACCTCCTGCTCCCTCACTCTAACCTTTGGCAAACTCTTCACCTTCTACTCCACCAAATGGGTCTACCTCATTGTCCTAGCGATCTTTGAACTTGGCTCCCTAATCTGTGGCGTGGCGCCAAACTCGACAAGTTTGATCATCGGCCGCGCAATCGCCGGCATCGGCACATCAGGCATCTACGCAGGCTGCTTCCTGATCATCGCGCAGACGATCCCACTCAAACGACGGCCCCTCGTCACCAGCATAATAGGCAGTCTATACGGTGTTGCTAGCATGGCCGGTCCTTTAATCGGCGGCGCACTAACCGACCACGCCACCTGGAGATGGTGCTTCTACATCAACCTGCCCGCGGGCGCCGTGACGGCACTTTTCATCGTGCTCCTGTACAAGGCGCCGCGACAGAAAAGGCAAACCAGCTTACGAGCCGTAGCCGTGGAACTCGATATCCCGGGTACAGTGTCCTGCTTGCCCTGCGTTATCTGCCTTCTGCTTGCACTGCAATGGGGCGGGGCCAAGTACGCCTGGGACAGCCCGCGCATCATAGCCCTCTTCATCAGCTCCGCGGGCCTCCTCCTGATTTTTGTTTTGATCCAGTGGGGCCAGCAGGGTCGAGCCACCGTCCCCCCGGCTCTGATCAGCAACCGCGACGTCTGGGGCCCAGCGCTGTATGCCTTCTGCCTCAGTGCGTCTTTTATGGTCTTCACATACTACGCAAGTCACCGCCCCGCCTCCTCCCAAATCCGAGATACGACCGTGTAACTAATGAACCATCCATCCAGCTCCCCATCTGGTTCCAATCCATCAAATCCGCCACCGCCACAGAATCAGGCCTCATGAACCTCCCCATGCTAATCTCCACAACCGTCACCTCAATCATAACAGGCTTCCTCGTCGGCAAGATCGGCTACTGTGCCCCCTTCATGCTCCTCGGCTCCGTCCTGGGCGCTATCGGCGCAGGACTCCTCACCACCCTATCCATCCACTCGGGACCGAGCAAGTGGATCTCGTACCAAGCTCTCTACGGTGCCGGCGCGGGGATGGGTATCCAACTCGCCGTCACGACCGTGCAGGCTGCTATACCACCAGGAGATCTTCCCAGTGCAACGGTGATTGTGCTCTTCTTCCAGATGATGGGTGGGGCGGTGTCTGTTTCTGTTGCGCAGGCGGTGTTTCAGAATGGGTTGCTGGCGACGTGTACGAAAGAGGATGTGGGGGGCGCTGATTGCGGGCGGGTTGTTGGGGTTGGGTTGGGGGAGTTACGGAGGGAGTTTTCGGGGGATTCTTTGCAGGGCGTTTTGAGGGTCTATAATGGGGCTGTTACGCGGGCGTTTTTTGTTGGGGTGGCGATGGTTTGTCTTGCGGTTCTGGGGGCGGTGGGGGTGAGGTGGTTTTCTGTTAAGACGAGTAGTGCGAGGACGAGTATGAGTATCAATAGTATGAATAGGGGGCGAGAGGGTGGGGAGGGGGTGAGGTGAGGGGTCGTGTAAATGCTGCTGTGACCTTGATAGATATAGGAAGGATATGTAGACACTGAAATTGAACACCGGTTGGATACCACTGTAGACCAGAAGTCTATTCAAGTACGAGTGCTTGTCAATTGCGTACATGCAAATATCATCTACAACCCTGAAGATACAATGTATTGCTGACGTATTTTTATTAAGCCTAACCCACAAGCTCCACCCCCCCTCCCTGCCTTTACCGGTAGTTAATCCAATCTAACCAACCCAGTTACATCAAACCCTTGGATGCAATAATTAAAAAAAAAAAAAGCGATCAATTGCACTCAAATGCCCTAGCCAACCCTCCAGCGACTCAAACTTGCCCCCTCTCCGCCGCATACAAATAATCAACATACTTCTTCACCAACTCGCGATCAAAAACCGGGCACTCCAGCTGCACCGGCAGCATCGCCAGCGCACGCTTCGTATTCGTCGCGTCATAAACAGGCATCCTCTCATACAGCTCCCAGCGACTCAGCCCGTCGCGCACCTTCTCCGCGAGCATGGGCAGCAGCGGCTGCAGGCTCGCATGCGAGGTCGTAGACAACCGCGCAATCCACTCCTCATACCGTAGCCGCTGTATAGGTGTCCCGCGCACCTGGGAAATCAGGTCCATGGTCTGGATCATGTCGACCGATGCGGTGCGGTTGGGGAGAAGGTGGAACGCGTGCCCGACGGAGAAGACGGAGTCTGATATCTGCAGCATTGCGGACACGACGTAGTCAACAGGGACGAATTCCTTGCGTTGGTCGGGCAGCTCTGGGTACACGCCTAGATCCAGGCCGGAGCAGATGAGGCGGCTGAAGAAGTCGTCTGGGTTGCAGATGCCGGTCTGCGAGTGACCCGTTATAAAACCCGGACGGTAGATGGCGACGGGGAAGCCTCGTGTGATGAGGCGCTGGAGGAGGGCGTCGGCGACCCATTGGCTCTGCGCGTAGCCGTGATCGTAGGGCAGGGCCGGGAGGTGCGGGAGGAGCGGGGCGTCTTCGTAGACGATCTTGGAGCCGTTGATGGTCCCCGTGGGTCCGAAGCAGGATATGCTGGAGCAGTAGTGGAGGGCCTTGGGGCGGGCTGTGACTGCGAGGCGGGCAATGTTTGCTGTGCCGATGACGTTTGCAGGGCGATGCAGGGAGTAGGGCTTTGTGTAGTTGACGAGGGCGGCAAAGTGGAAGACTACGCTGCTCCAGGCTGCGATCTCGTGGAAGCGGTCCTCGCCGAGGCCGAGCCAATGGTCTTGGATGTCGCCGCACAGGGGAAGGAGCTTGTATGAGAACGAGTCCTGCCAGAGACTGTACTTGACGAGTGTAGCGCGGATGCGCTGGAGGGCTCTGGCGGGGGTTGCTGCACGGACAAGGCAGCCAACCTGGGACACCCCGGGCATTGTGAGGAGCGAGGACAGGAAGAATGCGCCTACGAAGCCGGTCGCGCCGGTGAGGAAGACCCTCCCTTCCGTGTCACGACGCCAGTCAACCACTGGCTGCACGGGAGGTTCCAGCTCATCTGCGAGCCTTATGTCGGCCGCCAGTGCATCTTGTTCGTCGCGGACGGTAGCCATGGACGACCCTCGATGTCGGTCCACGATGGCGGCTAGCTGGCCGAGTGTGGGATGATCGTATAGGGCGAGTAGAGAGATCTCGGTGTTGAGCTGCTGCCTAATGAGAGTAATCAACAACGAAGCCTGCAGGGAGGTGCCTCCCATGGCGAAAAAGTCGTCGTCGTCGTTGTATTCGGGGACCGGCGTGGCCAGGACCATCGCCCAGATACTCGCGATCTGCTGCCGTGTACTCATCACCTTCTCCTCCTTGTGCCCATTAATGCCATTGAGGAGCCTCTCACGTCTTTGGTGATATATGCTCTCCAACTTCTTTCGGTCTATCTTGGCGTGCGCGTTCAGAGACATCTCCGCTACCACCTCGATGTGAGGCACCATATAGTCCGGCAGAGTCGCCTTGGCCACCTCGACAGCCTCAGCCACGGCACTCTTGGCCGCATCAGCACGCAGCACGGCAAACGCAACCAGAGTCGCACCGGCCCCAGCCGCCTGCGAGTCCATGGCCATGGCAAATACTTCAGTAAAGTGCCCCGTGCCCATAAGCACGGACCGCACAGCCCCGAGCTCCACACGGAACCCCCGAATCTTGACCTGCTCATCGCGACGGCCAAGGAAATCATGCTGCCCATCCGGGCGCCGGCGAACCAGATCGCCCGTCCGGTACATGCGGTAGGGCTGCTTAGTCTCCGGGTCGACCATGCCGGGGACAGCCACAAACGTCTTTGCGTTCTTCTCCGGCTGGTCGACATACCCCGGGGAGACACCGGGTCCGCCAACGAGCAGCTCGCCCTCTTCGCCTGGCTTGACGGGATTCCCCTCCTCGTCGCACACAGCACACACGTTGCGTCCGATCGGCTCCCCGATACTGACCTTGCCCGCACGCACGTCGTCAAATGTAATCTCGTGCGTGAGACAGTAGACGCAACATTCCGTTGGGCCATAGGCATTCATCAGATGCGTGGGCGGCCCCGCCGACAGGATCGCCTCCATTGCACGGAGATTGACCGCTTCGCCGCCCATCAGGACAACCCGGAGCGGTTGAAAGGTCGCCGGGTGCGTCGTCGCCGCCAGGTTGACAAGCGGCGCCGTGATGGCTGCAATGGTGATCTTCAGCCGGCGGATGGCGGCGGCTAGCGCGGCGCTGTCCAGGAGAGTTGGTTTGCTAAGGACGCCGATGGCTGCGCCGCGGAGAAGCGCGCCCCATATGTCGAAGAGGGCAACGTCGAAGCTCGTCTTGTTGGGGTGGCCGACCACGTCTGTCTTGCGGACGGGCTCATAGGGTGCGTGGTGCGCGACGTGGATGATGGAACGCGCGGCGATCTGCACGGCCTTGGGCTCGCTCGTTGTGCCTGAGGTGTGGATGAGATGCGAGCAGTGGTCTATCCCTGTGGGGACGGGGAAGCAACGTTCGCCTGCAGCCGTGCCGGTACGGGCCGAGGTTGATTTCTTGGATGATTTGTGGCCGTCGCGCAAGACGAGCATGGCAAAGGGGAGGCTTCGCTTTGCATTGGCCTTGTCGACAAGGACGTGTCGGACGCCCAACCTCAACAACCGGCTTTTGATCTGCTGATCTGGGAGCAGGGGGTCGATTGGCACGCAGGTGCCGCCGGCGTACATGATCGCCACTTGCGCGACTGGGTCGCAGAGGCCATGCTCGACGATGACGCCGACCCGGTCTCCAGCTGTGTACTGGTGCTCGGTGAGTGTCTGCGCCAGCTCGATTGCCTTTTCATGAATAGCGCCGTATGACAGGCTTTTGGTGGTTTCGTCGATGATTGCGACGGCCTCTCGGTCCTCGAGCATGCGCTGGTAGAAGATCTGGCCGAGCCCTTCTCCACGAGAAATGACTCTGTCGTAGTCAGAGACATCTGGAAGAATTGAGCCCATGGCGGAATAATGGTAGCATCTAGACCCTATTCGGGTTTGCGCATACAGTCGCAAACAAAAGGACAGGAAGCGGAAGCTAGGCAACGGAGTGAATTCTATCGTTAAATAGCTAACCATACCATGATACGCGGTTCACATTTAACAACCAGGTCCTCTGATGGTGAGCGCCCCCTTTAGCCCCCTACATGGCCACAAGACGTGAATTGTGCAGAGACATGCCTCGTCTATCAGCGCAGACTCATTCTTCCAAGTGTTTCCTGCTAGGGACCCCCTCCCCTGACCGTCTCTCTTTCTGATTACCACGAGATGCGCCACTTGCGGCAGAGCAGTGGTTGTCCTATCCTGGAAGAATTCTCCATCGGAATCTGGTCCCAGACCCGGGTCAGGGAACGGGTCTTAAGGCCTCCTTGCATCATAGTCGATCAAATTTCTCTTGTGCAACAAGCCGCATACCTGGGGAGTGCCAAGCGTAGACCGAGGCGTCTTTGGTCGTAGGGCTTCGATGAACGGTCCGATCTCCACTAGGGTTGAATCGATAATGGGACCAACCTACTAAGGCCCGAGTTCTGTGCGCTGTTGTTTCCTGCACCACACAGCTTATAGCTCCTGGAATAGGGTAGTAAGCGAAGCAAAGGGATATTCCTGCCTTGTTGACCTCAATTACACCATTAGTGGCGTCTTCGCGCGATGGGTCGAGCAGTAGTTCCCCGCCCAGAAAGAATCCATAGCCAATATGACGGAGGAAACGGGGTTCGTCCGCGTGGTGAAGGATCTTCCGCGAGAGAATGTTAGCTGGCCTAACAAAGTGCGCAGTCAGACCATATTGTAGCTTTACACTACCTGAGCGAAGGCCGTCTGAACCGTTCTGTCTTTTCTTCGAATAAAAAACACAACATACATCCATTGCGAGAGCGACCAAGTGCTCCATCACGCAAGGCTAATGGCATGGCTAAGATAGGGTAGCACTCAGTAACCAGAAAGAATGCAAGAGAGGTCCGCACAGCTTTCCAATGCATGAGGAAATTGATCTCCTACCCAGAAGTCACCCTTGGCCATATCGGCTTGCCCAAGGGGAAAGACAGAACCAGACGGCTAGTACCACTAGAATTTGTTTGCTAGAGTTGGCAGAAAGAGAGACAAAACCAAGAAATACGACGCCTAGTATGCCCACGACTACATTACGGATGCTTTAGAGGTTAAACTAGGGCTACACAACGCACCGAGCAGGGTTGCGAACCCAGAGGGTCCAATGCTGTACACGGCTCATCACGAGATTGGACGAAGCCAATCTGGAGCCCTACGTTGATGCTGGCACTCGGTCGACCGCCCTTAGCGTGCAGATTTGCCGCTACAAAGAGTGCTGGCCTTGCATGCCGGGCTCACTGGCGATCTTTCCCTGACTTGTGGGGTCGGGGAGTGGGAGGCTGGGTAAGGGTGGATGAAGACACGACCGTTGCGGCATTCCAGATGATCCTGTAATGTCTGTATTACATCCATTGACCATTCAAAAGGAGCCGGCTGATTGGGGTTATGTTATTGGCCGAGGAGGGCAAGCGATGCTGATGGGTTTGAAATACGGGATACTCAATGCGGTTGCTTGCGAGGCAAGGTGATGATGCTCTTTTCGTTACTGTTACTACTGCCTCAATGAATGTTCGATACTACCAACGCTGACGCCGGTCTTACAGGCCCTCCAGTATACCTATCGGAAGACTACATTGGCCGCTGAATGCTGCCAAAGTCATAGCTCTACGCTCCACATGTCTGACCTTGACAGAGTCATGCCCATAAGGGTAAGTTGGCCTCATCAAATATTCTCTTATTAGAGATTCCGACTCTTGCTGAGGTGGAGACAATCTCTAGATTTATTGGGCCCGCTTGCTAGCTTGTTCCTGGAAGATCGATTTGATTTAATCTCTGGTCCTAGGAAGCTTCAAAATAAGCTTATCTCTCTAGTCTAGAACTTAGTACATGCTCAATCTTCATGCGATCAACTACTTGACAGGTTTATCTCTGAATTCTTCATAGTAGCATACCGTATCCTCTGGTTCTACCTGATAGGTCTTGTCGGCAATCATGGTTATTCTTCTCTGCGTTATACCGGAATCATTCTTCTGCCTGACAATTTCATTTGAACTCGCAGTTGTAGGCACGTTGAGGTATACTAGGAAACTGCCCCTCAAATCCCCATAATCTCAGTCCAGTCCAGGACCCCGTCTGAACCCCCAGCGGGGTTGCTGAGTCCCTGAAGATATCCTGATGTCCTCTTACGCTCTACATCACACCTCAGCCTTTCTTTTTTGCTCCTCATTACCCGCCAAACTCTGCAACGGCTTACCAGAAAGTCCACCTCCATCTTGCCCACCATGTAGTTCTGGTTGCCTTGCCCCACCAGCCGAAGTCCAGATATGAACAACCACATACCCCATAAACACCACATGGGGCTTCCGTTCTTGTACGCCCATATCCAGCTGCTGTTGTTTGCAGAGGAGCTCGCGTTGGGGCTCTGAAGACAAGTTTGGTATTGGAACCTCGTAGTCATGGTCCCGTTCCTGATGCCAGAACCTGGAAGAAGCGAGACGCGGCCGTCTGGATTATACTCTGGCGGGACGTGGCCTGTCCCAGCACGCGGGGAGACAATGCCTTCCGTCGCAGAAGAGGCGTAGACGATGAACATGTTTGTCCCAGCCATCTGGTCGCCTTGAGCTAGGGCAATCCATTGAATTGTCGTGGGTGCTTCGACTTGAAGGAAGATGGTTTCATGGCGGGATACATTTGCGGTGTTGGTGGAAACGGCTATCGTGAAGGAGATGTCGTTTCGGTTTGGCGGGTGGAAGAGGGCTGGGTTACCACTTGCGACTGTGACTGGGGGTATTGATAATGTTGCCGCGAGATAGACCGAGGGAGATTTCAAGGTCCAGGCTGCCTACCCCTACCGGGCTTCCTGGATTAAAGCACGACGTAGGAAGAATATATAGCACCTCGCTAATACATGGTGTACGCCTCTGGATAGCTGTCTCAGTTTTTGATCTTGCGAGCAAGAGTCCCTTGCCTTCTTGTCGCACTTGATCAGAACAGATCGCTCAAGACGAACCCTCAGTGACATCCACCTTGACCGCTCAATCTCTAAGCAAGGATGCAAATCAGGTTCTGGAAGGATGTGCTGACTGTCCTAAGTCAGTGCAAATAACGTCTGCCTCAGATGTATACCAACTACAGTATGTAATCATCTACGCTTCGCACCTTCGGAAACGGTTACAGTTACACACCATTTCAGGTTTCTGCAGCCCGACAGGATACTGTGGGGTCAAAGATATCTACGCTGTAAGCGAGTAATTCGAAACCCACCGCTGGCTATACGACCCAGTCCGACATCTCCATCAAGCAGGACTCCATCGACGCTACCATACTCCACTCAGGTCAGGTTCTGGTGCACGGATATACCCTCAGGGATATCGCCGCACTAAGAATTTGTGAAGTTTTCGGTGTAGTTTTTGCGAATCTCATCATATCCAGCGTTATACTGAAGGTCAGCAGCATTCCCATAGGGCAGGCGGCGAGGGAGTCGAGCCAGTCCCTCTTCCCTCCCTTCAGAAACATGATATGATATAATTCTCTGAATTAGCAATAACGCGGATCAGGAAACGTATCTTCCAATTGTAACCTACAACGCATAAACCTTTGTGAACTCATACAACCTCATGACGCGTGGGCCGGATTATGTATCGGCATTTTTCAATACTGACCTCTGGCGTGACGTCCTCATCCCCTTGGCTTCACATACATGCGCACAAGCCTTTGTCCCCGACGCACAAAGTCAATAGCACCATCGCCGTCATTTCGTATTACCACGTTGCTTCAAAGCTGATCATTGTCACAGCTTAGCCTGAACAGGCCAATCCAGTTGATCAGGAGATCTCACTCTGGATAGTCGGAACTCCCTTTAGAGCCCATCACACCCCATATCAAGGGCCCTTGCTCTCCAGACATGCTAATAATGCCAACCAACTATCTCATCACGGACCTTGTACCATCCGCCCCAATCAAATACTTGGCTTAGACCATCTTATTCAGGACCTTCTCTCCCTAAAACCGCCGAAGCCAGACCATGCACGCGTAAGCCGCGGGAAGCCCAACCTCGCTAGCATCAATCTCCAGCCCACAAATAGACGCGTGTACATATTTAATACCAGCACTCAAGATACCCGCAACACGCTTAGCCATGATCTCCTCCACGGGTCCCTGCTATAGCGTCCCCTGTGTCCATCTACTCACTATCTCAGCGTACGGCGTAACTAATCCTTTTTAGTAAGCCCACGCATCGAACCCCGATAGCTAGTTAAACAGGATACCAAACCATCCTCCCTAGTTTCCCATCCTAGTACCAAGACCACATGGTTAGATATATCGCGGGCTCCTAGAGCTCACGCACCCGATAGTAGATCCGCCAGGTCTCGAATATCTCCATCATCTTAGAATTTAGCTTACCATGCGATGGATGGTTAGTAATACTCTACCTCATTTCCCTAGTAACTTAAGGTGAGTTCTCACTCGTCCTCCTATTCCACTCTAGGTTGTCTGCTCGTTTCTCGATAATACGAAATTCGGTACGCAGCTGCGCTAGGGATAGTGCCACGGCCAGCATGGATAAACCCCCGTAATTGGCATGGTCTCGGGAATGATGTTCGAGGGAACCGCTTACCCTGAAGGCCCCTGGGTTTGAATATTAGCCGTTTACTAAGGTATGGTATGATGCATGGTGGAACTGGGGTGGCGCTTGACGTACTGCTCGGACGATTAGGACATCGGTGAGGCTGGTCGTGGCCGTCATTATGGTCAGGTTGGATGAATCGAACCTCCGAAGAATAACTCTTTAACAGATAGTAGTACTACGAGGACCAATCTGTTATTAGCAGAGTACGTACATGCATCTAGCCGGATGATCCAGTGAAGCGTCCCATACCACGTCTGCCAGAATAACGAAGGGGTGTAAGCGGAAGGAGCCATCTATCTATCTATCCCACGACTCGGTTCCCATCCCTCCCTAGCTTACCGCAAAGAAAAGTGCTTTCGACACCATCGCTCAATACTCATCAGCTGCTGCTCCCCCTTGGGCCTCCCCAACGCCACAGAAGTCTTAAGCTTAAGCCTCCCCGCCGTCTCCTTCTCCGACAGCTCAGGCCCAAAGTACTTCCCCGCATTATTCTGCGTAAACGCAAACATGGCCTTTGTATCATCCAACTCGGGGACCCCATGCGTATCAAATGCCTCCCAACTCGGCAGCGGCCTAAAGCGCGCTCTACACCCGCTAACTTCCTCAAACGCGCCCACCAGCTGATCAAAGCTGCAGATGTCGCTGCATCCGTGGACGACCTGGCCCTTGACTGCTTCGGGATCAAGAAACATGCCCTGGACGATGTCGCCAAAGTCGTCGGACATGGCGATGAAGGGGACGTCTTCCTTGCCGCCCCACTTCGGCGCGATGAGCGTGAGGTAGCCATCTGTGTCGGGGATAAAGGGAAATCCGCCGAAGATGGGGGCGAGTTCTTTGATGAGGAAGTTCTCGAAAAACCATGAGGCGCAGATAAAGCTGACGGTTTCGAAGCAGGAGATCTGCCGGGCGTATTGTTCGATTTTGTACTTCACTGGGCTGAGGTTACTTTTGCACCTCCAGTTGGGGTTCGGAGGGGCTTACTGTCTGCCGCATTCATTCTAACCTTACCCCCCGTAAGCGTGAGGCAGTCGGGACCAGTGCTGAAGATGAAGTGGCTGACTCCGGCCTGTGCAGCCGCATCCACGATGGTCTTGCCCATGTCGAACTCGGTCGGGCCGCCTTGTTTGAAGGCCTGTATTCATAGTCAGATTTACTCCTAAATACTAGATTGGGTGACTTACCTTGTCATCAGAGTTGATATTCACAAACGCACCCCATGACCCAGAGAAGGCGCTCACCATTGACTCACTGCTGAAGCCATCAGCCTGACGGACCTCAACTCCCTGTGTAGCCAACGCCTGGCTTGCCGGTGAGCTGGGATTGCGCGTCAGAGCTCGAACCTTGAAGGATGGGTTCTGTAGCAGCGAGCGGGCGACGGCACCGCCTTGGTTACCGGTTGCGCCAAAGACAGTGATAAGGGGAGCTGTGAGGGTCATTTCGAGGCAGATAGTTGGCTGGTAACCCTGACGATTGCACCTTCAGTACTTGAAGTCAAGAGTGCTTTTCTATCAAGGCAGATTGTTTAAAATATGAAAGGGACCAGAAGGCTTTCACGCAATAGTAGCGGTGAGGATCGTTGCTCGGCGGACACGTTACCTCGGTGGTGATGTACATCGTATTATGCATCAAGACTCTAGGGGTACGCAAGGGCTTTAGCCCTGGTGTCCCACCTGTATGTACTCTGGTGCAGCCGGCCACTGTCTCATTTCAGTTTGACTCCCTTCTGGACACATTCATTGTCAACCCTAACGAGTCCATTGGGACGCAGCCACTATTCGCAAATATTTTCATGTCGTGTCATCCTTTCGTCTCACGTTGTCGGGTGCATTCGACTCAAATTACCATCCTTTGTGCTTTTCCCCTTTTGATTAATTCATCGAACGATTTGCAGGCCTTATCCTTAGTCATTGACTTGGTACGAGATTATTTTAACTATTTCTGAAGATGGTGAGTCTAACCCTACCAACAGAATAAGGTGTAGAATGGACATGACCAGGTGAGCGATCGTCTAGTCATGCGCAGGACTCGGGCTTCGTGAGCAGATGCAGGTTTGAAGACAATTCGTCGGGTTTAGTATATGGGCAGTGGATACTATGACTAACATCAACCTCGCGGTTCGCAAAACCAGACCTATTTCATTCTATATAATTAGGATAGCACAGATTTCTTAGACATCCACCAACGGAGTCTCTGAAATTAACGCCTCAGACATGTAGCCGACCAGAGGTGACACCAATAGTAGCATCATTGCACTATGTGCAAACAAACATCCTGATCTGGGCTATGTAGCCTCCGCAGCCTTCCACGCCTCTTGCAGCTTTATCTCTATGGAATCCGCCAGGTCTACTAGTGTTGTCTGTGAGCTTATAATAGTAAGGAAGGGTATATTAACCTATAATACTAACTAGAACTATATATAGAATTTAGATATAATTATACTATCTATTTTAAACTATAATATTAGCTGCTGATCGGATTGACCGGGGTTAGCAGATCGACTGGGAATTACGTTAATTCTCCTGTCGCTAAATAGCTTCCATAGAGAATCAAGGTTCTTCTCTCACAGACTCCGTTTGCTACGGTCGTTTGATCCGTTCGCCCTGGCGACGCGTTATAGGGCAGTCAGGCAACTGGCTCATGGACATTGAGTTGAGGGGTTAGCTACCTTTAAACAATGTCCCATTCTCCACGGGCAAGACTTTGTAGCGTTACTCTTGAATGGTTTTCTCTAGTATGCATGCATCCGTGCTGATAAGTCTAAGAGAAATCCCGACTAACATGGAAAATCTAGGAGCCTCGATCCTGATTGTTTCTTACTATCCGCCAACTCATGCGGTTCAACCTGGATACTGCCCGGAGGAGCACGGCTTGTTCATGGTATTAGTCCGCTGGCGATTGGGAGAATTACATGCACGCAGGCGTGCTAGCAGAAGACGAGGTTGGCTCTAATGGACACATCTTCGAGATTTATGTCTTGACCCGCCTCAATGCTTAGAGGGAGAGAGTCAGGGGTGTGATAGGAAGGTAAGCAGCTAGAAGGTTGTGACTGTAAGCAGATAAGCACTGCCATCCGCAGCAAATCATCCATCACACGGGGGTCTTCAGGAATACATAGCCTCTCTACCGCAAGTCCACGTCTTCCACCCCTGTTTATCCCGTCGACACCACGGTCTCACGACGGGTTACAGAGGATAGCCCCATGAACCAGCCATGAATTGTTTTTATTACTGGGTTGTCTCCCAAATTGCTAAGGGGCGAGGAACTATTAGTTTCTATGTACTTATAAGCTTGACTTAGAGAACCAGGTTAATTTCGTTCCAAGTACAAACAAGATCCTGTAGGTAACTCTCTAGAATTTACTATGATAATGTGTAACTAAACCACCATAGCTGTCTATAACCAATGCGGTCCAAGAGAAGGGTGAAAGGCAAAGAGGAAAAACGAAGAAAGAAAATGTTGTGGACTGACTATATATGGCTATTCTACATTTGATTATTTGCTCTAGTTCTAACTTTGGATTGTTATTTGAGAAAAAAAGTCCTTCCTACAAAGTGTTCTCTATAAAGATTAGTTACCATAGTATAGGGCTACCAAGCCAACAGAATAATTTGTAATTATATGTAGAGACTATCATATAGATATATAATACCACACTAGATGCTAAGATATGAATATTTAAGGCATTTCCTGGGGTGGGGGATATAGTTAATCTTTCAGATTCATCCACTAAGCACGTCCTAGATCCCCAGAACAGCTAAGGAGGTCTAGAGGTAGCCCATCACAAAGAGCCATAACCATGGTTATGCGCACGCGATTCCTGGTGTTTGCTTCTAGCTATTATAACAACCTCTGCGTGAGTGGCATCGCGGTAGCCACAAGCACGTACCTTCTAATGGAAGCATAGATTGCTCGATTAATTAATACAAGCCTATACCTAGAATACCCTGCTTGCTTCATTTGAATTGAACTAAGATTCTGATATCTGCTTTCACACAGATACCTTGCAGGTGCTTGCATTGATGGTCGAGCTTTTGTATAGAATCATATATTGTTTGGTTCTCATATGTACTTTTATAATTCGTATCATATCACATTGGACCTGGCAAACCCTGAAAGATACAGGCAAAGGAGGCACGCACGCAATGAGTGTAATCTTTATGCCTCCGCTTCTGCTTCTGCTGCCGCTGCCGGCTCCGCCGCTTTGAGCGCCTTCTTCTTTCCCTTGGCGTACACACGCTCATCATTCGGATCGAACCCGCCATTGCCCCAGAGCGCCCATTCCGCCGTCTCCATCATGTAATCCTCAGGCCGGAACGTCGTTCCATCTGCCTTCTCGCGTTCGAGCAACTCGAAGAAGCGCGGGTAGTCGATGCGCGAGTGCCACTTGCCGTTGACGTAGAACCGTCGCGATGCGAGTAGGGCGCAGCAACTATGTGCGTGCTCGGCGGCGATTCCATAGTCGAGGCCGCGGCGCTCGAGTTCTTTGTTTAGAGATAGGACGAATTCCTGTATTTCTTCGTAAAAGGGGACGTTTTGCATTGTTAGCCCCGCGCCGGCGCTGGTGCTTGTGCCGCAGTATGTGACGCCCTTGATTTCGATGAAGCAGGGGAGAGCCTTTTCAACGAGGTTCGCGTAGCCGACGACCTCATCATCGATGTTGAAGCCCTTGACGAGGGTCAGGCGGAAGACTGTGCGCTGCACGTGGCGCTTCTCGCGGAGAATGTCGAGGCAGCGCTGGAAGCGTTCCCAGAAGTCGCGGTGCAAAGGGCGGTCGATTTTGCGGAGGCTCTCGCGGTTGCTGGCATCGATCGAGACGTAGAGCTGTGTGACACGGTTGAGTGTTTCCAGCTGGTCAGGGTGCTGCGCGTTGCAGACGAGGAAGCTGGAAATGTGTTCGGAGTGGAGGAGGTCGAGGAAGGGGTTGATATGAGGGTAGAAGATGGGTTCGCCGACGAGGCTGAGGGCGCAGTGTCTGATGCGCATGGCCTCTGCGAAGCGCTCGGCGCGGACACCGGGGACGCCGCGCATCTGTTTGATCTTTTTGTAGTGGCCTTCTTTGATGCCGTCAAAGATTAGATCTGGCGAGTCGACCTTCCAGCGCCAGGTGGTGCCCACAGGGTTTGTGCCGTGTCTCCAGCAGAAAATGCACTTGTTACTGCAGGAAAGAGAGGGTGTTGCTTCCATGCAAAGGTGCGATCTAATACCATAGAACGAGAACTTGTAGCACGATCCGCGCCCTCGGAGCGCAGACTTTGTCCAGCGGCAAATCTTGACACCAGAATGGGATCCGACAATTGTGTATCCTTGCTTTGTGAGGGAAGTATAGGTTGGCGATGTCTTGGGGACCATTTCTTTCTCAGTAGGCTGAATACCCTGAGAAGTCCCGGCAATCGTGAAATCTACTGGAATGGGCGAGCCACCAACTTGGGCATCAGCGCCCATCTTGATATCCTCTAGATCGACAACCGCTTGAGGCTTTCTCCCTTTGCGGATCTTCGATTTGCTTTCATCAGACTCCTCGTCGTCGGACTCTTCTTCGTCACTTTCCAGTGGATCGCCACTGCCAGGAACACCTTCTCCTAGGCTTCCATGTTCAACGATATCGCCCAAGATATCCTGCACTCCCTCGGTCCACTCTTTCAGAGCTGCCTGGGCATCGTTCTTCACGTCTCCAAATCCGAGAGGATAGGCGCGCTTCTTGTTAGAAAGTTTAGCCATCCATCTGTCAAGCTCTTTAGCCTGCGAGCAGAACCCTTCCTCCTCCGTCGGCCATCCTTCTTTATCTCCGAAGCCGAACACAGCATATCCAGCAAGAGACGACAAAGATCCCGTATCAATGCGGAAATCGTGATGGGTCTCGTCGAGGTGCGCGAGAAATGTGTCGAGAATGGTGTCGATGTTGTAGGAGGGGATCAGGAAAAGATAGACATAGCGCGTACCGGGCGAGGTAGACGGGGGCTTCGGGGCCGTGGTAAAGTAGTCATCATAATCGACTTCAGCTAGATCGTAAATTTGCGGTGGCAGAAGGCCGCGTTCGCGGTTCTCAGGATCGGTCTTGGTCTGCGCCGCCGCACGCAGGTCCTCCAGCAGCACCTTTGCATATCGCTCGGTACTTCCAGTCAACGATGCCCAGAATATGATCGGTTGAATGAATGTTACAGGCTGCTCCACCTCGGCGGGTGCAGCGTCTGTACGTCGTCCGGCAGTCTTTATCGGCTTCTTGCCCGTCACTCTCTTCGGTCCCACCGCGGGTTTGGGCGAGATGCGGCCGCTGTCTAACGCCTTTGTGTCTTTCTTCTCAACTGTGCTCGTCAATTCATCGAGTCTCGGCTTCTTTTCCGGGGACAGACTGCGCGGGGACGAGGGGATTGAGGAAGCTGTAGCGGCCTTCGACCGGGTTTGGAGCACGCGACGGAGGCGGAGGATGGCTAAACCTGTGGCGAGGGCGACGAGCAAGGGGAGGCGGAAAGAATGCCAAAGGGCCAGAAGCCCTGAATAATAAGTCAGCGATTACCCAAGTCGACCGGTAGGAGACCGGGGTATAGATCTCACCATCTGACGCTGTAGACTCGGCCATGGCAGTGGTGAGGGGTCTGCGAAATTGAGCTGTGGGGTCGGTCGTGGCCTTCGAAATGAGGGATCCGATGAGGAGGGTAAGGTTAGTATGACTGAATCATTGCAGATTGGGCGGTCCAAGCTTCCGGCGACAGTAGGAGTAGGTGTCGACCGATAAATGCTTTGGTTTGCGAGTGACAAGTTTCAAAGGAAAAAGATTGATTCTCTGATTGAAGATTCGGGATTATCGATCGGCTGCCTGCCATTGGCTCCCACACTTTTGCCGACACCTCAGGCATCAATATTCTTGTATAGAGGCAGCAAACATTCATCAAGTCTTCGACGGTGGAGAAAAGTAACTTTAACGATATTGACTAGATCATCCAACCGTAGAACTCTAGTCCTCATTCTAGTACGCCCTAAAAAGCCATCAGGGCTACTTAGCAGCCAACTCCTTCAAAATGCGAAACCCCTCCAATATATGCGGCCCATGCTTCGCAAACGACTGATATCTCCCTTCCCCAGCCTCAACACCGACTCTAACCTCCTCCTCAGTAGCCCACTCAAAGTCCCGATGCTCCTCTGGATCCAGCACGACCAAATCCTCCCAGCGCCTCGCCAACCCACTATCAACATTCCCATGAGCCAGCTTATCAGCCGGAACTCCATCCCCCTCCTTCCCCTCATCTCCAGTGCCAGTAATAGAATCAGGGACAGCAGGGACTCCCTCCTCAATCTCCACGAGGAACGTGTACTTCTTCGCCCGGATTACTTGATCGGGCTTCACCTTCACCCACTCATCCGTCGCAACAAGCTCGACGAACCGCGAGACGCGCAGTCCAGATTCCTCAAAGACTTCGCGTGCGACGCCATACAGAAGCGTCTCGTCTTCGTCTTCACATGAGCCACCGGGCCCCTCCCAAGCTCCGGGGTAAGCATCGTGGAGGGCGCGCTGCAGGAGCAGAACGCGGAGTGTGTCGCTACTATCGTCTAGCGGTCTGTCGCGGCCTCTTGGGAGACTCGGAGATCTCGAGAAGATAAGGCCGCCGCCTATAAAGTGGGTGTATTGTGGTTTTGTGGCGCGGAAGGCTGCAAATGGGAGGTTGAATTCTTCCAGGTGCGGGGCGACGGTGTAGTTGAATTTGAGGGCCATTTTTTGCGGTTCTTTGGCTCTTTTTCTCGGAGGGGTATATTTAAAACATGGGAGATTGACCTCTCTTATGTACTGTTGTTTGGAACAAGTTTGCCTGAGGCTATTTGCTGAGTGACTCAGGCCTGTACGAGTGAGGCGCGCCGATGCGCCAATTGCAGCTTGGAATTGACGCCAGTTCGTCTCGGAATCCGAAAACGAAGGCTCACTTGTATGACTGAGGCTGAGAAGGAATAGAGTAGCCTGCTAGGCTTCGCTTTTATTCGCTTTTAGACTTTAGTTCGTGCAACATTATTTTCAGCCTTAAAGCTAAGCACTATATATCGTCGCCCTCAAAACATTACTCTCTCAATGAAGGTATATCCACGGAAGTCTTCTAGTGCTCATAATTTCGTATATACAGGAAAAACTTTGTTTTATAATTTGCTGCCAGTTAAAGAGCCCTGTTTCTCCAGAGGAATAAGGCAGCCGTTGAAGAACTCTCCGACCCGCTTATAGTCATCGATAGCAATAACCGAAGATACATCTAGAGAAGCCGTCAGCAAACGAAATATCAACAACTTTGGAGAAAGAAACTCACATTGGTCAGGCCGAATTATAACAATAACGCCATTCTCGGGGCTGATTCCAAGATAGTTATACAGATGGCCGTGCCTCTTGTCGTAGCTCTCGTCGTCGAAGAAGATCTTATGGAGGTCTAACCAATCTGTTAGCTCATCTCGAGACCTGAAAATGGAGCGACGCACCTTTTATCTGGTTCGTGCCTGTGATGGGATAGAATGCCGAAGGAATCTGGTTGAGCTCGACATTATGTCGCGGGCCGTATCCAACGAGGATCGGCTCGATGAGGCTGTCACAATCATTGTTCAGACGAAAGGTCTGTAGAGGGCTTTCATTTGAGCTGAGATAGGCGCCAATCTGGAATCTGTTAGTAAGAGATCTGCTAAGGGCCTCTTAGACGAGCTTACCGCATCGAGCCGCGTCTTGTTCTGAGGAAGGCTAAGATCCCCGGCGAACACCATCACTCTCCACCGTCCGTCAGACTTAAGGGCTGTAGCAAGCTGGACCGGTTTCGAGTCGCAGTGTCTGACTACCTGAGAGCTCGGAAGTCTCATCCCGACAGCAACATTCTTTGCCAAGGAGTCCGAAAGCGACAAGTCCAAAGTTATAGGAGACTCATCGTACTTCGCTGTCAGCCCAGCCGTATACTTCCCAGACTTGATGAATCCCTCTTGAAACTCCTCCGGCGAAGCCTTTCCCTCCGACGAGAACAACTTCGAGAAGTATCGGTCAAAGTTAATCAGGTCAATAGCCACCTTCTGCCGCTCCAGAACATATGTCTCCAGCAGTGACGGCGGAGCCAAGCCCTTGAGGACATGTGCAAGCTTCCAGCCCATGTTATACCCATCCTGAAGGCTGACATTCATACCTTGCCCGGCCTTCGGAGAGTGCGTGTGACACGCATCGCCCGCAAGGAAAACGCGATAGTCTTTGTGAAAGAAGTCCGCGTGTCGCTGGCCGATGGCATAGGCAGACCACCAAACCGTCTCGGTGAACTCAATTTCGTACTGGCTGAAGATGTTCCTCGCGGCTTGCTGTAGGTCTTCTAGCTTGACGTCTTTTGGTTTCGTACCAGCCGGCAGCTCGATGTAGAATCGGGTCAAGTTGTAATTCTCGCCTTCCCGTGGGATGATCAGCATGTTGCCTGCTTTTGAGCGGATGGAGACCTTCTTGCGGATGTCGGGGAAGTCGGTGCGTGGGACCATGTCCATTACACCCCACACGGCGTCTGTGCTGTCTCCGATCATGTTGTATCCTAGGGCTTTACGCACTGTACTGTGTGCTCCATCACACGCCTGCTCCTGTCAGACTCAGATGATCCCAGTTCAATAATGAAGGATACATACCAACGCATACTTCGCCTCAAAAACCTCCTCTGCCCCCTCATCAACTCCAGTCTCATCCACTCGCCGAGCGGTAACCCTCACCGGAAACTCCCCCTCCTTCTCCACACTAACCTCCCGAACATCCCACCCATACTCGACGCCCCTCCCCCCAAACTCCTCCATCTTCTCAATAAAAAGCCCATTGATCCGCGCCTGGTTAAGGATAACATGCGGGCAATGCGAAAGCCCTGGCTGGACATCTGCTGTACGCCCGGTCCTCTTTACACTCCCACTCCCATCGTCCGCCCAGAAGCCCACCTCGAGTACGTGGTACGCCTCCCGGAGTAGCTCCTCGCCCATGCCGAAGGACTCGAAGATTTCGACGGTCCGGCATTGGACTCCGTCTGCTTTTCCGAGTTTGAGGGGCCCTGTTGAGCGCTCGAGGACTCGGTAGGGAATGTTGTATCGAGCTAGCCAGGTTGCGGCGCTGAGGCCTGCGGAGCCGGAGCCGATTATTAGGACTGGGGTTTGTTGGGGCATTTTGTGTGTTACGTTGGAGAGTATATTTCCAACGGGGATAAGTTGTGAAGGGTATGAGAGGTGGGAATCAATATAATATATACAAGTGAGGAACGAATGTGGTTTGGCTAAAGATTGTTGCTCTCCACACTTTATGCCCTCGGAGGGGATTCGGGATGCGTTCCGAATATCCGGAATCAATCCCGGGGAGGACGTCACGCGGTGCCGAGGATAATAATGTGCCTATTCATGGTTAATAACGAATGGAGCAAGAGGAATATGGGTAAACCTTTTAAAGAGGCGGCTGCAGACACGGCATTTCAAAGACAGTGCAGCTCAAGATTTTCGAAACATCCACAGCATGAGTTGCGTCCAACATAATAAGTGTCATTAAGCGTGCTCTAAGATCATTATATAGATGCTCATCTGCCTGCCAAAGAAGGGCCAAACACATCCTGGTATTCTCCTCCCAACGCCAGCGCCGGTGCAATAAACGCCTTATTCGCCATGAGCGGCGAATGGACGCAGAGACAACGAGAAAAAGACGATGATGCGATGTTTTACAGGAAGTACTCGCTACGCCCTCCGCGCGTCGTTGGAACGTGCCGTTGATCGTCCGCGACGGCGCTGAAGAGCTTGAAATTCGGCTTCAAGTCATCGTCAATCTCACACACAGACGCCAGGTTTCCGCAGCGGTAGCAGTAGTTGGGCGCACTCCATACGGTCACCACGTTCTGGTTCGAAAAGTGATACTTGTAGCCCTCGTTGACGAGCTGGTGGGCTCGAGCAATCAGGGTAAGGTCGTTTACATGGCAGAACTCGTCTGCCACCTTGTCGCCAAAAAGCCAGCCTGCGATTTATTAGCAAACATCGACAAAAGAGAGTTGCTTGACTTACCAGCTCCACGTGGGCTCACTGCCCACGTCTCAACATCATCCGGGTCCGACCAGACCAGATCACAGAAAGCACCTTCGTGCGGAATTTCTTGGGCTCTAGCGACGACCCGGACTTGGTCCAGTGTCCTAATTTCTGGACTCAGTCCTCCGTGGACACACAACACTCGTCCATCGATGATAGCGCCGAGCGTCATGAAATCGAAAACCTGACAGCAAGCCTTCCATACAGAAGCATTTCCGTATTTTTGCAAGCACTCCTCGTAGAAACCGTAGACCTGTGTGATTTGCCGGGACTCGTGGTTGCCCCGAACGAGCGTTACTCGGTCAGGATACCTTGAACCATGTCAGCACCCTCCCAGGATATTGAGGTTGGGCCAGCTTACTTGGCCTTTAAACATAAAAGCAGCGTCAATGTCTCCAGACTAAAGTACCCTCTATCAACATAATCGCCGAGAAATACGAAATTGCGGTTAACGCCAATGGTGGCAGACCCCGAACTCGACGAACGCTCTCGCTGACCTGCATCCGAAGCTGCTTCGCCGCCTTCGTCCTCTGCCCCCGGGTTCTTTAATTTCTTCAGCAGTTTCGGGTCCGTGATAGTTGGAGGCTCGATATCGGCAGACGTAATCACGGACTTTGGTGCTTCGACATGAGACTCGTTTGGCATTCCGCCGGAAACTCGGAAAAGTTCTAGAAGATCATAGAATTGGCCGTGTATATCTCCACAGATGGTAACCGGTGTCGATACGGGCTGAATATTCGACTCTAGGCGCACACAGAATATTAGCTCCTAGAATGCACATCACCCCGCAGGTCCAGTGGCAGCTCACCTTCCATCATATACTCCTTCACAATCTCGCAAAGCTGTTTCATATGCGCTTCCGAGAGGTACTTGCAGTCTTTGGCCGCCTCCAGCCACTCATCGGGCCCTGCATTGCGCTTCAGCTTTGCTGGTCCTGGCTGAGGGATCGTGCTGTCGGTCATGATGAAGACGGTAAAAACAAAAGAAGAAAAACGAGAATTTAATATAGAGCACAAAAAGCAACAGAATCAAGCTAAAAGACCAGCGATCATGAGATTGTGCACATATAAACTGCACAACTCAAGCTGGAGTCGTCCGCTTTACGCTTCCCCGCGCGCTGGTGGTTATCGCGGATTTCGGTCACGTGCGTTGAGCACTTGCTGCCCGGTGGTCAGCGGGGAATTTCAGCAGCTTCACCTCCTGCCCAAAGTCATCTGGAAATCTCAGGTTTGAGATCCAGTCAACTAGTTCTCCTCCATTGCTCCTGATTTTCAATAATTCACGCAACATTCTTAATCCTGATTCGAGTTCGTCTTGCTGCTAGCCACTCATTTCATACGACGCCGCAGGCCCGTTTGGCCGTCAAGTTAGGCCAACCATGACGCAGATTTTGTCCAAGTCGGCCGGTGGCGTACTTCAAATTCCAGCCTCTGCGACTCAGAAAAACGCGTCTTCTCCGGCCAAATCAGTACCGAAGGCCGCAGCCCCGCGGTTGAAGTTACTTGTACGGCGTCTACCACCGGGATTGACGCAGGAGGAATTCGAGACGGCACTGGGCGCGGAATGGAAGCTTGGTGCCGGCAAGGCTAGCTGGTATCAATATAAACCTGGGAAGGTCTCGAAAGAGTAAGTGGCCTTGTTTGTTCGCAGTACTTGTGGCTAACACCTGATTTACAGCCCGGCCAAACCCTCCCGCCCGTCTCGCGCATACATCAATGTCTCCTCCAGCGATCATATCAGCCCTCTCTCGGACAAAGTCCGGGGGACATCATTCATAGACGCTCGCAACACCGCCAACGATCCTATTCTTCTCGGCCCTCCTACCCTTGAATTTGCTCCTTACGCCAAGATCCCTGGAAGTCGTGTTCGCAAGGATGCCCGTCAGGGAACAATTGACCAGGATCCGGAGTTTATACTTTTTCTCGAGAGTCTTACGCAACCTATCACGAAGTCTGGGCCTCTAGAATCCACCGCGGATGGTGAAGACAAGAAGGAAGCCATAACGACGACTCCGTTGGTGCAATACATCAAGGAGAAGAAAGCAAACAAGGCAAAGGAAGCTGCAAACAAGTCATCCAGGGGCAGGTCAGAAAGAGAATCAAAATCCGAAAAGGTTCAGTCGAAAAAGCTACTGCAACGACCTGAGAAGGAAGTTGCTCAGCCGGCCAACGCTGAAAAGACCGAGAAGAAGTCAAGGACCGAGAGGGCTACGAAGGAGGCAGTGAAAGCTGCGAACAAGCAGGCCGCTAATGTGGCTTCCAAACAAACTGCCAAGGCGGCTACAGCACAAAACTCACCCAAGGAGCCGACACAACCGGCTGCTGAGCGGAAGAGGGAACGTGGAAACGTAGCTGCCGTTGGGAAAATACTGCAGCGAGACCTGGGACTGGCACCGTCTAGCAATCGTCGAAGAGGTGGACGGGGAGCTGCCGCCGATGGTGACGGCAGAGCAAATCAGGCTGCTCCCCCCTCAGAGACGGCCAAGAAGGAGACACCTACCAAATCACCTAGAGGTCCGGCTCAGGATACCAAGGCGAAACGGAGCAATACTCCTCAACCTGGCGAAACACCAAACTCTCAACGTTCTGAAACCAGCACTCCAGCTCCAGCTACGTCTACACCCAGGGCCCCCAGATCAAGAGGCAAGCAAGCCTCGGCACCTACACCACCAACACCCGCCGCCTCCACCGCGACGCAGGCATTCCTCAAACACGCCAACCCGTCACAAGGAGTGACTGAGCCTCTGCTCGAGACTGCTTTTGCGCCATTCGGTAAAGTCCTAAAGGTGGAAATTGACAAGAAGAAAGGATTCGGTTATGTTGATTTCGCCCAGCCAGATGGACTGCAGAAAGCAATCGCTGCTAGCCCAGTCACCGTTGCACAGAGCCAGGTTGTTGTCCTAGAGAGGAAAGCAAACCCAAGCGCGGAGAAAGGCCGTGGGAAGGGTCGCGGCGGCGAGGCCAAACCCCCTCTCAACCCGAGCGGGGATAGCAACAGCAAAGCCGGTGGTGGGAAGCCTAGCGAAGGGGGTACAGGTGGCGGCGGCACGTCCTCTCGTTCTCGGCGCGGTGGACGAGGTAGAGGTGGTCAAAAGAACAAGGATGGAGGGGGTGAGAAGGGTGGTGGTGGTAATGGCGGAGGCGGAAATGCAACTGCGTCGGAGCAGAAGCCCGCAGAAACGAAATGATGTACGATAATCACGATAATGGATCAATGATAGAACCTACAGACCCTACCTTTATATCAGAAAACAATCCTGCTTTTGTAGCCTAGAGCTTCGTCGCAGCCTAGACTCCGGCGTGACTTGCTTGGCATCGGAGTTGAGGCGCGCTTCTTGGTTTCAACCAAGAGCCCCGAACACCGCAAGCTGACCTCGATGCCTACACAGCTCGTGTTGCGCCCTTTCTACTCATCCCTTCTACACCTTCCAAACCGAAAGAAGCTCTACTCTCTGCAAACCCACTTACTCACCCAATTTCACCCCCGAACCCTCCCTCAACTCACCCTCCGCACCGCATCCACAATGCCGAAGCCAAAACAACCAACACCCCCAGAAAACTTCCCAACACACTCCTTCCCCGACGCATCCTCCTTCGAATCCTTCCTCGAAACCAACCACGGCATCCTCCCCGGTCTCTACCTCAAACTCGCCAAGAAATCCTCCGGAATCCCCTCAATCACCGCACCCGAAGCCGTCGAGGTCGCCCTGTGCTTCGGCTGGATCGACGGCCGCGCAAACTCGCTCGCCGACGGAATCCACTGGACCGTCCGGTACACACCGCGCCGCGCAAAGAGCCTGTGGTCCGCGAAGAACGTCGCGACGATCGCGCGGCTGATCGAGGAAGGGAGGATGAGGCCTGCGGGGATGGAGGTTGTGGAGAGTGCAAAGGCGGATGGGCGGTGGGAGAGGGCGTATGATGGGCCGGCGAGTATTGAGGTTCCGAAGGATTTGGAGGAGGCCTTGAAGGAGGTGGGGAATGAGAAGGCGAGGGAGTTTCTGGAGGGCTTGAATCGGTCGGATCGGTATGGGGTGTTGTATCGGTTGCAGACTGCGCCGGTTAGTAAGAGGGAGGAGAGGGTTAAGGGGGTTGTGGAGATGTTGGCGAAGGGGGAGGTCAGTAATGGAGCGAGGAAGGCTACTGCGAAGGCGAAGGTCCAGACGAAAACGAAGACGTTGTCGACGACTGCGCATAAAGTGGTGAAGAAAGGGAAGGAGAAGGCGGTGGTGAAGAGCAAGGTTGACAAGACAACGACTGAGACGACGTCGAAGCAAGCTAAGAGCAGTGTTGCGACAGGCAGCACCAGACAACTGCGGTCGAGAAGCGGGCCCGTGGATTTGTGATTTTTATGATACCCTGTAAGACTTGCAATTCGAAATGTGGTGCGGGTGCGGTAGAGTTTTTATTTGGGCAAGCCGAGAAAGTAGTGGCAGTTTAGTTCCGACGTTCTACGCAAGAGTAACAAGGTTCGGGTAAATTTTTTTTTTCATTGCATTGATTTCTAACCCAACAAATTCCATCTCAAACAAGCAACACCAGCATCAAGGTGAAAACAAGAAGAGGAAAGCCTTTCAGACCTCCTCGACACCCACCAAGTCAGGCCGACCGAAGTCAAGACGCCACGACAAGGTCAAGATCATCACCACTCCCTAGACCAGCGCAATCCCGTCACAAGCTCGTCCGAAGACAAGTCGTATCGAAGAAAGCAAGGTCGAGGCGGGAGTAAACACGGTTTCACTTTAGGGCATCGAGGACATAGAAGTCATCAGCAAGGGTTGGGGATGTGGCTCTTTAGAAGAGCTCAATGAGGGACGTCTACTCTAAAGTGATTCTTTGAACTGTAGGCAAGGAGGTTAGCAAAAGATGCTCGAAAGAGAGGAGGAATCCCCAATGTAGGGGGGAGGGGAACTCACGTAGAGTCGCTTGATTTTCTAAATGGGACGGGGATTGAAGGCTTTTTATATTCTGCTGGCTGGCTAGCGCGGCGCTAGCGAGAAGCGAGATCATGTGTTGTTTGATTGATTTGGGTTAAAATTTTTCGCTACGGGCCAATCATATGAGAAGAAGAGATTTTTTGCGGCTCCGCTGTTTCTAGAACTTTAGCATTCCACTTTTTAAGAGGGTCCAGGCTGGGCGTTCTGTCCAATGTTGATGGCTTCATTTCTTCAAGTTCACCGGTTGAATTGTTGTTATCAAATTCAATTACGTTTATCCTCATTGTTGGCAGCAAAACGCCTCGAGAATTGCGTCGAGACTCAAGTCGGAGGGTCCGCGGGACCGCGACCGCTCTCAAGAGACTGAAGCATGTGCAACGTAGATACCACCGGCAGTTGCAGTCCAGCATCATCCCGAGCTTGGGAGTACGTCGGAGCTGCGAGGTTTCCTGACTAGGGAGCTGTGGCCACTGGGTACGACGTTATGTAGAGTAGCGAGCTTATGTGGATTCAGCATGAAATCGGCCGCTTTGTTGAACTACATCAAGCATCAACTGAACATAAGACGTTAGGACGCTTTTTTCGCCTATGCTTTGAACTTGAGCCTCCATAACTACGTGTAAATGGGTGCATAGTAGTATGAGCGAAGCGATGAATATATGTAAGCCTAATGTTCGAGCACGGACGTGCCAGTAGCTACCTTCAGGGTCGATAGGTCAAATATATATATCGCTGCATGAAGTACTCCGTATACCTACCTCTTCTATGCGTTTGGCGGGCGTCGACCGTACATAGGCAGTTTACGAAGAAGTTTAAGGGACAGAGTCAGATAACCTTGAATTAAACTATACCCGTAACGATATGATGACGGTAAGGATGGTTGCTGGTCATGTTGAGGAGGTTCGTGTGAGCGCGAGGTTCTTATGGAGGTTGTTGAAGCTGGAGAGGGCCTTTACGCCTTCTATAACAGGAGTTAGGTGGTAGCGTAACATATACTAACGTAACACTCAACTTAGGTGGCTTTAACTAGATCTCACATTTAGGATATCTTGCATTTGCAACTACATCATGGAGAGAGAGTATACTATGTTTCTCAACACAGTCAAAGAAATGTTGCGCCAAAAAAAAAAAAGCAAAAACATACAACAGTAGGGATTCGCATGTGGTCACCCACCATACTACTAACCTACCGGCGTGTGGCTTAAGTACGGCTGAGCGGACGGGAAGCCCTGTTCTCCACACCCTGTGGTCGTATGTGCTACTTCTTTCCTTGGAGCGGCCTATAGGCAATTTACGGGACATTTCTCGGGTTCCAGCGGCCGTCCTTATCAGTGCGGGGGCGGCGTTATCTAGGTGTGGTTGAACTTGCTCCAACTTGGAACGCTCCAACAAACAACTCCGCATTTCCTATCAAGACCACCACACGTGGGTTTCACCAACATCTTTCCCGACCTATCTGCAGCAACACCGACCGGTCCCTCAATCGAGACGACTGTATCTACTTTAGTCAATCTCGCTCATCATGACCTGACCGGCCGTCAGGTCTCGCCCTGCCGTCTCCATGCCACGACCGAAAGTCCTTCCTGCCAATCGTCTGCGGGCCCCGGAAGCCTGCCTTGCGTGCCGGGCATCCAAAAAGCGCTGTAGCGGCACATTCCCATGCACCAAATGTATCAGGAATGGACGTGCCGATACCTGCGTGCCATATCGTCGGTCGAACACCACCTCTACTCCACGACAGACGAACAATCTGTACAAGGCCTTGAACAGCCCGGCTGCCCAAGATGCTGCACGCCAGGCACGGAGCTCACTCAGTATCGTTCCTGATAAGCTTCCGCAGCTTCTTCCAGCACCAGGTACCTCGGGCGCACCACACAAGACCCACTCTCGTATGCTTCGGAATCGACAAGGGGAGCGAGGTATTACACTTCTTCTGCGTGATAAGGGGTTTCTGAAAGTGATCGCTAAATGCCATTCCAGTCTATATAGGTAGAGCGGCCTCATTGTCTTTCCTACAGCTGCTCCGGGACACCGTTACACAACATATTGGACCTTCGCAATTTTCCCACAATGTCAGAAGAGAGGATATGCTTGAGACGGACACTCCAGATGAGGTGCCCCAGTCGTTCCAGAGCGATCTCGATATCACTCAGGAACAGGCTTATCTCCGGACCTATTGCATTGCGGTATGCCACTATATCCCCTCTCTAATGATATGCAACTAATTGTTCAATTTTCAGACCAGCGGCTTTATCAATGTCCTCTCTGACACAGAAACCGGTCAGATGCTGGGGACATCTCCACCTACGAACGATACGTCGAACAGAACAATGGTAGCATTACGAGATATTATGATTGCTATCGGTGCTCAGTCTTCCAAGAACGACCCTGCTATCACCCGAGTGGAACGCTATTTCTTTACTCGTGCCCAGCAATGCGCATTCGCCGGCATGCTGGAGAACCCGAGCTTCGATTTGATTCGTTTGTTTATTCTCATGGCCTTCTACATGATGGGTGCTTGTCGCCGGAACGCCGCGTTCATGTATCTAGGTGTTGCGGCTAGGGCCGCCGCAGCTCTTGGCTTGCATCTCACTGATTTTGCCTCACTCGAGCTCGATGAGCAACAAAACAGGTAAGGGTAACACGAAGATGGCACGGACTCTCTAACGGCCACAGGATGCGAGTCTGGATGAGTCTTTGTACATTGGACCTGTTATCTAGCTCAATACTCGGGCGACCGCCGGCGACGGCCAACCTGCACCCAGAGATAACCGACGTCGAAGCTACCGAGTCGAGCCGAGCAATGGACGATAGCCTTATCGCGTCATACAACATGTCCCGGATCCTTGACGAAATTGTTTCTCGGCTATATGATGATAGGGCCGCGTCAACGGAAGTTGCAGAGTCGCTACTTGACAAGTTGAAACAGTGGAGCAATGATCTTCCTGAATCGCTTCTGTCATCGCCGAGCACCCCTCAAGAACGCCTAGCCGCACAAGAACATATAGTTGGGAGTCTTCACGTCGCATGTGCTTATCACTTTGCTGTCATCATAGTGACACGGCCATTTCTTATATCAGTTTTGGGAGTTCGCCTGGCACGATTGCACCAAGAATCTCCGGGCATAATCCAGGATGAGATGGTCCTGGAAGATCCTGCACATACGAAGCTGGCGAATGCTTGCGTGGAGTCTGCGTTGTACATGATTCAGACCTGCATGGAAGTCCATCAGTCTCGTCTGTTGCTCGGAAATATGTGCATATTGAAGTACGGTTTGCTATTCTGGTATCTCACTCTTTGCGGCTAACAATCGAATCCAGAGCCCTTGTTTTCGCTGCAGCCCTAGTTCCCGGATTCTCCATGTTTTCCCAGAAAGAAGTCGACTCAACCCTCGAAGAAGCATTCAACGGCGCCCTCGAAATCCTCCGCGTCCTCTCTCAACAATCAGCCCAAGCCGCCCACTATTACGAAATTCTCAACCTCCTCCGAAACGCAGTCGACGAACAACGTCAACGCCTGCGAGAAAACCCGCCTCCCGATAAAAAGTACGTCAGCAAGCTATTCAGCTTGAACAATCGACGAAGCTCACCGCAGCCACAACGAGCTCTGACTAGTCCTTTTGAGCCTGGAAATCCTGCGGAGCTGATTCAGGTCCAGCCACTAGCTGTTGACCCTGCATGTACTGATCCTGAAGGTTCAGGGTTTCTCTTTGATGCTGCAGATGATGGCGCCTCGTTTGCCAACTGGGAGGGTATGGAGTTACCCTTATGGGACAGGTTCCCATTTATCGATGATTCATTCTTGAATTAGCAGTGCCCTGCACATTGCTCCGCACAGCTCATATCCCTGCCCGTTTTTATCTTACTTTTCTGTATACCCGCATGTATGTACATGCCGTCCGTGTCCCTCTAGCGCAAACTAGTGGAATCAAATGAATCCCAGTCACCAGTACCAAGGGATACACCGACTCAGAAGGAGCGAGGTATACTCCGATACTACAGTGCGGGTCGCACCTTCCTCTTCAGAGTGTAGTGACGTTCTGGTCAAGGCAAGAGCGACCCATCGTACCTTCCGTATACGGTGAGACCCACGGGTCGCTCCTTCCGTACCTTGTTCAATTCACTCAGGGCAACTGCGCACTCAGTTGCTGGATCGCACCTTCCACATCTGCTCCACCGTATATTTCGCGGACAACGGAAGGAGCCACCAAGATGGTGGAATCCCCATTCCCACCGTGAGCGCAAGCCTGGAAAACCGGCTACCACTGCATCCGTATAAAGCTTCTTCCGGTTACGCTTGGTCATGGCAAGAGGATCAGAAACATCTAAGCCTGACGATACACACCGTACTATTCAACCGCAGCGCTGATGACCTGATGACGTGCGTCTCGGGCGAGGCCTGATTCCCCATCCCTATGGGTACCCATAGGGTCTACCGGTCACCCTACCCAGGCGAATGGGTTTCGCGCTATCATGCATGCTTGCCGTCTATACTTTTATGGTACACGCATTCGCCTGCAGCTGGTCAAGACATGGTTCTGAGTGAAACTGAAGCTGCCCTGATCGCAAAGTCCTAGCCCAAGACAAGCAGAAAAAATCTACGTCTACCGGGTAAGTTAGCGAGTCCTCTGCGATGACCACATCTGGTCTTCGAGCCTCCGTCTTGTGGCTAACATGCCATATAGCTGTTGCAGTGACAAGACTACCACCGCGATGGCAAGGAGATCATGCCCCGTAGGACCTAGGAAAGCACATCGTGCCGCCGGTCAGCATAGAACAGGCACCGGAAAGCGCTCAGAAAAACGATAAATTAAGCTAAAAAATGAGAACTATGGCGGACGAGGATAACTGAAACTGATCTTTCGATCTTGAAGAGAGCAAACAGAAAGTCAACGTACGGAAGAGAGCAAACAGAAAGTCAACGTACGCCATGCCTTGATGTCTCGTATTTCTCTAGTGAAGATTTCTATCTATGTTGTTACATGGCTGGCTTGCCGTGCTTTGAGATGATTGACTCTTTTAACATTTGTCTTCACGCAGTTTCGAATGGCCTGATTTCGCTTGTATTTCAGGCCTGATCTAGGTAGGATTCGATGACGGCCATGCCTGTATGTTCAGCGTCTGCAGATCAACACACCGGGTCTCTGCGATATAAGGCATTGATTGAACTCATTCTAGACTCTTAGTAGCCGGTCTGTATAGGTGTCGAAGAATAATAGACTGTCGATCAGAGAGGTTGAAAATGCTGGTCGATCCAATCCATTGATCGCCTCTCGGCGGCTAAAATCTCCAACCTCAAACGAACTACTATTTCAACAAGATGGCGCTAGTAATATAGACGCTTATATTAGTGTATGGGTATAGCGTTTTTGTGTCTCAGTTATTCTACTCTTTTCGACATTAATTTACGATACGCCGGCAAAACCACAGATGCAAGAAACGCTATTACTGCTAATAGTAAGAGCAGTAAGTAAGTAAAAGCCATGGGATTGATTCGATGGACTCCATGGAAGATGACAATACAATTCCTCTAGTGGTCGGACGTTGTTCGTTGCCTCGGGGTATGTTTAGCCCGAGGTGAGTTGAGGGAAATTTCGCGGGGTGTTAGGCCGGGTTCCCGAGCCCCGGGTGAGCCTGGGCTGCCCCGAGATGCCCTTCGTGGCGCGGGGCAATGTCGAGCGAGCGGCGAGCCGCTCCTGTTCTCAAGGGGAGACAGGCTACGTGGACTTTCTCTCTCGGACGTGATGAATACGACATCGGAATACAGATAAGTGATAAATATTTCAATAAGATATTGTTCGTAAAATCGTGCTTGAAATTATTTCTGATATGTTTTTACATCAAATGGCAATCCAAAAGAAGGCCATACCACAGCACGCTTGGTTATCATTTGTGCAAGTTCGTCATAATGTCATATGGTGTTTTGTTTAAGCAAAGAGAGCATCGCCCAGGCGGTAGTGAACCGTCTTGACCTGGGTGTAGTTCTCGAGGGCGTAGGAGCCGAGCTCTCGGCCGAGACCAGACTGCTTGAAGCCACCGAAGGGAGCCTGGTATGAGATCAAGTTGTAGTTGTTGATCCAGACGGTACTGCAGTGTGGTTAGATAAGGTTCTTGAAAGGAAGTGGGAATGTGCTTACCCAGCCTTGAGGGCGTTGGAAACGCGGATGGCAGTGTTGACGTTCTTGGTGTGGACGGCAGCAGCAAGACCTAATAGTGTCAGTATGATTCAATCAAGATTGAGTGGCCAAGCCTACCGTATTCGGTGCTGTTTCCAATCTTAATGGCCTCGGCCTCATCCTTGAACTTCTGGACGGTGACGACAGGGCCGAAGATCTCCTCCTGGGCGATCTTCATGTCGGAGGTGACGTCGGTGAACACGGTGGGTTGGATGAAGTAACCTTCCTTGCCATGGCGGTCACCACCGACAGCAACGGTAGCACCGCTCTGCTTACCGTGGTTAATGTACTCCATAATGCGGTCGAATTGGAGCTGGGAAACCTGGGGGCCCTGGAAGGTGTCCTGCTCGAAGGGGTTTCCAAGCTTGTTCTTGGCAGCACGCTCCTTGAAGCGCTCGACAAACTTGTCGTAGATACCCTCCTGAACGAGGATACGGGATCCAGCACAGCAGCATTGGCCGTGGTTGAAGAAGATACCAAAGTTGGACCATGAGATGGCGTTGTCAATATCGGCATCATCAAAGACGATGTTGGGAGACTTGCCACCAAGCTCGAGGGTGACCTTCTTGAGGTTACTCTTGGCAGCAGCCTGGAGAATGGTGCGTCCAACAAGGGTCGAGCCAGTGAAGGCGACCTTGTCAACATCCATGTGGCTGGAGATGGCAGCACCGGCAACACGGCCGAAACCAGAGATGATGTTAATGACACCAGCAGGGAAGCCAGCCTCCTTGATCAACTTTGCGGCGTAGAGAGCAGAGAGAGGGGTCTGCTCAGCAGTCTTCAGAACAACAGTGTTACCAGCAGCAACAGCGGGACCAATCTTCCATGACCACATGAGAAGGGGGAAGTTCCAGGGAATGATTTGACCGCAAACACCAATGGGTTCGTGGCGGGTATAGGTAAGAGTCTCGGGGTTGGTGTCAATGGTTTGGCCGTGAATCTTGTCGGCCCAGCCAGCATAGTAGCGCAAGCAGCCGATGGCGTTAGCTGTGTCACCCTTGGCCATGGTGAAGGCCTTTCCGTTGTCGAGAGACTCGATAGCAGCAAGGGTATCAATATCACGCTCCATCAGGTCCGCCAGCTTGTTGAGGTAGCGGCCGCGCTCAGAAGGAGTTACCTGGCGCCAGGCACCCTCGAAGGCAGCGCGAGCAGCAGCAACAGCGGTGTCCACATCCTTTTCCGTTGCCTCGTGGACGGATGTAATGACCTTCTCGTTTGTGGGGTTGATGACCTCGAAGGTCTTGCCTTCGGCACCCTTCACGAACTCGTTGTTGATGAACCTAGAAGCGGTGACGGTTAGAATCCGGACACGAAGCAAGCAGAATGCTGGAAGACGTCATACAGGCCAAGGGGCTGCTCATATTTGACGATAGGAGTCTCGATGGTAGTGGTAAGAGACATGGTGAGGGGAGATTGTGGACTTGGAGGGGTATCAAAAAGGAGAAGAGAGGTTTAACCGAGAAGGTCGGACAGGAGGGAGGACAAGCTCTTCATATTAATAGCTGCTGGTGGCAGAGAAAAGAGGGGAAGGAGGGGGAAGAATTGCACCGAGCCGCCGCAGCAACGGCCTTGGCAGGCCCTTGGAAATTACACGTATGACCGCGTTGCCCCACTCGCATTCCAGATTATTTCATCATAAAGGCCCGGATCCGTTACCTCGAAACAGCGGTTTTGCGGAGTCTGGAAGAGCTTGCGAGAGTAACCGAGGGTGTACCATAGATTGAAACTTTCGCCCCCCACCACGGGTGTATGAAACTGTATGAAGAAGACGATCGTGCGGGGTTTCTCATCCTTGCAAGCTCTTTTATTGGGGCTGATCACTGACTCGTTTGAAGCCGGCCGGTTCTTGTATTACCAATTCTTGGCACCGGAGCACCTCCGCTACAGTATTTGCAACTCGGACACCACTGTATTGCTAAAAGACGGTAGAGCGGCCCTCTTAGTCTCCTTGACCAGTCTTATACCTGCCGGAGTACCCTGTAGTCTTTCCATGAACCCTCAAGCTGGAAAGCCTGTCTCTTTGAAGCTCCAGGTCGCCACCTAAGGTAAACTTCCCGCACGGTCCCTGTATCCCGCTCGTTTCGGTGGATTACTAAACGCCCCCTCCAAGAAGAATTCCCCTTGAAATATCTCCAAACTCCGTGGCGCCCCCTTTCTATCTGGCCAGAATGTCGTGATTAAGGCGGCCGCGGCCTGATAAGCTCGCCCCGCCGCGGAAAACATGCGCAACCGGGCAAGAGGCGCGGCCACCATACCGTTGCGCGCCGACGGAGTCTCGGAGCTACGGAGCTGATGATAAACCTCTCTTTCTAACAGGTGCTAAAGAAGCGCCACATGTCTTAGCTTGGTTATAAATCAATGCTTCTTATTGTTACTGCAGCTCAGCCCAGCCGCATATCAGATTGATAAAAAATCGAAATTACAGCAGGTGAAAAGTGCGTTGCGAATGGAGACTTGCCAGGCAGTGCTACTTTCGCCGGGCTGTTGTTTAGTATCCCGGACGCTAGTAATAAGATTGGGCCGGGGGTTCTGACCCAGATCAGAACCTCTTTTTTATCGGTCCGAATCGGCGGATGCCTCAGATGCCAGCGGCTGTAGAGAGCAGAGCAGGTAATCCGCAGTCACGTTGGTTCTTCATGTCAGCCTACTTTCTGTAAATTGCTCTTGGCTTTGAATACTATTATTATTAGTCACCCAGGTGTATGAGCCAGGGGTGCTTGGCACCTTTGCTCTGTCATTTAACCTTTTCGATACCTGGCGTAGCTGATAGTATCTACTGCATCATGGGATGTTGGTAACAGATATATTATACTACCAGTAGCTCTTAGCCCCGCGCTCAATGATTCTGGCGTCTTAAGTCCACAGCTGGTGTCGTGCACCGTCAAATCCCTTCACTGGGGTCATTATTTTCCCAAGACTGAAGCTTGGTCTTCTCCATCTTGCTTAAATGGCATTATCTTACCACAGAACTCCTTGCCAATTTTCTTATTGAGAGTACCAGTCATGGTTCGTGTGCCAAAGTGGACTTGGACTTGCGAAGGGTGAAGAGCTCACGTGGATGGCAATCAAAAAATTGTTTGCATGCAGCATTTATGCAAGATTTTCCCACAGCAGGAGATGAATGTGCTCAATTCTGCTCCAAACCCCAAGGCAGGGTCATGGAGAGGACAGATGGTGCCTTGTGTTATCCAAAACTTCTTCCCTCTGCTGCCCACCCCAAACGCTCTTATGTTAGATACAGCCAAACACTGAGGTAGGAAGAACACACCTACCATTCCCAGCGAGCGTTAACCTCTAACAGAGGTATCTGACTTAGGCAGGTCGGTTTCGGTTACTATCATGGATCAAATCGAAACCGCCGAGATCTCTCGCCCCGACAAAGGAGACCCTTTGGCGTCAGTTTCAATCAGTGGTGTCGAGAGTCTGTCCTCCTATAGCTGGATCGAAACCCCTACGCCCACGATTGCTGTCCCTGGTAGCCCTGCTCTCTGGAACCCCCCACTAGGACATTATCATCAGATCAAGAAAGACTCTGGTCTGGTCTACATCGCCCAGAATGCAGCCCGCCACCCTGACAGCCCCCTCGAGCCGTTGTTTCGAGCGTTGTACATTGCGCACCCTTCGTTCAACATCCACACCGTTGATCTAGTGACTGATCGGAACAATGTTCGGAAGCTCTTGTCCTTCGTTAACCCCTCCTTGGAGCAGAGTAAACGGGGACCCTTCACCATTGAAGTCGAAGTCACAAAGGATACCGCAATCTTTTGTCGTTCCGAGACGGCAGTGTACAGATTCATCGGTCCTAAGGAGTCCATGGGTTATGGTCACGAATTCGAGAAGGCGTATACAACGGAGATAGTGGATAACGGTGCCAGCCATCGTAGGATTATCACTTACGATCTCGGTGGCATGAAGCTCCTAGTTTCCTATGAGACGGATATATACATTTGGGACCCTACTCAAGACAATGATGAAACATCAAGCTTGACCGAGCCACAGTCTCCCCTTCTGAGCAAGCCCTCTTTTGCAGCCAGCGACAAATCAGTGTTGATGATTAAGAAGAAGGCCAGGTTGTGGCGCTTGGTTCAATCCTTGAGATCAAGACGCGTACGGCGAAAAGACTCATTCCCTTGGCCGAAGTCCTTCCGCAGATGTGGGTGTCTCAAGTTCCGAATCTCGTCCGTGCCTATCACAAACATGGCCTGTTTACCTGTCCGAATGTCGAAAACATCACGGAAAAAGGGAAGGAGTGGGAGAAAGCCCACCGCGCAGATATCAAGAGATTGGTTACCTTGATCAAAAACATCATCTCGGTAGTCAAGGAGAATGGTGGAAAAGCTGTTGTCCGGTATGATTGCCAGAGCGACAAGTTGGTGGTCTGGAAAACTGACACGGGAAAGAAGTTGCTGCCGGATGACCTTTACGCTCGTTTCGAGAAAGACGAAGCTCATTCGGTCTAGACAGCCTCTTGATTGGATTTTGTGAGATGGCTTTTGGATCAGTGCGTGTTGAGATAAGCCCTTTTGGGACGCACTTGACCACCCAGTTGGATCCGTTGCCATAGACCTAACCATGCTAGACATGAATAGATTTTCTATGGTAGATGAGCCAGATAAAAGAGCCGATAAAGTTTGAAATACCAGCACAACCTTCACATTAGGACTATATGTGTTTTGTCCAATGTCAGCCACATAATCTGACGATCTGATACATACGACCACAGGGTGTGGAGAACAGGGCTTCCCGTCCGCTCAGCCGTACTTAAGCCACACGCCGGTAGGTTAGTAGTATGGTGGGTGACCACATGCGAATCCCTACTGTTGTATGTTTTTGAAGGTTTGATTTTTGTTTTTGTGTCAGATAGAACCATGCAAGACGTTAGACAGGCATAGGAAATGCGATCAGGGACTCCTAATTTCATGCCGCAGTCACTTTGCATTAGTTCGTGATAGGAACCGCCCGAGCTGAAAACTGGACTCATGGGAATGCATATGATTTGCCCCATTCAACCTTGATACCCCTGCTAGGGCCCGCGGTTTGCATTAGCTTGTATGGCGAGGAGATGAAACCACCCGGCCACGCGCCCTGAAGTGGAGGATAGTTGAAATCAATCAATCATGGGAAAGGCGACCCCTGGCGACCCCTATCCCATGTATGCGGATGGTCGTTCTTTTCTGTCTCTTGCATTCAAGCATCATTTTCTTTTTCTTTCTCTCTCTTTTTTTTTCTTTCAACACGACAAAGCCATTATGGCAACCTCTAAGTGCAAGCGTGCGGAGGATATCATTAATGAGATCTATAATCAATCTGGTGGGTTTTTATCGACCGATGGGCGAGAAGGGGCGCTCGCTGAGGCCCTCGGCGCCCCTGTTCGCGAAGCTGCAGCCAAAGCGTGCACGGCCTACAACCGCTTCTTCTATGAGATGATTCAGAACGCTGAAGACTGTTCATATGAAATCGCGGCATCTCAAGGTCATGACCCCTTCCTGGCGTTCCATATATATCTGGATCGCATCGTTGTGGAATCGAACGAAGACGGCTTCGAGGAAAGTGACGTGCGCGCGATATGCAGCGCGCGAAGTCAGCACAAGCAAGGCATGATCGGGGAGAAGGGGATCGGCTTCAAGTCGGTTTTCAAGGTCGCTTCCAAGGTAAAGATTCAGTCTGGGCCATTTTGCTTCTCGCTTCGACATCTCCCCGGACAGTCCGGACTGGGTATGATTTCACCCATTAACGAACACCACGAGGTCTTGCCGGTGGATGTGCGCACCCGGTTCACTCTCTCTTTACTATTACCCGGGCAAGTAGGAAGGCTTGCAGCTGAAATAGCCAGCTTTCCTGTCAGCATTACTGCGTTTCTATCGAAGCTTAAAATGCTGCGCTTTTCGTTTCCTGTGCATCCATCCAAGGACAGGCATTGCCAGACTTTCACTCGACTCCTGGCGGGGTCAACACTTACCTGTATCAAGGACAGTAATGGCAAAACGGAGAATTATGAAGAGTACTTTTATTTCTCAAAGCATGTGACTGGGTCCACCCTTCGAGTGAACCGTCCGCCTTCACAAGACACGGAGATAATTATGGCCTTTCCCTATAAACGGCGGCACGGAAACGAGGAGCAGTTCGCGCATGCCTACCTTCCCTTGCGGAAGGTTGGTCTGAACTTTCTCGTTCAGGCTGATTTCGTCACCCAGGATGACAGGGAGATGCTGGCGGATTGTCCCTGGAACGACCATCTCCTAAATCACTTGCCTCAAGTATTCCTCGCTGCAGTGAAGGCACTCTCTAAGATGCCGGAATTTGAGACCTCCTGGCCCCGGTTTCTCCCAAAGGGCGATATCGATGATCCCCAGCGGTCTAAATTTCACGAGGCTGTGAAGAACGAGCTTAGGCAGATGCCTCTTTTCAGGACCAGTAAAGGAAAACGGGACATGTCTCTGGATGAGGTCCGGTACCTGTTGCCGGAGCACTGTGACCGTGTTGGAGATCCTCTGTTTGACGACGGAGAACACGATACCCACCTCTCTTCTGAATATGCCGAGTACTACAAGGTTCTGGAGCCATTCGGGCTCCAACAGGTTTCATCGCGGGAGCTCCTCGACCAATTCCGCCCATACCTCGAAGGCCCAAGGCCAAGGTTTCTGTCGGAAAACATTGGATTCGGCGCACCGGAGCTTCAAAAGCCAGTAGATGAGGATTGGCATGATAGGGTGGCCCTCCTTTTGCTGTCCTGGATGGATAGCCCTGAGGATCCCGTGGCAAAGGAGATAGGCAATCTTGCGCTAGTTCCGGTCTGCATGAAATTAAGGAATCCCAAGATCTGCGATATTTACGACCCTTATGACGCCGAGGGCAACTTTATCCCCAGATATCTTGTTGACACGGTAGATCTGTTGGCTGTGCGCAGCCCGGCCCGGAAACGATTGTTCGTTAGATTAGGTGTGCGGATTGCAGAGCCATCGCTTATAATTGAACGAATCGGTGATGCGGATAGACGGCTATTTTCTCACCCGTGCCTCTCAACGACGATAAGGAATCTCAAGTATGTTTTCTCAGTCACGCCAGACCCCGGAATGGTCGACCCTAGATGCATCGTTCTATATGACAGCGATTGCGAGGCACTCGAAATACCGCACCGGCAAGGCAACAAAATGGTGCGGCAGGATGATGTTTACTTCAAGGACAAGCATAAGTACGGCTTGACTGCAGTCCTGGAACGGATCTCGGAAAATGGCGCGAATCCGGCTTATGCAGATGCATCTCCGATGCGGGTTCGCTTCCTACATCCGGCATACACATCCGGCATAGTGTCGGACGAGCAGGGTGCGAGGTGGATCCAGTGGCTGCAAGAAGTAGGGCCTGTTCGACGAGCCCCGAGGCTGGAATCGGGCCTCAAAGACCAACATGCACCAGGTTTTCCGTCGCTGATCTTGATGGAAATCGCCGACTATGCTCCCGAAATGTTAATCAGCGTCCTGAAAGCCCATTGGGACGTTTATGCGAGAGAGCTAGCAAATCCATCAGCACTTACCCTATCTACTATAGCGAATGTCCAAGTGCCGGTGGCGTGTGGGACCGAATTGCTCAAGAAAGCTTTCCTAGGGACGCCAGAGCAGAAGCATGTGTGGGCAGACCAGTACCTGGACAACAAGTTTCCATTTCTAAGCATCCCACCTGACGCTGAGGATGATGATACTGCGGGCTGGGAGTTTCTAAGCCAATTTGGCCTGATTACCAGCACTGAAATGTTTCTGACGGAGACTGCTCACCGGCTGCCTCTCATCTTGCCCAGGCGACGTGCAAAAACTGCCTTCTTCAGAATGTATGAACTGCTGGCTGACCATTACTTTGAGAGCTTCTGGTAAGTACAGGCATCCCGCTGCGTGAATACCGGGCTTACATTGCCTCTAGGGAGTCCCCTACGCCGGTTAGCATCGTTTACATTCCTCGGCAGGGTCTGGATGATAAACTTGTTCCATTGGCAGATTGCGTCTGGGGAAAGGACGTTTCAGGTAAATATCGGTTGGACTCCTTCGGTAATTATACGAACAATTGCAAAGTAAAAGAGATGTTCCGGCGAGTGCTATGCAGCCAAGGTGTGGATGGGAAGAGGGATGGGGACCGGGACTTTACGGCGCTACTTGCAGAGCTGTCACGTCTCAAGGCAGAGGCCAGTGTTCCAAGCGATACCGTCTGCGGGGTGTATGAGTTAATTATGCGAGGTTCCTGGAGTGGCCGTGATTGGCGTAGCATCAGGTAAGTCCCCCAAAATTATCTTAACGCGGCAGAGTTTACATCAATTTTCAGGAAGCGATTTGAGAGCCAGCGCCTCATATATATTCCAGACACAAATAGCTGGTACCCCCCGAGTCGCTGCGCCTGGACTGATCTCACCTCGATCAATGAAAAATATGGGGTGCGCCGAATCTACCCTGATCTGAAGCTCCTATTCATTGATGAACTCGGGATCGTCTCGCCGGATATAGGGGATTATATCGACGAGATGCAAGCGATGGGGTTGGCCGGACATGCCAATCCCAGCGAGATGCTGGACGTTATAAAGGAGCTCATTAAATGCGACGCCGGGACAGATGATTTTGAAGCTCTCAAGCTGTGCAGATTCCTGCCTATTCGACGGAGCCCGACCACTACAACATACGGAACAGTAGATGAGCGTTTTCTTATCATCGACGACGACCGTATTCATGTCAACACTGAGGAGCCGGTCCTTGATTTCATGCCAGAGGATGTATGTCGGTTACGACGGTTTTTCTCAGCACTCGGTCTTGAGGAGCGTTATGTGTCGCGCCAACTGGGATCGGTGACGTATCCCTTGACTAATGTGCAGGAATCCGCTGATCTTACCCGTGAGTTGCGGCAGAAGAGTGAAGCGTTATACCGGTAAGTACAATCTCTACTCAGATCCAGATATCTTGCTTATAAGCGCCCAACAAAGCATTGCGATCCACTACGGAAGCAGAGATTGTGCCCTGCCCTCCGAGCCAATTCGAAAATTATTATCTCAGGCGATAGTCTATACGGCCACCGGCTTTCGCCGACGGTTCACGCTGGGATCTGACCCCAGGGGGGCAATATCGACGAAGAGCGAGCATAATGGCCGAGTTCATGTTGAAAAAGTCGACGACACTCTCCGTATTTATGTCCCTGGTGACGCAAGAGAGCGGAAAATTTGCTACGCAACGGAACTCCCTCGACAACTCGCTTCTTATCTGGAGATCTACGGGCAAGCGGCAAGGCGAGTGTTTGGCACTGTCCTCCGGGAGCCTGTTGAAATTCTCGACGACATCCTCTGGGAGGAAGGAATCATTCGACTGTCATTGGATCCGCCGCGTGAATTCGGCCCCCGACCAAAGGAACAGGCCGAGCCCGAGGGAGTAGGTTCTGATACAGACGCCATGCCGCCGGTCCAAGAGTTGCCGCCCATTATCTTTGAGGAATGTACATCTCGAGAAAGGTTAATCGATTTCTATGAGTTGAATCTCATGCAAAGCCGTCCGCATCGTGCTGCCAAAGGGGCCTCCGGGGGACTGCCGGGTTTGACTACTTTGACCAAAAAGTACAACCTCATTGAGTTGGATACCGACCACGACATTCCAAGTGTCGCGACGGACTTTTTTCAGATTAGCCCAGGCGAGTGTGACCTGACATTCACGGAAACCACCTTGAGAGCGGCGGCAGAAGACCGTTCTTCGGAGACCATGGCTCTGCTGACCAAGTACTTTGAGGAGCGGGGACAGGATCTTGCAATCCCAGAGACGGTCCTGAAATGTGCGGCGGAGAACGAGGAGTGTGGCGACTATATTCTGTATTTCCTGCTTTCGTACTCCTTGGCTCGATCTCAGCCGATCGTTATCACAGACGCAGTGCTGGAGTGCGCAGCGAGGAATGAACCGTGTGGCGACCAAGTCATGGATCTTCTACTTGATCCTGTAATAATGCAGAGGCAGCAGGGACAACTCACTATCTCGGAGGCTGTTCTCAAGGCAGCATGTGAGAATACAGAATTCGGCGATGTTATACTCACCCAGCTTCTAGATCGTTCCAGCAACGAAACGATTTCAATCACGGAAAACCTGCTCATTGCAGCCGTTCAGAACGAGGACCTCGGCGATCGGTTATTAAACGTGATCCTGGACCACGGCTGCCAAATTCCAAGTTCCCCAGCTGTTCTTGCTGCGGCTGCCGCGAACCTTCATCTGGGCCCGGAGTTGATTGCGCTCCTTCTTCCCAGAATGGGAGATATTCAGATTACGGGCGATGTCATTCTAGCAGCGGTGAATAATGAGACGTCTGGCCTGGAGGTATTGAAGCTTCTAAAACAACATAATGGTGGCGGCCTACCAGTGACAGAAGCTATCCTGCTCACCATTGTGGAGAAGGAAACTGTTGATGAGCTGATAATACTCTGGGCTATAAGCTTGGACAATTACATGGCCTTGGTCCCCCAGGCTGTCCTGGAAAATGCGGCCGGGAATCCAGCTTGCAGCAAAAGTCATCTGAAGCGTCTACTCAAGGCTGCGGATTGCTGTTTTGATCATACGGCGACCATCTTAATCAGTACCATGAACGACACGGAAAAGGCAACTTTCATCTTGGAACATATCAAAATTCCGGAACAGTCTGCGCATACTTTCCCCGTCCGTGCCTTAGCGGGGGTTGCTGGCAGGTTGGATTATTGCCTTGAGAAGCCACTACTGCTCAAACTTATGCGTGATGATGTCCCAATATCAGCTCATGTGTTGGAAGCGGCAGCAGGGAATCCCATCCATGGCTATGACGTGACAAAACTACTGCTCGACCAGTGCGAGCCAAACCTGCAAGTTTCCGAAGGTGTCCTTCTAGCAGCGGCAACAAATCCACACCATGGTACAGAGACTTTGCAGCTCCTCCTCGAGCGGCAGCCCGAGGTTGAAGTTACCGATGCCCTAATCGCAGCAGCAGCAGCTAGAGGCAACGGGACTCTGAAGCCGCTGATTCGGCATCGTAGCAAATCCACCCTGCCTCGATTCCAGGTGACAGGAACTCTCCTGGAAGCAGTCATCAGAAACAACCATTGCGACGCAAGAGATGTTCAATTTCTGCTCGACACCTCGGCCGAAACAGACAGCGCCCTCGCAATTACAGGAGCAGCCCTCATTTCCGCAGCAGGCAGTATCCGAAGCGGGTATGAGACCATGAGCAAGCTGCTGGATCACGGAGGTCCTGAACTCGAGGCGTTGTTATCAGAACAAGTTCTGATAGCAGCAGCGGGGAACCAACTATGGGGCCTTGACATCCTAGCTCTTCTTCTTGATCGTGGTTATGACCTCGACTTCTCAACCGAGGTATTTGCAGCTGCGCAGGGAAATATGTATTGCGGAAAGGAGATTATAGCTTTCATGCTGAGATATCAAGTTCCGCCTTTTCTAGATGGGAATCAATTTGAAGAGTGGGAGTCTTGTAAGACTCTAGTCTCCACTGATGATGAAGCTACGTCGGAGAGCGAGGGGGAGGATGGGCATGGTGGTTTTATTCCAGCAAGTCCGAGGTCGGAAGGGGATGCTTATGAGACGGCTGACTCGGAATAACCGCTGCATCGCATTGTCTAGGTATATCATTAAGAAATACCTGCACTGAGGGGCCTCTTGCGTCCGTGACATTCTGACTGGCTTTGAGCCGTGGATCCAGATAAGGCTAGGATGGGAAAGCGATTAACCATCAAGCGCCTATGGTAGCCATCACTATCAGCAGTATCTGGTTCCGGCCGACAATGAGAAGGATGCCGTACTCTGCTTAGATCTAGAAAAAGGGTTGAACTAAGTTTCAAGCGCATAGCTAGTAATGTGTGTGGACCGGAAGATAGGGCAACCTGCCCCTTAGAGGCTTACCCTGGCCATACGGGCAGTGGACTCCAGTAAACTGGTATATATCAGAAAGGAGGGAATTAACATGCCACATGGCATGTTCAGCTGGCAGCAATGGCTGTAAAGGCAGAGATACTAGCACTAGGCCCAATTATGCTGGCTATATATGCTTTCGCCCTCCTTGACTATCCTGCTTATGCTACGGAGTACATTCTCGATTTCCTAACTTTTAGATCATGGATACACAGTGATGAAGAAGACATCCCTCATCTAGACATGAGATAGGCAAGCCCAGCCTAAAAATGCGATCCTGATAAGTTACCAATAAAATAAATAAATAAATAAATTCAGAAGCCAAGAGCTTCAGTTATTGAAGGGAGGTAGAGGGCACCATGCTTCGACGCCGCTCAAGCCAGTCACCCACCACTCACGGTGCAAGCCCACTCGTCTCCAAAAAGCTCAGAATCCGCTCATACACATTCACCGCAGTATAATGCACGTTAATCCCATGCCCCGTAACGGGCTCAACATGCGGCATGAACGGACTCGCCTGCGGCAACGCGTCGCGGGCCGACGAAAGAACATTTGAGCAGTCGCCTCCGCAAAAGGGGACATCATTTGAGCCCGAGATTACCAGAGCGGGGCCCTGGAAGGAGTTTACGCGGGGGAGGCTAGCTCCGATTGTTAGTAGCTCGCCGATTGAGACTGGTTGCTTGACACTCTCGACGTATGCGAGGAGACCCGGGACGAATTGGGGCGCGAAGCAAAAGAGGTATTGGTCCGCGGCGGCGTTTCCGGTTGCGAGGTAGCCCGGGGGATAGGCTGAACCTGAGGCTTCGCCTGGTTGAGGCTGCTGCTGCTGCTGCTGTCCTTGAGTGGCAAGATACGCCTGATGCCAGTTCCCGCCCGCCAGGAAGAGATCGAAGAACGAAATATTTGTCGAGAACCCCGTGAGCACAATCGCATCTGAGAGGGTAGGGTACATCGCGGTGAGCTCGTATGTTTGGACGGAGCCGAATGAGTGTCCCACATGGACGACGTGGCGGGGCCTCGTGGACATCCCGGGGAACGAGCCGTTGCGGACGAGCTGGGTTAGTTGTGCCAGAGCGGCGACTTCGAGGGATGTTTGGATCTCGTTCCTAGGATCGCCGTGCGACGAGGCGCCGATGCCCAGGCGGTCGTAGGAGAGAGTGTGGTAGCCGTGGTCAAGGGAGTACTTGACGTAGGAGTAGTTGTAGTCGTTGTAGTCGAGGTCCCAGTATCTATGAAGAGAGGGTCAGTTAGGAAAAAGTTGGCTGAACGGAAAAAGATCGCAAGACATACGTTTTATCGAAGCCAATCCCGTGCGTTAGGATCTGAAGGATGGGCGGTTCAGTGCTATTGGGCGCGTTGGCGCGATCATCTGGAGTGCAATACTGAGTCGAGAGATTATATGTGCCCGTGATGGTGTAGTACCCAGTTAGGGCTTGAGCAGTACCGTTCGACCCTTGCTTAGAAGCCGCCAGGGCAAAGTTGATTGCCTCTAGGTCTGTGGACGGGGTAATCAGATTATCAAATACGCCATTGCGTGCGGTAACTCGAAGTTGAATGGTTTGGTTCTGGCAGAATCTCGCAATGGCCTTGCCAATAAGTGCCAGCCAAATGGCTAATTTGGAGAACAGCATGGTGCTCAGATTGTTGCTTGTCGAGTGCCAGGGTGGGCTCAAAGGAGAGATTGAACAGATTTGTCGGCCTCTAGGCACTGTAGAATATTTGTTCTGTCACGAGAAAATGCGCTGCCCTCCTTTTCGCGATCACGTCGAGTCATGATAACACCATGATGCTCTCTCGTGGATATAAAATCCACGTTTCTCGGCAAGCAGAGTGAAGTCATCAATGGGGAAGTTTAGTTGAGGGGCATGCGTTATCAACTCTCTGGTGAGTTTCTGCTCGGCGCCTCAAGGTTTTTGATGCAGGCTTGGTAGAAGATCAATGATCCCCATCTCGCACTATGGTATCTACCAGACACGAGAAGGAACCTGAAGTTAGCCGTACTACTTAGAAGAACAATGGTTGCGGACAGTGGAATCAAGGTTCAGCAGCATGTGATCCCTCAAGCATTCTTTTCTTGGGATAGCTGTTTCATGGCTTTTATTAATATGATATGATCTTATGATTAATTACATATTCTCCGTTTTCCTCCTTCCACCCAGAAAGCCACCAGTAAAGATGTAGGTATCAGCACTAACACCTGTGGTTCAAGTGGCTCTTGCATCACCCTAATTTGTAGGCACTACTCCTTGAGCATGATATGGAAATAATGCGTTCTATCCTGGAAGCGCACGTGCTTTTAATATACAGGTACAGACCTGAAAATAGCTTTGGCTCGCTCTTCTCATGTTGCAATCCTCGACTGCCCCAGCCACATACTCTAATCTTTGCATGTTTAATGTCCTATACACTCTACTCCTACCAATCCCACTCAGAATAAATCTCCTCTTTAGTCTACCCAATGAGATGATTCTCCTTTGCGTCGTGTCGCTCGGCCCGCAGGATATCTCATGGCTTGTCTGGATGTGCCATGTGCATAAGCTGTTAACGCTTAGACTCTGCCCGCCGCTTCCCTAGGGTTGCGAGCCAAGCCGACCAGAAATTTGCGTCTATAGCTAGTCCGTGCGATGGAAGGGTTGTATTCTGGGATCCATCATTGGGCAACAAGAAGGGGGAAAGGGGCGAAGTAGCCCTCTTAACCATGGAAGAGGAACTAGATCGCGAAGGTCTCTTCCCGTGTTCTCTTATCTAGGGGGTGTTATGCTTATCGCTTGGGTTCTCACAAATGCTGTAGAGAGTTTTAATGGTTTCATTGGAGGTTCGAGGGTAAGGAGACTGGGGGGTCTTTTTCTTTACTTTAGTCTATTTATTTTACTCCAAACAGAAGACACCTTGTGTGAGGTAGCGTGCTTGGAATTCTGATTCAGAAGATATCCAGGAGGTATATACGGGACGTGGGCGCAAGGACTTGGGATGCTCCTTTGGCAAAAGGAAGATTAACTCTATTGCCATACCAATAACACAGGTTTATTGAGTAATATCAATCATGCCACTGTAAGTACTACCGTCCTTGCTTGCGGGCGAATTGAGAAGAGCATGTCACCAATGACGATAGATCGATCTCTCGCCCGCTCTCTAGCCCTACCTCTGAGCCCTAACTCTCACCCCGTTTTCTCCTCCGCCACATCACCATCTTGGATTGCCTCGCCTCGAATCCCCTGTTGCGGGCTGAACGCCTGAACCATCGGATACTCCTTCGTGAGCAAGCTGGTGATGAGACCTAGGCCCGCGAGGCCACACAGCGTAGCCCAGACGATTCCTAGTGCGGATGCGTACGACTCCTCGAGTATGGCTCTCTCATCTGTGCCTGTGGCTCCAACGCCATGTGGTAAGCTCTGTATATACTGCACGAGACTAGCGGCATCGCGTGCGAGGTCACTTGCCTGCGCTGATAAACTCGGATGCTCCGAGAGTTCGACGCGAACGCGGTTCTGGAAGACCACGCCGCCAATCGCAACGCCGATTGTTTGGCCGAGCGTTCTAAAAAACGCCGCCATGGACGCTGTGATTGAGAGGAAAGCCGGATCCGCGGAGGCCTGCACGGCGAGCATCATGCTCGTGAACAGCGACCCCAGGCCAATCCCGCTAACCAGTGTAAGAAATATCCACTGCACGATTGTCGTGTCCTCGTCGAGGAGGTACATGATCCCCGCACCGAGGGTGGCGGTCGTCCACCCGAACCAGATCATGGAGCGGTAGCGGTGCGTTTTTGCGATGAGCACACCCGTTACCGCAGAGAGCGGGGCGACGGTTAGGGTTAGAGGGAGGATTGCTACGCCTGCGCTAACGGCGCTATAACCGAGTGATGCCTCGTAGTATAGTGGGAGGTAGTACAGCACGCACCACATGATCATGCCGTGCAGGAAGCAGCCGAGGTAGTTGATTACGGTTGTCGGGGTACGGAAGATCTTGAGTGGGATGAGCGGGTTGCTGAGCACGGTGGCCTCGTAGACCGCGAAGAGAGCGAGGCCTGCTACGCCGAGGATCAGCGGGACGAGAGTGTGCCACGAGGTCCAGGGGTACATGATTCCGCCCCAGCTGAGGGGCACGAGGAAGGAGGAGAGCGAACCGACGAAGAGGACGCTGCCGATGTAGTCAACTGTTACGAGGCGGTTCCAGAGAGGGCTGCTGTCGCGGTGGAGGCGCATGACGAGCGGAATGAGGACGAGCCCAAGGCCGCAGAAGGGGAGGTTGATCCAGAAGATCCAGCGCCAGGCGTGCTCGGCCAGGGCGCCGCCGATGACGGGGCCGATGACTGTGCCCAAGGCCCAGGTGAGTGCGCGGAAACCCATCCATTTGCCACGCTCCTGGAGGGGAATCAAATTGGCGATCAGGACCTCGGTGAGGGCGATGATGCCGCCGCCGCCGACGCCCTGGATGCAGCGACTGATGAGGAGGAGGGTAAAGCCTTGGGCGACGGCAGCGAGGATTGCGCCTAGAGAAAAGGCTACCACCGCGGCGAACAGCATGCGAGTGCTGCCGAAAATTGCGGAGCTCAGCGTGAAGACTGGCTGGAAGACGCAGGAGCAGACGAGGAACGATGTTCCCGACCAAAAGGCCTCGACTGAGGTTCCGCCCAGATCTTCAGCAATGGTCTACAGGGGTTAGCAGGCAATCGATCAGACTGAGAGAGACAAAGTACAGGAATCGCAACTGAGAGTGAAGTCGCATCGAGGGCGGCTGCAAAGTTCAGCAAGCCAATAACTCCAAAGATACATCGCAAGCGCCAATCTGGCCGAAAGAATTGTTCTTCCACGATCATTTTGCAGGGTTCTGTGGCGCACGATAAGGTATGTTGGAAACACAGTTCGTAGGACTGGAGGATAGAATGGAATAATATGGCACTGACTGACGTGCTTCTTGGCCTGTGGCCAGGGTTCCTTGACAATCTGGATCGACAATGCAGAGTTGATCCGCACCCGGTAAAGTCGATCGATCTGTAAGGCTACCGCACGGGCTGAAGAAAAGAGGCGCGTGCTTGCCTACCCAGGCGCCCGTAGGAAGTGAAACCATTGGCAGGGCCTTCACCGCTACATCGAATGCGAGCTGAAGAAGTTTGAAATGGGCAAAAAAAGCAGCCATACAAGCCGAAAACTTGGGCTCGCGCTTGGTCAATACCAGCGCACATGACTCGTGCGCGAAACGGTAATTCTAAACCAACAAACTCTGAATCTGGGAACCAGCCACATTGAGCCACGATCCAGAGTTGTGGTCCTGCAAGGGCGAAGGAGTATTAGGCATAACCGGATCCTCGGACTAACTTTTCGGCAGGAGCGCCCGAGATCGGCAATCCGAGAGACTCAAGTTTTAGGCGCGGAGATCTTGTTTCTCTCCTGCATATAACGTCTGCAGTGTACATCGTACTCTGGAGTAAGCTTCGGAGGAGTCACACTAGCGAATGTGTGGATCTACACGATTGACTGTCAGGGCGCCACGTGGGATCGAGAGACTGTCTTGGCTAGCATTGGTGGAGCGAAGATCCGGAGTGTAGATCATCATGTATACCGATGTACCATCGTAAGTAAGAACAACGACTTTTCGTAGTACCTACGGACCATGCTTCAATGTCCCTGCATCGCAGTTTCAATTGCCCGCCGCGCCACATTGACACTCTTCAGCAAATCTATATTCCGCCCCGCCCCGGGCACCGTATGACCGCCGGAATGCTCATAACTGAAAAGCCGATCCCGTGGATACAGTTTCTGCAGTTGCGCTGCTTTGCCCCGATCCGGATCCTCACGGCCCCAGATTAACGCCGTAGGGACAGGAATGATACCCTGGTGCGCGTCAAAGTCGATTTCGCCGACTTGACCGCTTCTTTGAAACTCCGCGTAGTCCATCGCGCCTAGTCGCGGAGAAAAGAAGATGGCGCACTTGAAGGGCGAGGATCGGCCTTCCTGGATGCTGCGAAGGATCAAGGTCGAGGCGACGATGATGCCCTGGCTGAAGGCGATTATGCCGTCGTAGGGTCCTTCGGTGGCGATGAAGTCCTCGAGGTCTTGGACCGGCTGCAACGAGGCGGCGGAGGGGTCGAGATTGAAGTACGAGAAGCCGTCCTTTTCCGTTGGGAAGACTTCTTTGGATTCTACACCGGTGAGTACGGGGTGCAGTTTTGGAAGGTTGAGGTAGCATACCTGGATCCAAGGGCACGTGAAAAACGCCTTGTACAAAGTCATAGGTGTGGCCGTCACCTAGCTCGTAGCGAAAGGGAGCTGCGGTTATTAGACGGATGTTACGCACAAGTTACCGAGATTATGACGAACCGGTTTGCATTTCGAGGATCTGAAGCAATGTGAGCATCAGGCAACAGGGTTTGGGATATTGCACATACCTTGGAACTGGTCCCGGTGCCATGAAGACTGTACGTTTTAGCTTGGACCTCTTGTCCTACAATATAGGATTGACATACCAGAGAAAGTGCATAATGGAGGGTACAGTGGCCGAGCGTAAGACTTGGTCAACTCCAACAATGGCTGGCTGGTGAGACGGACGCGGTAGCGATGGTCCCCAACAGGCCGCTTTTGAATCTTTGAAGCCAGCGGGTTAGGAGAGAAAATCTCAACAATAATGAGATAGACAGACCCTTTCTCGACCGAGCTCATTCCCAGTTCGGTTACGGTGTGAGGACGCGCATTCCCGTGCAGAACCTGGTTTTGGGTTGGACATGCATGATTGGGCATGCATATGCAAGCACCCAACCAGGATTCCTATTGTCATGGTGGACCTGACGTCGGTGTTTCCAGCGACCTGGGCGATCTTGGCGATCTGGGTCTTCAATACGTGATGTATCTTGCAATGATCGCCACAGGGATAATCGCACTATAGTCACGCCTATAATCGGACATGTGGATACCATGATATTGGCGCAACACTTAGATCCGACAACATCCATTCAAGAGATCAAAGAGATTCTCCGCTGCGTGCTCGTTGAGGATGACTCTTTGCACATTCAACGCTATAAATGCTGCGTCGACCAGCGTGCTTAACATGTAATCTCAAGACAGAAACTAGGATACCTTTGCCCAGTAATATGCAACCTCCAAAACAGACATCAACACCGGGCGCTCTTCAGCCGTTGGCGGTTGTGGGTTACGCCCTCCGCTACCCCGGTGATGCCACGAAACCCGAGAAGTTCTGGGAGATGCTCATGACACGAAAATGTGCATCGACACGGTACCCAGCCGACCGTCTGAATATCGATGCACATTACAACCCTACGACCAAGAGGGCCGACACACTGTCCGTAGACGGCGGCCATTTCATCACAGGTGACCTCGGCGCCTTTGATCCGGCCTTCTTCTCACTCACAGCAACCGAAGCCGAGGGCATGGACCCTCAGCAGCGACTCGCACTCGAGGTGAGCTACCAAGCGCTTGAGAATGCGGGTATCTCGTTGAATGCCGTGTCAGAGACAAAAACATGTGTGTTCTCAGGTTGCTCCGCGAATGACTATGGCACGATGCATGCGAAGGATCCGCAGGCGGCGGGCAAGCACGTGGCGTATAGTCAGGCCATGTGCATGATTGCAAACCGCATCAGTTGGGCGTTCAACCTGCGCGGCCCTAGCGCAAATGTTGATACGGCGTGCTCGAGCAGTCTCGTTGCGCTTGATATGGCGTGTCAGTCCATCTGGAGCGGCGCGTCGACGATGGTACGTGCCTTCCCCTTCATTGACATCCGTGTTGATGAAGGCCTCTGGCTGACCTGTTGAATAGGGTCTCGCTCTTGGCATCAATCTGATCATCGCCCGGGAATGGTCAAACGGACTGGACAACCTCGGCTTCTTCTCCTCCGACAACCGCTGCTATAGCTTCGGCGAGCAAGCAAACGGCTACTCGCGCGGCGAAGGTCTCGGCGCACTAATCATCAAGCCCCTCGACGATGCAATCCGCGATGGCGACACAATCCGCGCAGTTATCCGCTCGACGTTGTCTAACCAGGATGGCTGAACCCCGGGGATCACGCAGCCAAGCCGCACAGCACAGCAGAAGCTCATTGAGGACACGTATCTGCATGCGGGCATCTCCCTTGCGTCGACGCGGTACTTCGAGGCACATGGTACGGGTACGGCGGTTGGGGATCCGACGGAGGTCAGAGGAATAGGTGCTGTTTTTCGAGGATATCGCTCGGCCGATGAGCCATTGTACCTGTTCGTTCCCCCCCCCCC